TAGGGGGGGGGGGAATAGAATCAATGTTTAAGGCATTACAAAAAAGCCATGTTTAAATATGATAGAGGTGGTAAGTTATGCAGTAGTCAAATAAAACCTTGGAACCTGGTGTTCTGCTTTAGTAGATAATGTTGGATCACACTGAAGTATCCTGAAACCACTTCACTAATGATTAGCACTAGCATTCAGTATCATTTTCGTGTTTACTTTTCACAGAGGTATACCTGTTTGATAGAATGATTAAGCTGATAAAGTGAAGTTTTAAATAGTCTTGTTTTGACATTGAGGTTATAAATTTAGAAGCTTACATTTTCTGAAAACAAAATTCACTAAATGTTTTTGAGTCCATGACAAAAAAAGTTACTAGTTAATTATTCATTACATTTGATGTTATGATGTTTGTGTCATACACATTTGTTTATAGTTTTAATCAGGAGAGCATGCAATCTTTATATACATGTAGGTTGATGTTTTTTATAGTTAATGTGTTTGCTGTTTCTACTCTGCATAACATCAGAGAAGCATGATAAGGGCCTAGGTATGTGAGATCAGATTGCGGTTTTATCGGGCATGACTTTGAAGTTGTAGGCCATAATGGAGATCATAACCTTCTGAAATCCATAGGTTAATGAATAGTGCATCTATTATTCTCTTTTTATTGCTGTGGCACGGAGCATTGGAAAACTGTAGGTTCACCTGCTACTGTTGGGTCATACGATAAGATAACTTATTAGCGAAATTACTGCATAATTTTAGATGTAATCAAAATTTTGAACTGTGTCAGTTATGAATTTGGCTTTCCCTAGCAAAGTAAAGACCTGCTTACCATTTGTCTTGAATTTACTTTGCTAGAGCAAATTTACCCAGAGAATTCTGTAGTACATACTTGGCTTGGATGTACTAGTATATAGAAATTTGCATATGTGTTGTTAGTGTTGTTGCCGATGATTTTGATTTGCCTCACAGGCAGATCTATTTCTTTTCAAATCCATTTTCTCTGACCTTCTGAATAATTCTCACCTGAGACTGAGAAAAAAATTGTATAGGAAAGTATTGGGTTTCATGTATTATCATTCTTCACAGGCGTTTGCATGCAGCACATTTCTCAGTCATTGTGTATCCCCTATTGCTGTAGTTGCTGAGCTATGTTCCATCTTGTGTCACTGTGTGACAGCTTATAGTAAGTGGGAGGGTTGTCAGTCCAGTACATCCCTGACAGGGATTTTACATTATTTATCATCTGTCTTAATATTAGCCCTTGTTATCTTATCAAATTATGCACTTTGTATGGCTGATAGCATACATTTTCAGAAATTAGACAAATGGAATTTACAAAAATAACAACCAGAGGGACATCTGTGATAAAAAAACAAAGTGAAGTAACCCGTTTAACTGGATTGGACTCAGATTCCAGTTGTAAGGCCTCGCGGCTACGACACATACACTCTGGACTGATACATGATGGGATGCATCAAGTCTAGTTCACCCAACACCAAAATATTGTTAGATCTCTTGATTAATAAAGCCACAGGTGCTCTGATGCTGTCCCAACATTAAGTAAGTGCAAAAAGACCTTATGGAGGAAGGATACAGTCAGTTGTCTGATAAATCACCCGACGTGTATTTATGCATTTAAGATTGACACTTACAATTGCGGAATGGATTTTTAATGGGATATTAATGTTTTATGGAGATTGTGCAATCCAGAGGTTAATGTGACTGAGCAGAGATCGGTGGGAAAAGAGTGTGAAGGCTCAGTGGTGACGGTCATCTCTTTTTTTACCATTCCGTCTGGTTTATGACATAAACTTATTGAGCACTTTTTAACTGTCAAGGTAAGTGATGTATGAAAAACATCAACCTTGTATGATGCACAAGATGCTTCATATTCAAATATATTTCAGTCTCACCAAACTTAATGGTGTATGGTTTCAAAATTATACAGTGGCGTAAAAGATGATAATAATTTGAAGTTATTAGTAAGGTGATACAGAACAGTTCAGACATAAGGTTTCAGAACGAGAGACGACTGGTAGGGGAATACATGTTTTTTATCCTTCTGCCTGTATACATTTGAATCGATATTGTTACACTATAATGGGTAATATATATAGTTCCAGGCCATCACCAGAAGCTGATCTGTTATGTTAATTCCCAGTGCTGCAGGCTGCAAAACAATTGAAGAAAAGTGATTGATGGGACTGTTTGTCATGTTTCCCATAGTGATTGTGTAATAAAACATATACTAGGAGTTGGAAGTACTACTGTATTCAACTAACTCTATTCCCTCTTGACAAACCACATCTTAAGGCCAAATGGTTGATTTTGTAGTTTCAAGAGGTGCCCTGTCGGCTTTTGTTTCAAAACGTTATCTTTTTTGTGTGAAATATATTATTTAAGCATATTTATCTTGTCATCAACATGACATTAAGATTTACAGGTGTATCCGTAAATGAATGAGAAGGTAACAATTAAGGTGTATATATAAATTGCATTGTCCCTGGCAGCAAACAATTATTTTTGCTTTTAAATGTTTTTATATGATTTTATATTGAAAAAAATTTATATCAGCAAAAATGAAAAAAATTCTAGAAGTATATTTCAGATTGTTTTGTATCTGATTATACTTTCCATCTGCTTATCTGACAGGTAAATCTGATGTATGATAATACCCAGCCTCTAATCATGCAGGGTCTTTCCTTTCTCTTTAATACATGTACCATGCACACAAAAGCATGGGGCATAATTTCCATCTTGATTTCTGTTTCCCATTTCCCCCTCTTATCAGTGTGCCCACGCCACTTTGTTATTGAAAAAACTCTCTGATAGCCATAGCCATAGCACAAGACAAGGCCCCTGCTTTCAGAGTAAGTAGTTCGTAAAATCATAGTAAACTCCAGGAGAAGGTGATTAGATTGGCAAAACTGTCCAAAGGGATCTGAATCTCAAGGTAAGGATTGGTTGAGGCTGTGTGGAAGAGGCTATATATCTGCTTGAATACATAGCTAATGGTGGTCATCTTTCATTATCCTCAGGTATACCACGTGGATAACTTGATTTAGTAGCTACTGAGTATGATTTTGCAGTATTATTGCTGTCCCTGCAACTGTATTGCTGTTACATATAGGTACAAGGCGCTGACAAGGATTTTATCATATTGACTTCAATTTTTTTGCATGTGACCTTAGAAATGTGATAAAGAGGAAATTAAATTTGGAATTTTTGCTCTTGGCAGCAGTGGGTATATATATAACTGAGAGCACTTGATGTGACAGCAGTGATATGATTAGAACATTTTTTTGTTGTTTTAAGGCTTATAGTCTTAATAATCGTGAAGGATTATCATTTTGGCTATGGTATCATATTTGTTGATTATCAAGCCATTGTTTCAAAGTCTTAAAGTCCTATACTAGTACAAAAACAGCTATAGAAATGAAAGTTTGAAGACATTAAGCATGACTATATCTTTGATCAGTTTTGGATATTGGCCTGAATAATTTGTACTGAAGAAAGCTTTATTGAAGCAGGAAAAATTATAGTGATTCCCTTCTAGATCATTGCTACTGGCAGTTGGAAATCTTGATTGTTGTTCGGTTACTATCTGTCCTTTGCATTAGGGGTAATCTTGATATAGTCAAGCAGTAAGAAAATCTATACACGGATCAATGGGTAATTAATAAGCATTGATTAGTTCTGTGCAATTTTTAGACACGAAAGGGCTTTGTTCTTATAATTCTCTGCTCTTGCAGCAGAATAATTTGGGGTCTTATTATGTGGTGTGTGATTTTTCTCCTGATTGTTTCAATGTCATTCTAATGATGACAGCTTGAAGATAGCAGGTTGAGGAGATGGACATGCAAGGCGATATTTAAGACTATATTATATAGTCTTAACTATTGCCTATTATTTGTTACCCAGAGCTTTAGAGGTACTTGTTCCCCTTGTTCATTCTCAAGCATTAGCCATTTTGCCCAATTAGGAAAATAGACCTTTTTGCAAAACTGTTCACATATTTTGTTATAACTTTTTCAAGTAATTAACATATTTTTGATACAAAAAAGTTATTTAGAAAGCAAAGTCTTACTTTTATTTTATTTCTGTTAAGGGTGGTTATTTATTAGTGCATGGATAATTGGCATGTTAACAACATCACACCCTATACATGCCCATTTTTTGGAGCCAACAGATAATAAAACGTCCAGTTGAGCAATGATTGGTGTGGTCAAATTGCTTAATACCACAATTAAGCTCTGATGAAGCTGGTGCGTGCCCTGGCAGTTGCCAATATTATCATCGAGAGTCTGAAGCTCAGATGCAATATAATTTGTGAGATTAACTTTATTTCATCCTGGAATATAATTTCCTCAAATCCGATTTGAAGACAGATGCTTCTAGTATGTGGTTTTTTAGGTTGATTAGAACTTTACCTAATCAAGCAATAAATGAGCAAATCTCTTGTGTGTTTTTAGCATTTATCAAGGGCCACAGAAACAATCATCACCGCAGAAATTATACGTTTATTGACAGATGGGAGAACTGCTTTGTTTCCAGTTAATGCAATCCTGGAAACCTACTGGTTTTTGCATGAGGTAAAAACAAAGGTTCTTGTTTCTTATATTCTCACAGTGTAAAAATACAATACTTTGTATGTGTAACAGTACCTATATTATTAATTGAAACAATGGGGAAGTGAATCATGCGAGTGTTTACTGACGCCAAGAAAATTAGCAGTTTGAGTGGAAAAGTAAGAGGATATGAGGTTTAGCACAATGCTTATTTAGGTGCATAACATTAATAGAATGGGGCCTCTGAGGTGGACATTTACCATGATTTGTATTACATTGTGAAGTACTGTTCCCCCGCTCTACTTCCATCAGCCTTGTATTGAGCTATGAATCAATGGTAAGATTTTCCTAATGTGCCTTGCATGTATTTCCTTATTCACATGCGGTGCCTGCTGTCAGAGCAGCCTAGAACACATCTCGGGGATTTTCTGGAAGAAGGTAATGGATTGAATTAATGCATTCATGGTCTCAGTCTGTATGTGAATGTAGCGCATATTTAAAGCAATATGTTGTGTTAAAAGCAGCAGCTGAGGTATATCCATTACCAAAACTCTATGTGGTTTTAAAAAAAGGCATTGCGTGAGGACTTGAATCTTACTTTATGTATGGAAATGGTGTTTTCTTATATTAATTTAGTTTAGATCTGGGTGATAACTTGTGACATGTACTAGTACTTGGCAAGAGTTTTGTGATAAAAATCATGGCTGCACTCAGCTGGGGTGATGCAGGTTCAAAATTTCCTTCGACTATCATTTCACCAGAAAGGTGGTCCCAGAAGAATTGTCTGGTCTCTGAAACCACCCTCATCACTTTATAATTGCCTGTTATGGACCTAATAATAAGATATTTTTATACCCATCATTTCAAAGTGCTGATCAAGTTAGAACTACACTGTAATTTTTTATTCTCTAAAATATGGCTGACATGCGACATTGTCCTTAAATATCTTGGGAAACTTTCAAGGGCGGGTTACATTGGAAGTGGAATTATAAGGCCGACAATATCTTTGTAAGGATTTGAATATTTGATAAGTTTATTTTTCCATTGGTAGAATGCACAGGATGACATTGTTTTAATAATTAAAGAACATCCTCTATATTTTCTGTAGGAAATGAATAATTAAAGGGACAGCACCACTGCACTGAGTGCTGCATCTGATTTAGCTGATGAAAAGCACCCAGTATCTCTTGGTTTTACATGTCTGTATTTTGAGTGTTTCTTTGTCTGAGGGGGCGGATATGAATTTCTGCCTTGATTTTGTCACACATTTTTGTGGTTCATCCAGTGCTCCTAAATTTCTATGTTCTTCACAACATTATGTATGTTGCCCGTCAAAGGAGATCCCAGTTCAGATATTACACAATCAATTGTGCTGTATATGGTGGTGTTATTAGGTGCTACAATGCCAATCATATGCTTTATTGCATATCCTTAAATATATTATGTTGAGTGCATATAGATAGCATGTTTAACTTAATACATTAAGTCTTAATGATAGCTCTATACTAAACTCAGTATTCCTTTTTTTTATTTTTATTTATAGGATTAACACACTCTCTAGCTGTTTGTTATTTTTTTATCTGGATCCTATTCATAAATATGGATTTCTGTCATCTATAAATGGCAGAAATTCAAATAATGATCCGATAATGTGTTTAGATACAGTTTTTTGAATAAATCAGTAGGTTAATGTTGACATTCAGGGTGAAGTATCTAAAGCACATCAAATTTCTGTTTTATAGTGTAACATGCACCAGTTTTTTTTACTCCTTTGCCTTAAAGGAAAAAATATAATACTGATTTCCTGATGTTTTGGAGAGGAAGGAAGATTAAAGAGGGATCCACTTCTATTTAGTTTTATAGACTCATTAATCTTAATTTTACTTCCTCATCAGACTCATCACTTAGTATATTTTCCCTTTAAAATATTTCAGATATAAGCCTGTGAGTGTATCAAAGAGACAGTGAAGATGAGTTGCCCCAGATGTGGAAAAGCTGTGTACTTTGGAGAGGAGGCCAAAGCACTTGGCAAGAAATGGCACAAGACTTGTATGAACTGTGGTAAGCACTCATAATAGAATTACACATATGTTTGACCTCACAGTGTCTTCACATTGTGTCAGAATGTCAGAAAGTCAGTTTACAATAACCCAAAAATGTCTGTTGTTACATATTCACAATGATAAATATTGTAATACTGTGTAATTGGTTTTTCATTGTCTCTTCTGTTGTGAGGATAGAAAATTAAAATCGCTTTTTAAAAGTGTTTTCTACCTCTGAGGCTTGACTTTTGGGTAGAAAATCACTTTAGTCTCTTTAAAAATAATTCAATTTTTAATCATAATTATGGCAATGATAAAATACTGATTTTTCTTAATGCTGAAGTGTATTGTCTAGATTTTATCATCAGTCAATATGAACTTTAACTTTTATTTTCTTTTTCCTTGCAGCACAGTGTAACAAGAAGTTAGATAGTTTTACCATCAATGAACACGAGGGAGACATCTATTGTCGAGGATGCAGTGCGAGGCTGTTTGGCACCAGTCCTCCATTGAATAATTCCTCCAGTCTCTACACTAATGGAAGGTAGGCAGTTGTGTGATGGAGAAAGTGTGGGGAAAGCACAATCTCCTCGTGTGATTGTGTTAGTGAAGCACTATGCTGCTCTGTTGCAATAAGGGTCTGCATACTGTTTTCCTGCAGTTAAATATTTGCCTTCAAGATATACTGTGATACCTGGGACCTCTTCAAAAAGAGTTTTAACATATTAGGCTTAACTTAGCCTACTTAACTCAGTTAGCTAGCTCTGTAAGTGAAGGCAGTGCTGGCACAATTTAGGGTAATTTGAAGCATATATAAATTGCTCAGTCTGTGGACCTCATAGTTTTCCCCTCGTGAGAAAAGAGGGAGGGAGCTGGATCTGACATTATTATGAAAGAGAGGAAATGAATCTGGCATTGGTTTATACTTTTAAATTATATATAAATATTTAAAAACTTGATCCTCATAACAATTCTACGAGAAACTTTTTCATGTTTTTTATGTGAATATTTTCTTTGTTGAAAAAATTGAGGTAATGTGTATGTGTCAAAGCATCTCATTTCCAATGTATTTTATAATTATGTTTCGATACTGGTATATTGGCTGTGCCACAAACAATTCAAAACTTTTGATTACCATGCATTCAGTAATGGCCATGATTGTCAAGTTTAACAGCTATTCTGCCCTGCAACTGTGACAAGCAAACATAGTTAAATCAGATGGTAATATATTCTGACATAGAGTCATGTCCTTTAATCCAAATATAGTAGTGTCCTCGTTGATTCCACTTTTAACTGTTTGTGGAAAACACATTGAGTCTGCATGAGTCACACATTGTGTCCTCACCTTAAGGGGGAGGAAGAGGGGAAATTTTTAATTGCAGTGAATCAAAGACTAATTAGCTGTTTATTTTTTGTTAAAATATTCATTACTGAAAAACTTTATAATGACCTCTCTGGATAAATAAGACCACACAGGTAACAACCCTGGTCTCAGAAATGTAACCTTAATAAAACATGTCAACCCCCCTTCATTAGCCTCACCAAGGCATTGCTATGTGGGCTGCAAGTAGCTATATAGTATGTGTGTGTAGCAGTAGATATCAGAGACTCAGCTGCTGAAACCACTGTTACTGAAGCATTAGACACCTTTTAACTGTAAAACAGGATAGAGGACTGTTTTATGTAAGTATTAAGAGACATTATGGTTAAGATTGTTAAGAAAGATTTTGTTAGTATCTGACACTAAGGTGAGTTAGTTGGCTGGGCATTGGACACGTAGGTTGTACAGTGTAGCAACAGGTGGAAAAGCTTTCTACATCATTTCTACATTCCAGAATTCAATCATGATAAAATCCAGTTCAGAATATTGATTTCAAATCATAATATGTGGGTATGCTGAAGTGTCCCAGTGAGAAATCAGTGTATATGTTGAACTGAACATAGCCAACTGAGGGAGGAAACTTTTCATTGAAAGACTTTAATACTTACTAGTGCTGGCACTTTGCTAACACAGGATTTAGCATCATGGTCAGGTTAGGTCATCACATATTTATGCAGATGGCAGGGGTGTAATGACATTGTTATGGAGTTATGATTTAGATTACCATTAAAGTATCCAGTCACTCCACCCACCATATTAATGTGGTTGGCATTGGGTGTCTGTTTTAACAGCAATATACAGGCAGTATTCTTCTCACATACGTACATGTAGGCTTGTTATTTGTGTCACCATACGCTTTGCCTGTAGGCAGACCACAGCAGTCTGATACAGTTATTGTGAAAAGTTTAGGATGTTTCCCTGAAAAAAATATAAAGATCTTGTCTACAAGTGCACTGAATTTATGCAGCTTTTGCTGTAGTATGCAGTGTTTTGTTACTAGAGGTAATTTATGTATATAAACATATGCTGAAGCAAACTACTTCCAAGAGAAATAATGTACATTTAATGTAGGTATGTATGGGAAGTTTTTAGATGATTGGCAACCTATTACATCAAGCTGGCTCAGTTNCAAGGTTGTAGCAACAGGTGGAAAAGCTTTCTACATCATTTCTACATTCCAGAATTCAATCATGATAATATTCAGTTCAGAACATTGATTTCAGATCATAATATCTTGGTGAGTTGAAGTATCCCAATGAGAAATCATTGTATATGGTGAACTGAACATAGCCAACAGAGGGAGGAAACTTTTCATCGAAAGGCTAATACTTACTACTCAGTTGTACGGGCATTTTGCTAACACAGGATTTAGCATCATTCATGATCAGGTTAGGTCATCACATATTTGTACAGATGGCAGGGGTGTAATGACATTGTTATGGAGTTATGATTTAGGTCACCATTAAAGTATCCAGTCACTCCACCCACCATATTAATGTGGTTGGCATTGGGTGTCTGTTTTAACAGCAATATACAGGCAGTATTCTTCTCACATACGTAGGCTTGTTATTTGTGTCACCACACGCTTTGCCTGTAGGCAGACCACAGCAGTCTGATACAGTTATTGTGAAAAGTTAAGGATGTTTCCCGGAAAAAAAAATTAAAGATCTTATCTACAAGTGCACTGAATTTATGCAACTTTTGCTGTGGTATGCAGTGTTTTGTTACTAGAGGTAATTTATGTATATAAACATATGCTGAAGCAAACTACTTCCAAGAGAAATAATGTACATTTAATGTAGGTATGTATGGGAAGTTTTTAGATGATTGGCAACCTATTACATCAAGCTGGCTCAGTTAGATGTCAGACAAAGGCTGGTTTGATATGGACAGGGGTGTGCGTCTGAGATGTATATATTTTAAAGAGATCACAGTTATATTTAGCTAAAAGTATATTTAAGTCCCAAAATACAATTGCTTAGATGAGGTTATTCCTTGTGTAAACCATACTAATTTAAAAGCATTTCTACCATCTTGACTTCTTAATCGAATGAGAGAGAAATAGCAAAAAAAAAGGATGACATTTTATACTTAGAAATTCAAGGCCATTTTCTCCATAAATATTTTCCTCTCTCCCTTTGAAAAAGAAAGAGAAGATAGACAATTATGCCTCAATAGAACTCTCTTGACCTTTACTGATAGGAATAGAACTGCCAATCGTTTCATGAAGGATAAACTTCCTAGTGTTGATGATTATGCTATATGCACTGTGGTGAGTCTATCTGGACAAACAAGATTATGATGGTTTCATTTTCAGTTCTGAAGACGGGTTCTTTATTGTTTGTCAGAAAAAAGGTCAAATGCCCAGGATTACATGATACAAATTTATACTGATAGGAAAACACCAGTGGTATGTCATCCATAAGATACGAAATTCTGCATTGTGTGAGTCAGAATCTTCATTCAGTCCAGACTAAAACCTAGAAAAATACAGTTAAAGTACCACTGTAATTCATAGTCACAGGGCCTAGAATATATTTGCTTATGAGTTGTGATATTATATCCTTCTACCATGTTATGTTAGGTGTGACTGTGTGTCAGGTAAGACATCTGTGACATTGTATCAGGTGAGGCATTAGTGACATTTATCATACTGCTTGTGTAGAATTTAGTGTTGGAATTCCCCTGATTTTGATTTTATTTCTCTTTTCTTCCAGTGGCGCCACGTGACCAGTCCTCCTGTCAAGATGAACATAGGTGGTGGTGACCGCTGCCCGCGCTGTGGTAAGGCAGTCTACCATGCAGAGAAAGTGGTGGCCAATGGCAACTCGTGGCACAAGCTCTGTTTGACATGTGGTAAGTTTTACAGACTTTGAACATGTTATGTCCCCACAGATCTGAAGACACCATCATAGAAATCTGTGTTGGATGCTACATTCTCAGAATACTAAGTGACCATCTTCTCTTTGAAAATGGATCCTTAACAAAAGAAGGGCTGAAAATGACTATGAGGCTGAATCAGATCTTTATTCTGAAAATTTCAAAGTATTTATAATAAATTATTATTAATGGAAGGCAGATTTTAGTCTACCTATATAAGCACAGTGTGTTATTGTGAAATTGTCAAAGGCATATATGTCAGTATACAGGATGGATCCTACTGTGAATAGGCAAGGCTGAGGCAAGGTATGCACCTTGAGAGATAGCCATCATTACAGTAACACCAGTGGCAGATAATTTCCGAAGGACTCATTGTATATTAGCTCACAAGTTAATGGTTTGGGGATAGTTTGAGATATGTTAATACTGGTTTCATTGTGTGTAGGCTGTCTGACAAAGTACCTATAAATTGGACATATTTAATGTGTAGACAACTGTGTAGACTGTGAGCCGCTAGCTCCACGGTGCTTTAACTGTCTCTTATTGCTTGGATATAAAAGTAACCAGATGCCTCAGATCTTCCCAATCAGGTGATCAGATTTCTTTTGTGTTTGTCTAGAAATAAGCAAGGGAAGTGGAATGTTATAATAGCACATACTGGTACATCCCGTCTCCTACAGCACAAGCCAAATTGAAAAAGTGTCTGGAAATGTCTTCAGACAAAAAAGATTTCTTATTTTTTCTTTTGTTAAGTTGACTTTTATTAATTCCACTGAATGTGCTGGTCTACATTTGTAGTAAATTTGGTATTATCAATTGCGCTTTTTAGCTAATTGGGTATGCAATAAATTTCTCAGCCCAGCCTAGTATTGCCAAAGATTCTTACCATTTTAGCATTGGTCCATTTGTCAGTTTGCCTCAGTCTTATGGAAATGTTCATGAAGCTTACTCTATGGCCATTGTTTTGTTTTTATGTATGGCACACTACAGACATAGTATCCTGTTATAAAACCCATTGAGCTTCATATAGTGGTCATAAAAGATGGTGTGTTTAATGTGATATGTCCTAGATCTAATAAAAACCTCATTTGTATTCTGTGAAAGATAAGTTGTAGCAGGACATTTGTCACTTATGATCAGTGCTTTAGGTAACAAGTTTATACTGTCAGTGAAGTGCATGTGGAGACATTCTGATTGTTAAGAGAAAAGTTAAATCAGTTGTAAAGTTGATGAGATGTAATGAATTTAGACCCATTCTGTTACTTCAGTACTAAGAAAATTTGAAATTTGGAATTGTTTATTTTACTTGCATCACATAGTTCAAGGAAAATATCAAAATTGCTGTAATGAAACACTCCTACTAACACTCCATAAATGCTGTTACTTACTGTTCTTCAGCTAAGTGTAAGAAGCTTCTCGATAGTACTACTTTGACTGAGCGTGAAGGGGAGGCCTATTGTAAGAACTGCCATGGAAAGCTGTTTGGACCCAAGGGTTATGGCTATGGGGGTGGTGCAGGTACCCTGTCCATGGATACTGGAGAACGAACTTATGAACCAACCAGGAGGTGAGTTTAAAAACAGAGTGGTGAGAAAATATCTTTTAACTTGAATTTTGCCTACTTTGCTCTGAAATGTCGTACATACATGTTTGTAGGCATGTAAGGTGTCATCCTCCACCCTCTAAAAATATGAATATGCCATTAAAAAATAGAGAATATTTGGCTTAAAAAAGCCAGTAGAAATATAAGTGTTACCTTCTGCATTGGAAATATGTTCTATTGTATGAAATTGATGTTTTAAACTGAAAAAAAAAACATGAAAAGTATGACCATACATTGTGTCATATTTTATTTCATCATCATATCATATCATATAGTACATCATATCCTGAGCTTATAGATTACACCATTTCTCTCGTAGCAATGTTCCTGCCACTGCTGAGGCCTACAATGCCCCAAGAAGATTGAGTACTGGTCAGCCCCCTAGCAATGGTGGAGGAATGAAGTTTGGCGGAGCTGACAAGTGCCCTAGATGTGGACAGAGCGTGTACGCTGCAGAGAAAATGATTGGAGCTGGATCGGTATGTGGCTGATGTTTCTTGAAGATGTAAAACTGTGATAAAAATTGACTGATTGTGTTGAATGAACTATTCATTTTTGGTCTGTGGGTTTAATATGTGAAATGTTGTGACATATTTAGAACATCATTTTGAATTGGTATTTGTTTAGTCTGAACAGATACGAAAACCCTAACAGTTTTTAGTACGGTAAAAACTTGAAAAAATTCGTCGGAAGATGATTTTCTGGGGACATAAATTTTTTTCACTTTGAAAATTTTGTCGAACTTAAAAATGTAATTTGTGCATCAAGAAGCAAGTATTTATTTGGCATTTTTCATTTCAGTCCTGGCATAAGAGTTGCTTCAACTGTGCCAGCTGTAAGAAGAAGTTGGACTCCAGCAGCTTGTCAGATAAGGATGGGGAGATCTACTGCAAAGGTAAACACTATTGCTAGTGAGTTCATTGGCTGTAAATTAGTTCCCAATTTCATCACATAATAAGTCCAGGTACCTATTGTGATGTTGCATTGCCAGTAATTGAATGTAGTGCTCCAACAGCTAAAGAATATAAGAATATAAGAATATAAGTTTTGTAAAATGAAAAAAAAATACCCTAAATTCAGTTACTTTATCATCAAATGCTATTCCCAAAATTTGTCAGTTTGGTATTAAATTTTATTCTTCTTACAGCTTGCTATGGAAAACACTTTGGGCCCAAAGGTATTGGTTATGGCATTGGAGCAGGAACATTACAGACATAGACATCATTTTGAAGTGATTTCTGAAGAAATGGATTGGATTACTTGTTTATAATGACATAGCCATGGAATCATAGAAACCTGATGAGTGTTTCAGTAGGACTGTATTCTTAGGACTGTATTCATCCATTTATATGGACTTTTGTACACAGTACTATTGACAAAAATAAGTTAAAGAGAAATTATATTCTTGTTACAGCTGATGAATTGACTTAAAGGAAAAGATGTTACTTTAATGATTTAAGTCCACTTCATGAGCATTTTGGTAAGACTAAGACTGATTAAACTGTAAGGGTTACTAGTACATACACGTACACACAAATACACGTGCCCATTCACACACACCAAACAATTTTCTTCATTATTTCCACTGCAGTTTTCACATACATGTGCAAGGGCGCACACACACGCACACACACACACTGCAATATAATAATGATATTTATGTTAAACCAAATGCACTTTTGTTTAATTCCACTGCTTATATTCTATTCTTATATAAAACAGTAGGCATAAATACAACTTTATCAAATACATTTTTTTTGCAAGCATAAGATTGCCAACATTAACCGAAAAAGTACATATTATAAAAGTACATACGAAACAAAGAAAAAAATGCACCAGCTCTTGCAAATAATCATTTTGAAGATTATGGCTTAAAGAAAACATTGTATATATTGTATTGTATGGTACATAAGACCTGGTCAAGATGCTTTTGAAGCAAATGTCATACTATGTATTTCCTATTGCAATCATGCTGTTGTTATTATTTTTATTAGAGAGGTGACACCAAGAAATCGGTACTTTAGGTTTTAAAATTTCTCATCTTGGTGATATTTAGTTATGCTTATGCAGCGTAGCATTAGCAGTGTAGTCAAATATTCATTTGCAGCTTTATTTGCTCAGTAGCCCATGACACTTCTAAGTTATAATATGGCATATATTATATTTATTTAATTACATTTATATATTTTTTCTATAGAAGAATGATCGTTTTGTCTGTGTTACATTTTCCAGTAGAAATATTGCTTTTGAAATACTTTGCAGGATGTTTTACTTTATTTGACAGGAATTGGTACATTCTAAGTTGTGTTGTATTTATGTTTTTTGTACTGATGGTGTGGTATTTGGCAGACTAGTTATTCACCTCACTTGCAGAGTATGTATTATGGCACAATTCTAGGAACAAGTGCCTGCTTTACAAAGATCTATCTAATTATGTAGACTTATTGCAGCATAGATCACGAGGTATGCTTAGTTTTCAGGTAATTTGCAGATAAAGGAGAGATCATTCCAACTTAAATTTATTCCATTTACTTTTTCATTTCCATGAACATTATTTGCATTGAGGTATTTGTTCAATTGATATAATAATTGTTTCCTTAAAAAGTAGACTCATTCCATTCTGAACTTCAAATGATTTAATGGTTATTTTGTGTGTAATGTATGGTAAGACTTGTGTGTTTATTCTATTTTACTACTTCAATGTTGAAAAAAAACCTAACCCTCAGATGTTTACAATCAAGTGTTTGTATTACACGTTTTTCTCTTTCTGGCACAAAAAGATTATATTTATCAGATTTCTAGTAATTGTACCTGCTGAGTGTTGTGGAATGTTATAAACAGTTTATCATAGGCTTTCACATATATTAATAAAAGGATAAACTAGTGACTTTTTGTTTCTTCTTTATTTACACACAGATATCTTATTGAATTATTTTAATTTGAAAGACGGAATTATTTCCTTCTGAGGACTATTTCATTTTCATTTTGTGCTCTATGTTTAATTTTCAGGTTCTCAAGAGAAAGTGTTAAAAGGGGAAAACTTCTTTCTGGAACACCCCTTGATAAAGTATGTAGTTTCATTGGTTAATAACAAAGTGAAATATATTGTAAAGGATATAAAATTGACCCACTGGATATTTATGTATTTCACATTGCTATTGACTAAATAACCTGAGTGCTTGACTATGAATACAATATTTACACAAAAAATGAAATCACAGCAGTGATATATTAATTTGCAAAACAAAATTACATTAAGATGTTTACCCAACTAAGCAATACTTGTCAATTGATTTTTTCATTGTAGTAAAAAGTCTAAATATCACAAATATCTGAAATCAAATATTCTTATGTTATATATTATGTTATAACCTTAAAGTAATTTATCTTCAATATTTTTTCAGGGAGGGGGGGGGAGTATGGTTCAAGAAGGGCTCAAGCTTGTGGCCACTGATTTCAAAGAAGGTTTTTTTTCTTTTAAAATGGACCTTTTTATCCCCTCAGTTGACACAACACAAGAAGTCAAATTTTGGTTCAGACTCCCCCCCCACACACACACACACACACACACACCTACAGGCCTGAATGCGTTGTCTAACGTTTTTTTTTTCTTTTTTTAGGGCTAAAAAGGCAAATAACAATTTCGTGGCATCCCAAACAACGCCCTAGTGCATGCTTTTAAACCTCTTTTGAGTTCCAAATGCCATTTTTTCGAGCAGAGGTTCATTTACATTATTTTAATTGGATGTAAGATGCCTTTGGGATTAAAGTACAGGCTAATTACCTAGAGGGTTTGGGCATCCCTTACGCGTTTGTGGCTCGTTTTTAGACAGCACAAGATGCATTAACGCGTCCTACCTTTTCATTGAGAGACGTAAATGGGGGTGGGGGGGGGGTAAATATTAGGGGTTCAATTTTCTTTTATTTCAAATAACAAAAGGACAGCGAATGGCGTGAAGTACATCGTGTACGCACAGTCCCAAGACGACACACCTTTCCCGTGCACCCTTTGGGTAGTATAGGAAAGAATCCGTTTGTGAAAAAAGGTTTTTTTTTATCTTGATTCTATATTTTTTCATATATTCCAATTCTACAGTCCAGACTTCTTAAGACGTAAGGAACTCTCAAACAAGATAAACTTCACTCCGTGTAGATCTAAACCAAATGCCTTCCTACCAATTTTTAAAGAATCTTCAGGACCAAAATGGATTTTGAAAAAGGAAAACAAGATAAAAAAAACCAATGTGAATGCCAAAGTCGCATTTTGTGCCTTAGTATCTTGCACAGCTTTTTTACCCGTACAGACGCCTTGGGCAGTAACTGCGTTGTGATGAAAAGCACATCAAGTCGCAATACGGACTAGATGCATTGACAACATTCACACCTACGGCAATCGATCGCTCAAACTCCGTTACGTTCATGAATTTTTTTTTATTTTTGATCAGTCCATAGACAACTAACGTAACGCAAAGAAAACATTTTCCCTCTGCAAATAGCGTCCCTACTAGGTTAAGGCTAATTTAAAACGCGTGTATCTGTGACCCACTTAGAGTGTTACGATTTTAACTCGGGATAATAAGAGGAGAGGCAAGTTCAGTTCCAGCGGGGCTGCGGCTATTTACAGGCTTCAGTTACACTGCTCAACCAGGTGGCGTTCACTCTTCTCTATGTCCATATACAGAATGAGGGAACAAGCAGTGTGCAAAAATAACTCAAATACCTGACCGAATAGCGGCGCACTGCTGTCTTTCAGGCAAGACAGACAAAGAAAAAAGCGAAGGAGTTTCATCTTGCATCTTTGAAGGTATGTTTGAACTTTCTAATAAAAGTAAGGGCTATTTCTGTTAAAACAGTGGACATCAATAGGAATTATCTTATTAATACCGGCTGGAATCGGCTTCTTACGCACTTGTGTTGGTTGTGTTTGAGCATGGGAAATGCTTATTTTTAAGTATTCAAATGTGTTTGTGCTGCAGTCATTCAGCGTGATTTTATCTTTATTCTTCTAGTTTATGATAGAAAATCGTTAATACTAGTTGTCCAACCCATGTTCATAATATCTTGCTATAATCTTTAGTCATCCAACCGGAACAATTTATTTATGAACATTATTATAAAAGCTTGTAGTTCATTGTCTACTTCAGAGCCTAAAAGCTGTCAGTTTAAACAATCATGTTTCGAGCAAAAATGATCGTTAGCTTGGTATTATAATTGTATTATATGATAGTGATGTTTCATTTGAATTTTCAGCTGTACTGTGAACCTTGAAGATTTAGGCTTTACATGGGTTATTATTTATTTGCCAAAGTGCCTGAACTGGCTCCATGAGTAAAATTTTGTTTAACAAAAATCTCTTTTTGTCTGTATGGAAAACAATTTGATTACTGCTAGTTTTGTGCTGAATTTGGGCTATATGGTTCACACAGCCAACACCCTAAATTATAGATAAAATTAGTCATCTTGCCATGCTTCAGACTAACTTCATATACTCATAAATTTGTTATAAAAATATTTACTGGAAAAGTGGGATGGAACTTTTACACCTGGCCCTTGGAATATAGTATGCAGACTATTTGTCATGTCAGTGTTAATTGAAGTGATGGAAATATCAAATAGCAAACTGGCTTAGCTGCATTTTAGATGATCCATGGAATGGCACATAAGAAACAGACATTATCTGTTTGGATAGTGTGAAAGATGTGTTCAGATGTGAATATTTGCAAGCCTGATAGCATTCTTGGTCACTGACTGTATGCAGGATACGTGACTCATTATGTAGACAGACATTTTAAAATGTAACATTTCTAGATGCATTTGTGCTTTAAATTCCGAATCATTGTCAGCACTGAGTTGAAGCAAAATTCGGTGAAAACTTTATAAGCATTAGAACATGAACTATAAAGAGCGATATATGAAAATAATTCTCATCTAGCTGACAGGTAGATCAGTTAGTCAAGGTTTATTTTTGACAGCTGTTTTATCTATCCAGCATTGAACAGCTGAGGTGATGGTAAAAGGGCAGGGGCACTTGGTTATTGAGGCATTTATCTTGGAAAAATGTTTTGACTTATGATTAAGTATTATGGGTTCATTAGAGTGCAAGAAAAAAGACAAAAAATATATGTGAAGAATTATCTTAAGAAATGTGGTTAGCATATTGAATAAAATAATTGCAGGGTAACTAAACATTTTTGGTTTTTTTCTTCTTATTTTGTAGCTTCAAAAAGAATTTAAACGTGATATCATGGGAATAGTATTTTTATTCTCTTTTTTTTTTTCAGATTCCACCATGTTTAAACCTGTAGCTGCTCCAAAGTGTAGAGCATGTGAGAAATCTGTATATGCTGCTGAGGAAAAAAGCGGAGCTGGATTTAAATGGCATAAAGCATGTTATCGCTGTGGTAGGTTGAGGTTGTTTTCATATTAATTTACTCCTATAGGTGTTCCCAATATGTGTACTGAGAAATTATTCCTGTACTGTTTACAGGAGTATGTGCAGCGTGATTGGGGGGTGGGTGGGTGGGGGTGGGGGGGGGGGGTTTAAGGGGGTTTGGGCAAAGCTTCCTTGATCAGGTTCTCAAAAATAAATAAATAGATAAATACTATTGGAAACCTGATTATTTTAATGTACAGTATGCACAGGAGATGCTGCACTGGTAAAAGGATTTAAAAAAACAAAACCCTCTCTGCAAAATGTTGGACGCTTCCATCAGGTCCATGTACAATTGGCTGTATCATGTAAAATGTACATAATTTGGTTGTTACTATAACATAATTTATATTGTTGTTAATGTGATGTAACTAATGCAGTTGTATACATGAAATAAATCTATAATGCAAGTGTTTTTTTTTTTTTTTTTTTTGCTATTCAAAAGGCTTATCAAATTGTTTCAGGGTAATGGCAGTTTATCTTGGGCCATGTTTTCTTTTTCTAGTAAGTTGGATTGGCGATCCACCTTTATTTTCACAATCACCTAGCTTTTGTGTTTCATCCACTGCATTGTGAAAAAAATCTACTTTTATTCCATGATCCTTTTTCTGTCAAGTTCTTTCTATTTGTCAATTTGGTCTTGTCCTGTATTTGTTGTAAATCTGCTTACAATGCAGGAAAAATTTGAAGCTCAAGTTTTCAACCTCAGACTATTTTCTTGCCTTAATGGTCTTTTATTATTGTACTTATTTCTACAGTTTACCTGTTTTGATTGTTGTGCTAATATTGGGATATGATAAGACCATTCATATGCAAGGAATATTATAATATTTACTCAATATGTTGATCAAATATCATAGAACTCTATGAGTGAACATGGTATAAATACACCATAAAAAGAATATGAATGAAGAAATATGTTCGAAATGTTTTTTGTTTGAGACAATACTAAGCACAGACATTCGAACAGTTTTGCAGAATTAACATAAGTCAGAAGTTGTTCTACAGTCAAAGTCCAAAACATTTAGTCTTCTTTGATTACTTTGATCCAAGATAAAAAATTGATTTTACAAAAGTAAAAAGTTGGCAATCTTTTAGACTGGTAGTTGCTATATTTTAGCAGGCTTCTACAAATTTATCCTAAAATAGCCCAAAATCAAATCTTGACCTATTAGTACTTTAAGGGCAACTTAATGGGATTTTCCTGTCAAAATGAATTTTACTGGGGAAATAAGCAGTTTTCTCTTTCTCATGAATCATTTATCTATTCCTCTCTACACAAGGATTTGACCTTTAATTAAATTTATAAAGGTTGACTTAGTTTGAACCAGCGACCATGTCCCTATAAGGTCTTATGTAAATTTCATCATCTGGTATACTCTAGAAAAATTATTTAAAAGGGGTTAAATCATTTTGATGGTGTAAGTTTTTATAAGAATCTGTGGATGGTAAAAATAACCATTTGGTGGATTTTTAGACCCATAGAGTGTACCTTTATGTGAAACTGTGTCACAAAAAAAGCTTATAGTGTTTTGTATNAAAAAGGGCAAAATTTTTTTTTCACCCCCCCCCCCCCCCCCCCCACACACACACACACACCTACAGACCTGAATGCGTTGTCTAACGTTTTTTTTTTCTTTTTTTAGAGCTAAAAAGGCAATTAACAATTTCGTGGCATCCCAAACAACGCCCTAGTGCATGCTTTTAAACCTCTTTTGAGTTCCAAATGCCATTTTTTCGAGTAGAGGTATCATTTACATTATTTTAATTGGATGTAAGATGCCTTTGGGATAAAAGTACAGGCTAATTACCTAGAGGGTTTGGGCAACCCTTAGGCGTTTATGGCTCGTTTTTAGACAGCACAAGATGCATTAACGCGTCCTACAGTACTGCCTTTTCATTGAGAGACGTAAATGGGGGTGGGGGGGATAAATATTAGGGGTTCAATTTTCTTTTATTTCAAATAACAAAAGGACAGCGAATGGCGTGAAGTACATTGTGTACGCACAGTCCCAAGACGACACATCTTTCCCGTGCACCCTTTGGGCAGTATAGGAAAGGATCCGTTTATGAAAAAGGTTTTTTTTATCTTGATTCTAGAATTTTTTTATATTCCAATTCTACAGTCCAGACTTCTTAAGACGTAAGGAACTCTGAAACAAGATAAACTTCACTCCGTGTATATCTAAACCAAATGCCTTCATACTAATTTTTAAAGAATCTTCAGGACCAAAATGGATTTTGAAGAAGGAAAACAGGATAAAAAAAAAACCAATGTGAATGCCAAAGTCACATTTTGTGCCTTAGTATCTTGCACAGCTTTTTTACCCGTACAGACGCCTTGGGCAGTAACTGCGTTGTGATGAAAAGCACATCAAGTCGCAATACGGACTAGATGCATTGACAACATTCACACCTACGGCAATCGATCGCTCAAACTCCGTTACGTTCATGAATTTTTTTCTTATTTTTGATCAGTCCATAGACAACTAACGTAACGCAAAGAAAACATTTTCCCTCTGCAAATAGCGTCCCTACTAGGTTAAGGCTAATTTGAAACGCGTGTATCTGTGACCCACTTAGAGTGTTACGATTTTAACTCGGGATAATAAGAGGAGAGGCAAGTTCAGTTCCAGCGGGGCTGCGGCTATTTACAGGCTTCAGTTACACTGCTCAACCAGGTGGCGTTCACTCTTCTCTATGTCCATATACAGAATGAGGGAACAAGCAGTGTGCAAAAATAACTCAAATACCTGACCGAATAGCGGCGCACTGCTGTCTTTCAGGCAAGACAGACAAAGAAAAAAGCGAAGGAGTTTCATCTTGCATCTTTGAAGGTATGTTTGAACTTTCTAATAAAAGTAAGGGCTATTTCTGTTAAAACAGTGGACATCAGTAGGAATTATCTTATTAATACCGTCTGGAATCGGCTTCTTACGCACTTGTGTTGGTTGTGTTTGAGCATGGGAAATGCTTATTTTTAAGTATTCAAATGTGTTTGTGCTGCAGTCATTCAGCGTGATTTTATCTTTATTCTTCTAGTTTATGATAGAAAATCGTTAATACTAGTTGTCCAACCCATGTTCATAATATCTTGCTATAATCTTTAGTCATCCAACCAGAACAATTTATTTATGAACATTATTATAAAAGCTTGTAGTTCATTGTCTACTTCAGAGCCTAAAGCGGTCAGTTTAAACAATCATGTTTCGAGCAAAAATGATCATTAGCTTGGTATTATAATTGTAATATATGATAGTGATGTTTCATTTGAATTTTCAGCTGTACTGTGAACCTTGAAGATTTAGGCTTTACATGGGTTATTATTTATTTGACAAAATGCCTGGACTGGCTCCATGAGTAAAATTTTGTTTAACAAAAATCTCTTTTTGTCTGTATGGAAAACAATTTGATTACTGCTAGTTTTGTGCTGAATTTGGGCTATATGGTTCACACAGCCAACACCCTAAATTATAGATAAAATTAGTCATCTTGCCATGATTCAGACTAACTTCATATACTCATAAATTTGTTATAAAAATATTTACTGGAAAAGTGGGATGGAACTTTTACACCTGGCCCTTGGAATATAGTATGCAGACTATTTGGCATGTCAGTGTTAATTGAAGTGATGGAAATATCAAATAGCAAACTGGCTTAGCTGCATTTTAGATGATCCATGGAATGGCACATAAGAAACAGACATTATCTGTTTGGATAGTGTGAAAGATGTGTTCAGATGTGAATATTTGCAAGCCTGATAGCATTCTTGGTAACTGACTGTCTGCAGGATATGTGACTCATTATGTAGACAGACATTTTAAAATGTAACATTTCTAGATGAATTTGTGCTTTTAATTCCGAATCAATGTCAGCACTGAATTGAAGGAAAATTCAGTGAAAACTTTACAAGCATTTGAACAAGAACTATAAAGAGCGATATATGAAAATAATTCTCATCTAGCTGACAGGTAGATCAGTTAGTCAAGGTTTATTTTTGACAGCTGTTTTATCTATCCAGCATTGAACAGCTGAGGTGATGGTAAAAGGGCAGGGGCACTTGGTTATTGAGGCATTTATCTTGGAAAAATGTTTTGACTTATGATTAAGTATTATGGGTTCATTAGAGTGCACGAAAAAATATATTTGAAGAATTATCTTAAGAAATGTGGTTAGCATATGAAATGAAATAATTGCAGTGTAAAACATTCTTGGTTTTTTCTTCTTATTTTGTATCTTCAAAAAGAATTTAAACATGATATCTTGGGAATAGTATTTTTATTCTTTTTTTTTTTTCAGATTCCACCATGTTTAAACCTGTAGCTGCTCCTAAGTGTAGGGCATGTGAGAAATCTGTATATGCTGCTGAGGAAAAAAGTGGAGCTGGATTTAAATGGCATAAAGCATGTTATCGCTGTGGTAGGTTGAGGTTGTTTTCATATTACTCCTATAGGTGTTCCCAATATGTGTACTGAGAAATTATTCCTGTACTGTTTACAGGAGCATGTGTAGCGTGATTGGGGGGTGGGGGGGTTAAGGGGGTTTGGGCAAAGACTCCTTGATCAGGTTCTCAAAAATAAATAAATACTATTGAAAACCTGATTATAACAGTATGCACAGGAGATGCTGCATTGGTAAAAGGATTTCAAAAACAAAACCCTCTCTGCAAAATGTTGGACACTTCCATCAGGTCCATGTACAATTGGCTGTATCCTGTAAAATGTAGATAATTTGGTTGTTACTATAACATAATTTATATTGTTGTTAATGTGATGTAACTAATGCAGTCGTATACATGAAATAAATCTATAATGCAAGTTTTTTTTTTTTTTTTTTTTTTTTTTTTTTTTTTTTTTTTTTTTTTTTTGCTATTCAAAAGGCTTATCAAATTGTTTCAGGGCAATGGCAGTTTATCTTGGGCCATGTTTTCTTTTTCTAGTAAGTTGGATTGGCAATCCACCTTTATTTTCACAATCACCTAGCTTTTGTGTTTCATCCACTGCATTGTGAAAAAAATCTACTTTTATTCCATGATCCTTTTTCTGTCAAGTTCTTTCTATTTGTCTATTTGGTCTTGTCCTGTATTTGTTGTAAATCTGCTTACAATGCAGGAAAAATTTGAAGCTCAAGCGACTATTTTCTTGCCTTAATGGTCTTTTATTATTGTAGTTATTTCTACAGTTTACCTGTTTTGATTGTTGTGCTAATTTTGGAACATGATAAGACCATTCATATGCAGGGAATATTATGGTATTTACTAAATATGTTGATCAAATATCATAGAACTCTATGAGTGAGCATGGTATAAATACACCATAAAAAGAATATGAATGAAGAAATAAGTTCGAAATGTTTTTTGTTTGAGACAATACTAAGCACAGACATTCGAACAGTTTTGCAGAATTAACATAAGTCAGAATTAAGTTGTTCTACAGTCAAAGTCCAAAACATTTAGTCTTCTTTGATTACTTTGATCCAAGATAAAAAATTTATTTTACAAAAAGTAAAAAGTTGGCAATCTTTTAGACTGGTAGTTGCTATATTTTAGCAGGCTTCTACAAATTTATCCTAAAATAGCCCAAAATGAAATCTTGACTTATTAGTACTTTAAGGGCAACTCCATGGGATTTTCCTGTCAAAATGAATTTTACGTGGGAAATAAGCAATTTTCTCATTCTCACGAATAATTTATCTATTCCTCTCTACACAGGGATTTGACCTTTAATTAAATTTATAAAGGTTGATTTAGTTTGAACCAGCGACCATGTCCCTATAAGGTCTTATGTAAATTTCAACATCGGGTATACTCCAGAAAAATTATTTAAAAGGGGTTAAATCATTTTGATGGTGTAAGTTTTTATAAGAATCTGTGGATGGTAAAAATAACCATTTGGTGGATTTTTAGACCCATAGAGTGTACCATTACGTGAAACTGAGTCAATTTGGTGATTTCACCAAAAAGCTTATAGTGTTTTGTATAAAGTCACTGAAGTTAGTAACTTGTGTTTTTGCTCATTATGACACCATCTACTTTTCAGGCATGTGCAGTACATCACTAGATACCAGCACAATGCATGCTCAGGATGGGTGGATATGGTGTAAAACATGCCATGCCAAAAAATTTGGCACAAAGAAGTAAGATTGGTTTGTATGGAGACCTATGTGCCCTCTGCTGTGTGTATAAACTGTGCCCTGCCGACAATTCCCCTTTTCTCTCCAGATCATGACATTTTCAGGTGTAGAAACCCACCATTCATTTATCACTACTCTTGTTTCTTTTATAGGACTCTTACCTTTTGATTTCTCTTTATCATTAAAGTAGCAGCTAATTTACATTTGTGAATATATGCTACTTCTTGGTTAACATAGTGAAAGCATTGGTACCTTGGCTACTGGCTTCTGAATGTTCATAAGTTGTTGAGGCTATAAAATTTGATTAAGACATTTTTGAATTTGGTGAAATAACTTACTGCATTCTCCATACAATCTAGCTGCTCAGCTTCAGCATTTATTATCCAGTATCCATGGCAACTGGCTTTAAGAACTCAAACCTAGCTCATGCACACCTTAACACTAACCTTGCTTGGGTCATGCACCAAAAGGATAAGTTTTATTTTTTTCTAGGACTCTTTTTGTGACAGTGTTGCCGCTAGGCCATTGCTTGTTTATTGTACTGCTCCTGATGTCTTTTCTACTTTAAACTTCTTATTTTTCAGCTTTCTTTTACACTTTTCATCTTTAATTATCCTACTGTGCTGTATTATTTGTTTTGTTTTGTTACTCGATTTCCTAACATTATGGTTATGGTTTTATAAGTCAATGAAAAAACTTGGTTTAGCAATTTTTTGTGACCTGATGAAAAAGAAAAATTTTTTGCTGAACAGAATGCAAAATGGATGACAAATTTGACTACAAAATCTCTCTGATGTTCTAGTTGACATGATGTGCTTTCTCTTGATCCTCATCAAGCCTTCGTGTCAAACCTTGTTGTCATGGCAACTGTATCTGTGGTGACTAACACATGCATGTTGCTTTCCTTATATAGGCATGTGTAAGACCAACTTGGACAGCAACAACTTGGCATGCCATGATGGCTGGATCTTCTGTAAAAAGTGTTATGCCCGACAGTTTGGTCCCAAAGGGTGCGGCTTTGGCGCGGGGGCAGGGGCACTCCATACAGATGATGGGGCCCAGTTCTCAGGGTCCCGTAACCAAGGTGGAATGGGCTCTAACTTCTAATTAGGTACCACAACTTTTTCTTGAATGTGAAATGAATGAAATTTATTTTGAAGAAAATTTAAAAAACAGAAATAATCAGCTATGTTGGAAACCAATATTTAGACATTTATTCATCCGAAATGTCAAGTGGTTACAATAATATTTCTTCTTTTTAATATTTTCCCCAGAGTTCTTTTCTTTTTTGTATTATTTCCATGTACACTCATTGGGCCATATCTTAGGGGCATACCACTATTTATGAGGAGCAAATGTGTTTCAACTTATTGCAATAAAATATTAGAAAAAATTAGTAGCTTGGGAATTAGAAATTAGAAAAAAATTAGTAACTTCTTGTAAAAAAGTCACATTTAAGGAAATTAATATAAAGCTTTGGTACAATTATCAATGAGTACATTTCTTATTAATTTAGCTGGGTATTTTTTAACTATGATTCATGATTTATCAATAGATTTTTAAAAACCTAATTTTATCTTATAGACTCTGTAGCAATCTTATTTGATCATTATTTTTTCTCATTTCAGAATGACATAGCCTAACATAACACTGGCAGATACACCAAGGCTCAATTTTCCTACTTTTGTGAATGATTTAACAACTTGCAGAAAAAAAAACTTAGACCAAGATGAAGCATCATGCACAGTGGTTATAGTGAATTTCGTCTGTTTTGCAGAGAAGTTGAAATAGTGTTGCAGATATGCTAAAAAAAAGCATCGATCAAGTAGTTGGAGGTTGACAGTGAAGGAGGAGCATGTATTTCGACTCTGTCTTACCACTTGCCAGCATGATGTAGTTAATTATTGGACTATCCTCCTGGCAGCAATATTTGTACATACTAATATTTCCCACTTCCTTCTACAGGGAGTAGCTTTTAGACCAACTGGAACTAATGAGAATGAAAGATTTTATTGTCTTAATTACATAAATTATCTTTAAGAGTCATATCTGATAATTATAAAATACAAGCTGAAATACTTTCATATCGTTATTGTGTGGCCAACCTATGAGCCAACTACCAAGCTAAAGAACTTTTTTGCATGCCTTTAAGAGTCATTTAAATATTTCTAGATGCTTGCCTTTTATGAGTACAAGTCTGTTGTGAAGCATTTTTCTCATATTGAGGAAAGGATTTCATAAAACTAATTAAGATCATAATTTTGACCCAATTTTTATGAAACTATCTCTTCTAATTTTGAGAATATATAGGGGTTATCAAGATGCCAAATGATGAAATGTCAAAAACACCTTTTCCTGATCATGTGAAAGTGTTATTTTATATCTCACAACTTACTGTTTTATTTTTCTACATATACTTTGTGTAAATGAGGATAATAATTCATCAATATGATTGTCATGACCAGTCTAATTTTTTAAATAATCCTCAAATTTTTCTGTAACAGCATATCTTGCAAGTTAAAAAGGGGCAAACTGTAATGTATTCTACAATTTTTTAAGAAGTTAGTTATGAAATTATCTGGACTGTAGTTTTTCTCTTAAGTTGGCATCCATGATATGACATGTTTTTGAAAACAATAAAGGTAGACTCTTTAACAGATTTGTTGTCATTCGCTTGTAGAAACTTCAATTTTAAACCAGAAAAGCACCCGGACCAGAGAGCACAGACCTCCGCTGGACAGCTCAATGATCATTGTATTATAGAAAACAACTACTTAGATAAAATTTGCTTTATTATTATTATTTTATTCTAAAGTCGGGGGAAGTAAACTCTACTGGCATGATAGTTAGTAGAAAACTAAGTCTGGTGTGATGCTTCAGAATTGAAGTGGAAGTAGAATGAGATGTCAGCAGAATTGTCAACACACTGGACTGTCCCTCTGTCCAGAAATTAAGTGAAGTAAAGTGACATGAGTAGTGTAGTAGTGGAAGGTTTATGTAGTGTAGCCAGCTGGCAAGGTGCCTATAATAGGGGAAAACAGCTCACTATAACACAGGAAGGATATTCTCAGTTAAAACTGCTCACAACTAGTACCATAGGTAAGTGTTCTGATGCAGAATGGTATGTTACACTCATCATTATTATTTTTTAGCAAATCCATAAATTTATTCATTAACTTAATTCTCATTATTATTTATCAACTAATTAATAAGCTCAATTCTCATTATAATTATTATTTTATTAATTAACTAATCCCCATCAGAATCCATTTCAGACCAATCCTGAAAATTTCATCCAATTCCCTTCTTAACTTTTAACATACTGTGGCTTACAGAAAAACGGAGTTTGTTAACTAGTTAAAGCAGGACAGAAGTGGAAACATCTTTTCATGTAGTCCGACTGAGTAATTTTTAAATATTCGAGTCCCGGGAATCCCGTTTAATTACGAGTGATAGCCTGATGTGGTGTAATTGATGATAATGCAAAACGACTCACCTGAACGCGACTGCATAACACTCGCTGAAACGTACATGACATAATTTATTTGGTATACTAGATCATCACCAAAATTTAAGTGTTTCTTACTTGGTCCCCTCCAGACAGTTTCCAAATTATCTCAGCAACTTTTTCCACAACTTTTTCCATAATGTTACTAACTGACAAACTCACAGATAGATGGAACTTAACAGAACATTGGCAAAGGCGAAATAAAGAGATTTGGAGGTATATTCAAAGTGTGATCAATAACCGAAAATTAAAATGTAGAAGTTATTAACTTGAAGATATTTTATAAAAATTCCAATTAATTTTTTTTCTTCAGTAGCAAATTAATATACAATTTTACAATTTTGCCTTATGAATCACACACACACACACACAGACACACACACACACACACATACTTGTACTCTCTCTCTCAGTATAAAAAAGGTTGTACAATTACAGTATTGCATATAAGGGTAGAAATAGAGATTGACAATTCATGTTGTTAACCTTTCATTTGAAGTACTAAGAGGTATATCCTTAGCTGGTTGCTTGTCAATTAAGTTGTAATATGCGATCAATATTTTTCCATTTTCTTTTAACATGTTGTTTTTTGTCGGTATACATAAAGAATACATAAATTAATCATTTCAGAATCTGTAGTATTTAACATATTGTCTAGTTCCTTCCCATGTTGGGATTTCTGTTCTCGTTCTACATACACTGACATATGTCTTAATTATTAAGATAAGTAAATAAAAACCTTTTATATCATAGGCTTGCACAAGCCCAAATAAAAAATCTCAGGAGATCTCTCAATGACCACACCTAAATTATCTTTTACAGAACAAATGACACACATCCAAACATTCTGTACATGTGGGCTATCCCAGAAAACGTGAAGAATAGTTTCCCTAGCAGCATTGCAAAATTCACACTGTTCTGATTCTCTTCTGAAATTTTTCATGAGATAGACATTGGTACTGGATATTCTATGATTTATTCTAAATTGAAGCGTCTGCAGTTCATGTCATATGATTCTTGGAAGGGAAATCTAAATATTAGTTGCCAATCGTCATTACTTAAGGATTTTTTAATATTCTCGTGCCATTTACCTATACTTTCATTTGGTGATATGGTATGGCCTTGGAGGTATTTTTTGTAAAAATATCTGGATGGTTTGGTAACTTTTTTAATTGAGTCAATTATTTCTTGGGATACCATGTGTAATTTTCTTCCATGAGTAGAGATAGTTTTACACCATTCAGATGGTATGCTCTTTTGAATACTCAAGTTTTCCAGAAAGTTAACGTTTAGGCTGAATTTTTTGTTTAGTTCCTCTAGAGAGAGGAAATTTCCAACATTATTTACAATATCATTAATGTAGAAAATACCATTTTTACACCATCTTTTATGGAATATAGTTTTTTCATTTATTTTAATTTTTGAGTTTTTCCATAATGGTTGTGAAAGGATTTCTTCTGGAGTTAAACTGGGGTTTTCCTGAATTTCACTCAAAGAATCAATATCATTTTGCCAAAAGGGGTTATTAGTTGCTCGAAGTGTTTTTAATCCACCTTATGCCAATGTCCATATTTTATCACCCCCCCCCCCACCCCCCCACCGATTCCTGACAGTTCACTTAGAAAAAGCGCTTTCCACTTACTTTCATTTTCTTCAACCAAAAGTCTTTTTAGCCATGAAAGTTTTAGTGCCTTAGTAAAAAGTTTTATTTGTGGTACCTTAAGCCCTCCATTTTCGCAATCAGACACTATTGTTGCTTGTTTTATTTTGTCTCTTTTCCCATTCCAGATAAAGTAAAATATGATTGTATCCATAGTTTTAAAGATATGGTCTGGGGGGTTTGGCAGGGCAGTTAACATATGCACCAAGATGGGAAATATTAAAGTTTTAACCACTGTTACCTTTCCAATTTTTGAAAGATTTCCCAAGGACCAAACTTTCAGGATATTTTTTATTTTTTCATTTTTTTCTAAAAAGTTAATTTCACAATGGTTAGTTTTTTTCAATTCGTATTTTATACTAAGTAACTTAAATGCACCTTCATGATTCCATTTCATTTCTTTTTCAGTTTTGATTTTTTTCATAACACTCTCTCTTGGCCCTAATACATATAGCTTGTTTTTTAGAAAATGGCTCTCAGAGAATGTAGCGATTAGGTAGAGGACCCTGTTCAAGGAGAACTCATCATCTCCCAGTATAAGAGTTGTATCATCTGTATAAGAAGAAATAAGAAACTCCATATTGTTTGTATTGATTCCGTTTACATCAGGGTCTATCTTAATTGTGGCCAAGAAAATTTCTAAACAAGGAATGAAAAGGTATGGGGACAAGGGGTCTCCCTCAATGAATTTATATGTACAGACACATCATGTCTGTACATATAACCGTCACAAGTGTCTGTTGTCACCATCGTTGTTGTCATTGTTGTCGCCATGTACTTTCAATGACAACATGAGAGGAAATCTGTTTGACCTATTGTGTTCATACTTGCAGAACTGTTGAATATTCATATAATACAAGTCTAGTTCGAAAATCAGCTTGGCAATTTTTTGTGAAATTTACATTTTTTCTCATTCTAGCATTGCCAATGTGTGAATATGAACTCTAATGAGCTTGCAGCTTCATGCTCGTTACATATTTCTCATATCCGTGTTACCTGCCTTGTCTATAGATAGCCTGTCTTTCGCTACATTCTAGAAGGAAATATCAGTATCAGGTTCTTTTATTTGTTTAGAGTTTACTCCCCTTTATTATGAGAAAACATAGAAAAGGAAATACCAACATCAGGTTCTTTTATTTGTTTGGAGTTTACTCACCTTTATTATGAGAAAAGATAGTGTTTGATAAGGGTGTCTCGCCCACGTAGTAAGAGTAATCAATTTTTGAAGTTTGAATTAGGAAAGATAAGAAGCTTTTCTGGATGTGTTGATGCGATAAAAAGAACATGACTTTGGGGGGGGGGGGATTTCAAACACTGGAAAGCATACCTTTATTGAGTTAAATTCATTTACTTTTTCGACATTATTAAGCACAGAGGAATAGACAAGACAAAAACAGGTTTATAAGCTGTATTTTTTCTGTATGACATTTTACATCACAGTATAAGTCATTGTTTAATACTAGAACCATTAATTTTGCATCCAGACATAAGAATTTGGGGGGGGGGAAAGTTCCCACACAGAAAACCATAACACGGTTGGTTGTAGTTGAACAGCATATTGCATGGAGTAACTTTTCTAAATCCCCTTATTCATTATCCATATAAACACATGAGAAATAGTGTCTACACAATCATAACTGTCAGAAAATCTAGGTGTTATAGGGAAAAAACATTTTTACCCATTTTAGACTGATAAAAACCTACATATCAAAAACAAATTTTAAATTTATACTATGATACCATGACCTTTGCAAAAAAAAAAATATTTACAAAGTCCCTTCAACATAAGGTAAAAAAATTAATTCAACATGACTGGCTCTTAGACGGGACTGATTAAAGGTTTTCAAAACAAAGACCTGCCCCTATTAAGCATTAAGCTAATACATGATCTCTTGCCTTTCTCAATTTCATGTTATCTTAACATAAGGCATAGATTAAATCTGGACAAATTTCTCAAACTTCTTAGTTTATCAGTAACTATAAAAACACATTAACAACAATTATGGATAATGAAATGATACAATGAGCTTCCCCATTGCAAATTAAAATAATGACTCCAAATGCATTCCCTTTTCTGTTGGGAACTTCTGGTTCTACAAATATCCAAAATATTTTGCAAAATTTCTCCCCAACCATGACAATTCGCTTCTGTGATGCCAGTGATATTCTGTTTCAAGTCAACATTTTGGTAGTAGTTTCCTGGATGTCTTTTTCAGCAATCTTATTCATACCCGTATTTTTAGGCCTATATAAATCAGTAGCTATTCCATGCCAAGTTTAAGCTCCAGAAGTTGAGTGTAAGTTACAAATTGAGCCTTGGACAATGCATTGGGTTGGAGTGTCCGTGTTTCTGTGCTACAAAGAACCCCTTTGGAATGCGTCTGCATCACTCAGGAGTTTCTTCAGATCTGAGAATAACTGAAAACCAAAAAAAAAATTTTTTTTTGAGACACTGACAGTTGACAGCCAAGACAGTTCACACTACTTATTTTCATATTTCTAACATGATCACGGTATTAGTCGAAAGGTTCAATCAAATGGCAATACAAAAAGGTTTATAATATAATACTGGAGAATGTACAAATTATTGCAATTCATCACACAAATAACAGAACACGACCATGTTTAGATAATACAGGATTGATGGAAAGGCATAGGATAATTTAGCTACTCTTACTTGTAGCACCCAAGTTCTGTTCATTAACAGTTGGTCTAGCACTTCTGCGCCCTCTAGGGACTTGTTGTTGGTATCACGAATCACCTGGATCTGTAGAGACGAGGCGTGAAAATATTTATTCTGAATAACATACTGCATATATGTTCTCTAATGAAAGTACCCAAAGAGGAAAATATGGTAATAAGTTATGAATCCACATTTCTTTGAAAAAATTCATGCTATATACAAGAAATACTGGGGTCCTGATTTTCTTCAAAACACGATGTAGTTTTAGTGAGACAATGTTTCTTAAATTAGTTTTGCTTACTTTAGCAGCACATCTCTTAAAAAGAGCAAACTTGAAATGATGCAGCCCGTGATACACTGAAAGACATCTGGAGGCTTGCTGTCCAATATAAAACTGTGGAAAAAGATAAAAACCGATTTAGTGGCATCAAAGAATATTTACAAAATTCTTTTTTTTTTTTTTTTAACTTTTTTTACTTTATTAATTAAATTTCAAGCAAAAATATACATCTCACATTGGAAATTTACAAACTGAGACAAGTCTTCACTGCATAAGAGAAAAAAAAAAGAAAGAAAAGAGAAGGATAAAAGCAAAATAAAGTCTATTATAAGTCTCCAGGTACCTCTTTATGTTTAGTACTGTTTGGTATGACCTGAAGTGTTTTCCTGTTGTAAGACTCCCCATACAGCTCCACCATCTTGACAGCTGGGGTGTGAAGATCTTCACATGCCTGAAGGTAGAAGTAGGAACTGAAGGCGATCTCTAGTGAAGTTGATGCATGTGCTGACCCTCATGCAATATTGAATGTTTATGTTTTATCTATGGCAAATATGCTGTTGCTTAGGGAATTTACATTGGCAGTTGGAAAACAACAATATTAGACATTAGAACTGAATAACAATCTGTACAGGTCCAAAAAATCTAACAAACTGAACAAACAGCTAACAATTTCAGACCCGATTCCACTTCTTGTATGAGAATCATTTCAGTTAACAACAGAAAAAAACCTGTCATGTAAGAAATGTTAAAGGTTGTCTTCAGACCACGTGACCTCTACTGATGGCTATACTCTATTAAAATCTCTTAGGAGATTTTACCAAAAAAACAAACTTTTTAGAAAAAAAACCAGGGAATATCTTTGAATGTAAAAATGGATTCATTAACCATTGGTAAGTATGGGAAAATTGTTGTTTACTCCAGGAAAATTCATTTTTTGGCCAAAACGAAGAGTTATTATCCCTTTAACCAAGTTGAAAATAGGAGTGAATTAAAGATTGAGTTTGATATTAGCAGATTTTGTTCAGTATACTAGAGGTTGGAATCCCTTTACCTGACAGTGTTGCCCTTTAGCCTGTGTGTCTGTAAAACTCAAATATGGCCTCCATTCTACTGCTCTCTGAAATGACAGAAACGATCACATTGTACATGACAACAACTAGTTCAATAACATTATGTCTTGAAAACTATGCACAGATTCAAGTCTAACCAAATTCTATCAAATACTATCCATGTCTGAAGGTTATTGCATACCCCCTGTTAATGCCAGCTGATCATAGTTCTACCTTTTTTTCAGCTGTATGAACATTTTTCCAGATCAAATCTTTTTGATTATTTCCTACTTACCTTGAATGTATCTTTCCAATTGAGCTGAGATTGTACCGATTTCTTTGTTTTCTCTAACATCTCATCTATTGCATTAAGAGGGTCCAAGTAGAAAGGATCTGTGCATATAAATATACATATGCTTATTATCATGATTTCAACTTACTCTCATTATTTAATTATATTTCATTATAAAATGTAGTCAAATGAGTATACTTATAAATCCATTTCATTTCATAAACATTCTCTCTTGCCACTTTAACCAATGAACTGATAGATTAAACAAATTGTCAGGGAACAGTTTACTGCAGATTTTCCAGTTTTAGTCAGACATTGCAGTCAAATCAGTATCCACTAAAACCAGAAGGTAAATCATTTTAAATGGAGTGAATTCAGATATTGATCAATAATGTATTTACCATTCTCCTCTATCATTGCACTTATAAAATTTTCTTCCAATGCCTGACTTAGCAGTATTTGCAGGTAAGTGTTGAAATTTTCAAGAAAAGGATCTTCTTCATTCACAGCAGCAGACCTAGAAAAAAGTTAGTTCTCATGAAAACTTATAAGTCAAATTGCCATAAATATTAGAAATATGCATATATCTTACCAAACATCTCAGTCCCAAAGGTAGTGTTATGCCATACTTGACTAATTGTCATTATCTATCACCTCTGAATACACGAAAACATTACAGCAAAGTAAATGTTATCCAAACATGGTTCCATCAAATAATCATGGATATTTATAAAACTTCCCAAATGTTACAGCATTCAAACATAAATCATATAATATATATACGTACACAGCTGGATCTTTAGGCTGAAACTGTTCCAGTACCTCTACCAGTTCATAGCCCTTGCCCTGGGCCAAGTAATGCACCTGGATGGGTTTGTAGTTGTCCCTGACAGCATCAGACCAACTGGAGTACTGGATATAATAATAATATTAATTATCATGATGATAATAATGATAATGGTATTCTTTACAAATACCAAACACTTTACTTATTATGTTTTATTTTTTTGGCAAGCTGCATCATACTTAATTTCTTGTTACCATCTTTCCTAATTTCTGACATGATTGTTTATGTTTAGAAGTTACAAGTAGTCTATTTCAAATATTCCTGAAAAACTGGAGGCTGCTATGGCATTTGGACCAATGCAGCCACGAGCCATGGATAACAAACAAGCAATAGTATTTTACCATACAAAGTATGTAATGATGTTATTATGCTGTCTGGGATGTCTCTGAAAATATCAAACAAGAAAAGATATACACTCACTGTGGACAGAGATTTGTGCACTAATTTTCCGTGGTCCTGAACAGCTATGTATTTCTGTAAAAGTTTCTTGGAATCAATCTTCCAGATGGGGAAGTTCTTGTAATTGGTCAAATCCTTTATTTTGATAACAAACTCTCCCCTCTGAAAATGAACAACACAATATTTCAAATCTTTTGTGAAGGCATCAAAACAAGCATATCTGTGTGAAAAGCAAATTAATAAGCAAAGTATTAACAGTGAAGAATGTTTTTTTAATTGCTTGTTTGTATTGTAATTTCTAAACTTACAAAGATTTGTGGGAATAGTTTCTATCCAGAAGAAAAAAGTCTATGAAAATAAAATTCTGATAAATGTTACCTGAAAGTGATGCACTGGATTCCCAGTTGATTCTTCACTGTCAGAAATATCAATCACCTTTTCCTGTGGTATCTGTTCTGACACATGAAATACTGACTGTACCCTGGATTTGGCTGCTGTTCCTCTTCCTCTACCCCTTCTCCCTCTTTTCTTATCCTTCATATCATCATCAGAATCAGATCCATACTTGGGCACAGCTTCTCCCTGAAGGAATGGAAAAACTAGCATTATGACATGTTATTCTCAACAAGCCAAAAGAACATGAAATAATTTCTGCATTTGCTATAGTACACCACTTAATTCAAACATATGCATTCATGCACACATGCAGGCACACACAGAGAAACCATACTGCACTACTTACGCCACCAGGTGCCCATCCTGGATCCTTGTCAGAATCATAACCCTCTTCTTCACTGGTTATTGCTATGAAGTCATCCTCTGAGGCATCCGAAATATCTATGTCACTTCCAGTTTTTTTGCGCTCTGGAATAGGTAATCAATGTATGACTATTAATATAAAATTATATTTTTCTGTGAACAATGGACAGCACGTTTGACGTTAAATTTCCATGCTAGCACTAGCAATTTATTTGTCTTGTCAATTTAGGCTAATTACCACAAATTTTCAAATCTCACTCACTCCCATACTTTACCTATTCAAGATTTATCTTTAGTTACTCTATAAAATGTAACTTTTGACAGAGAGCCAACTAATTTCTTAGAAATATTAAATCAACAGTTTGAAGCATTAGTAACAAAACCATGTTTAACTTCAAGGGCAAATTATTGATTTATTTTGTTAGAATTTGCAGTGCTATTCATATTCACTAAAAGAACTTACTACTGCTTTTTTCATGTCTCTTCTTCCTTTTTTCCTCCAGCTTAACTTTTGCACTTCTCTTTAGAGACTCCCTTCTAGGGAGGGGAGATGGTTCACGCTCTGGTTCAACAGCCGCAACCTCCTCATCACCACTTCCCAAAGACACCACCTCTGTCACCATTTTCTTATTCTGCTTTTTCCTCTTTTTACTCCTCTGTTGCTTGATTTGTTTTAAAATACTGCCCTTAAATGGGTCTATAACAGCTGCACTGCTTTCGTCCTTGGAGTCTGAATCACTGATATTTGAGATAACAGTCTGTACTGTCTTAAAAATATCTTTGGAACTACTGTCTTGGGAGGAATCATCGTCATCTGAAAAAGCCCTGCCATCTCCACTGTCCTGCCTCTTTTTATTTTTTGGCACCTGAGGCTGTGGACGTGGGGTCTCCATGGGGATATACTTGGGTAATTGAGGCTTCTTTACCACAGCACTTGTAGTCACACTAGAGAGCGTCTCTGGTTTTTTACCCTGTAGAAACCCAAGGAAGGAATCTTGAAATGCAGTCTGTGGCATTTTGGCAATTTTGGGTGGGGTGGGAACAATATGACTAGGGTTTCCTGTATTGTTATTTGGTTGAGTTCTATTAAAATGACTGGTACTGGAGCTTTGAGCAGAATGAGTGCTTGGTCCCAATGGGTCAGATTTCAAGTGAGCAAATTCATCATCAAAGTCATCATCCTTGCAGATCTGTGAAGTGGTGGCAGGCATGAGTTTCTTTTCCGCTTTTGTCTTACCAGGTTTGCGTTTAGGTGCACCAGTTGGTAACCTGTTCCCTGCAGCTGTATAGTCAAGTTGAGAGTCCAGGCTCATGATGGACCCCTGGCCTTCCTCTGGTACCAACTGAGGTTCATTCTGTACCACAAGGGGCATGTTTTCTGCCAAAATATCATTAGGGTTAACAAAGCCAGTCCCAAAGGTACTGGTCATGTACATTGCCATGGCTTCACTAGTGGAGGCAAAGTCCTGTGATGATGGCACTTGAAGATCCCGCTCTGGTTGAGAGGGTGCTTGCAGAGAGGCAAATGTCTGCATGTCTATAGTGCTTTGAGCTATTGTAGCAGCAGGCTGGTGGGAGTGCTGAATTTGAACCCGAGGAGCCGAAACAGCCTGATGATGTAGAGGCTCTACAGTCATCACCTGGGCACTGTCTGTTTGCATCTGCTGCAGGGGAGGAATTGGAACCATGTCCTGCCCTCTCACAGCAGGCTGAATCATGGCTGGCATTGGGGCAACAGGCTGTACGGGGACGTAGCTCTTGCTCTCACTTACAGTTGCAGCAGCAGCCTTCTTTTTCCTACTCCTCTTTGGTTTCGCTGCTGGTTTAGAAGTGGTGGAGTCTGGCACCGCTTGGACAGGCACCACAGTCTGTTGCTGAATCACTGTAGACGAGGCCATGTTCTTTATTGGATAATGCTGCTGCTGTGACTGCTGTTGTTGTTGTTGCTGGGACTGATGGATAGATGGACTCCCTACATTCAAAGGACTACTGTGACTTGAAGACCTCTGTGGGCTATGCTGAGGTGGTGCAGAGATGTTAGAACTTGGGGTTGGCATCACTGAAGAACTCAAAGGTCTTTTAGGCTCAGTTATAACCGATGCCTGCAAAACTTGATTGAAGGCCATGACGGGGTCTACAGCCTGCCTCTGTTGATTGGTCTGCATGACTAAGTTCTCTGACTGTTTGCGACTCTTCCTGCTGACTGATGATGCTTGCTGCTGTTGTAACATAACACGGTCACTGTTGTACTGATCTTGCTCAGTGGATCGAGAGTCAGTCACAGGTCTTTCTGGGGGGCTGACACTGTCATACCTGTCACTCATACTGCTAGTGATCACTGAAGATGAGTACACAGAGGGAGAATGACTGTAAGAGTTGTAACTTGATGCTGTTGATGGAATATCATAGCTGCTGTGGTATCTTCCTGAAGGATCCGAGTAGACAGTGTTTGATGGGGAGTCACTGATCCCACTTTCCTTACGAGGCTCTGAAAAGGATGAACTCCTCGGTCTGACCTCGGTATTCACATACGGAGAGTTAGGCTGGGGTGACTGCATGGAAGGGGATGGCTGAGAATACTCTTTGATAGGGTTAGTGTACGTATCAGTAAAGCTGGGCTTGAAGTCACCGTAAGATCCCAGTCCTTGCTGCTGAATATACAACTCCTTCCCTTGACGGCCGTACAGGTCATGTTGCAGCTGTTTTTCTAAATAGCCAGTTTTTGAAAAAACAGAATCTGTCCTGGTAAAACCATGATCACCAACTACCCCTTTCACCGAGTCTGCGAACTGACCACGCGATTGTCCCTGGTTGTCTGCATACGTCGACTTAGTCGCTCCCTGCTCTATAAACCCTCCTTTCACCTGATGATTCTCTGCTGGCTCATCACCAGAGACTTTACTCTGAGCAATTAGTGTGTCTGCATAGGACAAGAGAGAGGCATCACTGATGTGCAGAATAGTGGGCTGAGCATTGGTCTGTTTTAGCATGCCTGAGTGAGCAGGTGGTGGGTTAACATTGGGGTAACCTGGGGGCACCAGTTCTGTAGCAAGGCTGAAAGGGGTGGAAGGCTGTGGTAGGAAGTTTGAGAGACTCCATCCCTTTGAGGCCTCTGAGGCTTGCGTTATGGCAGAGGAGCTGGATGGAAAAGTTTCCTTGAACACCGACTTTGACATCTGAATACTGCTGCTGGGAGCCCTGTGGAGAAAAAAAATGAAAATGCATAACGTTCAGGGCCAAAAGCAGAAAGCATGTTTCCAGGATCTCTCTAAATTTGTACCTTAATGGGCAGACAGGAAAGTTCTGTTATATATTTTCTTCATATTTCAAACTGTTTTAACTACGCAAATGACAATCATTGTTCATTTAAATAAACAAAGAGGCAATCTTTCACCTTGCTGTGTGCTCCGACAATGACCTGGATGAGTCAAGGCCATATCCTGGCTGACCAACAGGTACAGTTTTATAGGGCGACTGACCAACAAAGCCCTGAGCAAAGGCTGAGTCCAGCAGTTGGTGGTGACCAACAGGAGCAGGTATATGATGACCATAGTTAGGTAGACCCCCAAATCCCCGAGCCTGAGGATGACTAGAATGAGCTGGAAGCGGAGGAGATAACCCTAGGCCTGGAAAGTAGAGACAAAGCTTAAATGGGTATAGAAGAAGCATGTTAAAAAGGCTCACTTTTATCTATTTATTCATATTTATTTATTTATTTATTTAATATCTTTATTTTATTTTTCAAAATTTATTTCATTTTATATATTCATTTATTTTTATTTATTTATTATTATTATTTATTATTTTATTTTATTTATTTATTTATTTTTTTTGCAAATGAACCATTTTAACTACATGCCATGGGAGTAGGAAACTGGGAAATTGAAGTCAGTGAGTACAATCCATTTGCAACAATATCCAGAGAAAAAATCTAACATGACCATCTGGTATTGTACATAAAATCTAACACCTGAATTTACCTGTTAAGGCTGACTGTTCTAATAGATCATATCTACTAAGTGGGTTTGGATTGGTAGGTATGCTGGTCCCATGAGGCAGTCTCCCGTAGGCTGCATTCCAGTGAGGGTCCATGCCACAGCACTGATAACCTACGACTGAACACTGCACAAGTCAACAACTAGGCTGTCTGCCACAGAACCTGTTCAAAACAGAATAATAACATGCTTTATCAACAACAAAAATCAACTAAATTTTTTATCTTGTACCTTTTCCACAAGATGTTTTAATCAAATTGTACTATCATCAGACCCCGAATATACAGGCAGCTGTTATACTGATAAGATTTAATATGCACAAAACGTTGCCAAATGCAAGTAAAACTAGCAGTACAACTGGGCTAGAAAAATGTAGATTTAGACGTTTACTGGCCACTGCTTCAGCTTTAATTTAATAAGTAGAAAGCGATTACGTCTGAAGCATTTTTTTCTTATTTCGCAAGTTCCAGATCCAAGAGGTGGTCACTTTATCACGACTCAAAATGCAAAATGAACAGAAGCCGTATGGACCTGACCCAAATAAGCCAGACGTAAACAACCATTCATTTTTGTCCCGTGCATTAAAATGCTCAACGATCCGTAGTTTAAAATGACGCAGTATACATTCTTACGATACCTTCAGTTCCCTCTTACAGCGACTCTCTAAAGTTTGCCAGGGTCTTAGATTATGCCGAAAACCGAATTTCCAATGTGCTCATAGCAAACCTGCCACCCTGCCCGCCATTTTGGATTTATTACCCATAATTCATTGCAAACCACTAGTCTTCGTAGGACACAAAAGCAGCAATTGGGGACTTAAATCATAAGCATATGTAAATGATATGATACATGGTCTACACATTGTTATTGGCATTGTCTCTATGGTAGTATTGCAGCAATTTTGAGACTCTCACATGCTGTAAGGAAACCCGGATGTAGGTCAATTTGCTCTCGGAAGTCAGCCGGTCATTTGAACAAAAGCTCGTAACACTACGAGTGAATTACTGATATGGAAGGTAAGATTAGAAAATATGAATTGACAGTGTAAGTTACATGGCAAATACGTGATCGTTGTTTTACCCTATTTCCTTTTATATTATTGTAACGCAACCTTGAAATCGAATGTCTCCTTTCTTTTGTTTTTTCAGAACTTCGATCTTTGTGGAAAGTACCAAGCATTGCACACTTCTGTTCGCTGTTCAGAAATGCCTTCGATCTTTTGGATTTTGATATCGAGGTAAATTGGATCACTTGCTGAAAAATAATTGGAATATAGAACGAGTATGGCAACTTCTTTGCCTTGGGCCTGGAGTCGATAAACTGGGTCTCAGGCTCTCAGACTTCACTTGGAGCTTTGAGCCGATGGGTGGGGGGAGGAGGTTTGAGAAAGGGGGGGGGATTACCTCTGTTTGAAGTCTTGCCCCACCACCTACATAAGATAAAGTCTCTTGTCATGCAAGGTGAAAGTAGATAAAGTAGATAGTATACTGGACACTCACATACATCTGCAAGATGTTTTGCAGAGACTCCAATGTTTCATCCTTTATCACAAAGATATCTTCAGGGAACTGTTACTACAGGTGGTGACACTGCTGGTTGTATTGCGGTTGTCACGTCACAGTGGGCAGGGAATCACTGCCAGGGCCTGGTTCCATTTACATTTTGAAAGTAGATAAGTCCATATATCACAAAGGATGCCTTGCACTAGCATATAAGCCAGAATACTCAGACTCTCCTAGTAAGAGTCAATTACTTCCTTGAAGAAAAAACACCATTTTCCTAAAATAAAATGTGCCCAGCAATGTCACATTTATGAGTTGGTAGAATTAAGAAAATTGACAGATGATACATATGTGCCCAACACAAGCCTTTAACCTTGTGAACATTAAGTCATTGATCTGGATGCCAGTACATGCTAATATTGTATTGTCAGATAATATATAATGAGAGTAAAGTTATTATGCCCATGTTTGATGATTTAAAAAATAAAATCTTTGAAGGTCTTGTGTTGAGTTGGTGTGATATCTGCATTATAAGAGTCGAGTAAGGTCCTAAGTTGAGGCAAGGGCATGGAATCAGATCAAATTATTGGTGAGAATTGAAAAGTTAAGAAGGGCATGCCAAATGTAGGACACCCAAAGGGACTTGTATTCTTTTGTATTCTTTTTGGCAACTGTGTATTAAATTTATAGGACAATGCAAAATATTAAACTTGACCAAAGGATATAATAATCATAATAATAATGAAAGTGAAAGTAAAAGTTATCAGATGATGTTTTAAAATTAACATTTGCATTTATGATATCATTCTTTTCAGATCCTACCCACCCCCAAGAAAAATGTTAAAAGTGTTTAGCACAAAAATAATCCTTCATAGCTTTATATTTATGGTGTATAATTTGTCTTATTATTGCAAACTTTTTATCACATTGAAGATGAATGAAACCATGTATGCTAGCATGTATACACCAAGGTATAACAGATATGTGTTGATTGTTGCTTCATATATTGTACCGTTAACCTTCACATGCCCTAAGGTTTATGTAGAGTCACTTGGAAATAAAAAACATTGATTTATCTCTATTATGTAAACATTTGGACCATTTGTTCACAAGTGTTATTTTTTTTCAAGGGTACAAATATAGCAGTTGTATTGCCAAGAGCCTGAGAAATAAATTGTTAATTTCTCAGGCTGTGGGCAAGAAAACTGAATAAATGTATTTATATTGAAATAGCATTGGTGATGAACCTTTTCTGAATCATTATTTTCCAATCCCAACTCTTATTTTTTTTCTGTGTATATAACAGAAGTGGCAGCCAACGTCCAGTCATCAAAAATCATCATTTTTATTTCTTACTTTGAATAATTTAATGACACCATATCTCTTCAACATGTATTATTTAAGTCACATGGTATAAGTAGCAAGAAGGCATGAGACGTACAGACTCACATGTTTATAGCCTCATGGAATATTGAAAGCTACCTAGAAGATATGAATAAGATAAATCTTCTTTATTTGCCGAACTCTATTAATTATATATAAAATCAAAGCAACTGCTAGTATTATGAGTGTGAACATTTTTGGAAATGTTGGCTTGGTTTTATAAGGTCAGAAAGTAATATGAACTTGCATCATGTATTTGACAAACTCGGTTGAATTGTCCATGTTTCAGAATAAATTGCCCTTGGAATTCATAGGCATGTTGATAGACCAACTGTTATAGCTACAAGTCTTCCCCAAATTTCATCATGATAATATGTTTGTGTAGATGTGATGAAGATAACTTCATTAATGTAATATAAAGCATTTCTCAGTTGTAATGTGCTAACCAACCCAGGATGTCATGTCTAGAATGTCTAAGGCTGTATTCCCAGAGCTTTTAGATCCATCTATCCCTGCGGGGAGTCTCACTAGATTACTGTCAGATAATCCGGCTTAAATGTCCGTCCCGCCTACTACAAGCTGTAAGGGGGTAATTAACTTTCATGTCCGCTCGGCTGACAGCTATTTAGCATGAACCCCCAGGGAGTTAGGTCGATCTAAAGTAGATCGATCTAATCTCTGGAAATGGGGTCTAAGTGTGATATCTTTGTTTTATCTCTTAATTTTACTGAATTCCAGGATTTTGAAGAAGCGTTGATTTGTGCAGGAGGTGAAGAGGGCAGTCCTTTTCTTATAGATCTCATATGTCGTCTACTCAAGGGGTGCTACAACAGAAATGACATAGAGTGAGTACCAAGTGGTTAAATGTTTGATACTGTATTGTTTGTACAAATTGTGTCAATGTTATCAATTAATATAAAAATTCTTGAAAACTTTACACATTTGCTGATGCCTTATTTAACTTTCCATTGGCATGTACGTAGAAAAGCTGATTCAATATCTAAGAGACTCTGGGACTCTCGCTGACTGCAGTCAGCTTAACAAAATGATACACCTTCTGGTGTTAAGTAAAATGCAGAAAAAGCTGGTGATTATACAAGTACATTGGAAAAGAGAGGAGCCTCCAAGGTGTGTCATTCCATTAAGCTGATTGTGTTAAGCAAGAGTCCCCTCAGAGTTTGGTTGATCCAAGTACACCAATGCTCTCTGTTTAATGAGGTAATAAACTACAACACAATTCTTTCTCAAAAACATGGTTTGGAACTGATGTAATATAACTTACTTGAACCAGAAATGAGACTAATCTCATTAGCAAATGAGTCATTTCAGCTTTAATCATTTCTAAATAATTAGAATTGATTTTAAACAGTTAAAGGTCACCTTAAGATGGAAAACAAACTGTATAATATATATATATGTATAAAGAGAGAGAGAGAGTTCATGGAGTTATATTAAGGATCAATTAAATTTAAATTGAGTTGAGGGCAGGCAGAGCACGACAAATTCAGCTGGTAGATTCTTGCTTATGAGAAACTTGCCCCCACCCCCCTAAGTGCACCCATATTTTTAATCACTCACCCTGATTCGAATATATATTTAACTCAATTTTTCATTGCTAAAATAGGTGTTGCATACTTTTGTTATTCAACCAGGATCTGTTATTGATATTATTTCCATTCTCCCACTTAAACACCTGTCATTAACACCTTAGAGACTTTTTGGAAAATGGTATTTAAAGTGTCACCTCTGCTCACAATTTTGACTTTCTTTCCAGTGAAACAAATTATGAACAATACTTACAAGATGTGATGAAGCATAGGTGGTCCGTGGAGACGGGAAGACCCAGCCTTTTAGAAGATATGTCTTTCAAAGATATTTGTTTGACATCCAAGGTTGAGATTCTACAGGCCGTTTGTGATTTTAGACTAGATGCTGAAGATGTAGCTGACAAACTTAAGGTTGGTACTTAGGAAAAAAAGACGCAACTTTCATTATTTAACTTTGCACAGAATTTTTTTATGTGCATGCATAATCACATTAAGAAATCTTCAAATTAAAATTCACTTACAAATGGATGATGTAAACTATGAAATTTTGATATCTGAATGAATTTCAATTTTGATAGATCCAGGTATTAGTTATACAGCTTTACAATTTCCACCATCTTGTATTTATTTCCTCCTAGGATCTTGAAGCAGACAGTTTACGTCTGGAACCTATGGGTATAGATGCACTGGGAGCTACCTATTGGTATTTCTATGGAACACGTTTATATAAAGAGGACCCTGAACCTCCTCCACCAGTGGAAAAGAAGAAAGAAAACAAAAAGAAAAAGTATGGTGTATTCATTTAAACATATTAAAGGACTTGTTTTGAAAAAATGAGCTGTAATGAATGCTAGTAGGAATCTTGTTTATGTCAAACCCTATTTGTTTTATGTAAGGTTTGGATCAGGTTTTTTTTTAATGTTATGCTAAAAGTGTAGTTGGGGTTAATTTTGATCTACTTGCTATATAACTGAATTGAACTGATCCAATTTGCTATACAGATTGTAGCAATTGAGCAAGTTGTGTTCAACCCAACTATCGCATTGTGAAGGAATCTCCTCTACCACAGTGTAAAACTTGTTGATCATCATCTTCGTCACTAACTTTTTGCAGGGGTAAAGATAAAAAGAAAGATAAAAAGAAAAAGAAAGATAAAGGCAAGAAAAGGAAAGACAAATCAAAAAAAGGAAAAGGCAAAGCAGACAAAAAAAGGGGGAGGCCTTCAAAAAAGACAGATCAGTCAAGGTAATCTGTTTGAGTCAGTTGCACAACTTCATTTCTTAACAGCATATGATCATGTAAGACGTATTTTATGTGAACGGCAAGCCAGTTTTAATAGGTATACTTTATCACTTGAAAAGCAAAATGTCAAACTTGATTTTTCCAGAATGGCATTTACATGTTATCAAAAACTGGCTATAGCTTTAAGTAACATTATAAATATCCCTTAAATTTGGATTGTGATTATTACAATTATGATTTATAATTTAACATTGACTTATTGTAGTGATGAAGAGAGTGAGGCTGAGGAAGAGGGTACCCCCTCTGAACCCCCACCCCCACCCCCCAAACTGTGGCATCTGATCTGTCAGACTACAGAGGAGTGGGAACAACTGGCAAATACATTCAAAGGCAGCAAGGTGAAATGTGAAAGAGAGTTATACAAGACACTGGTGGAAGATTTTGTTCCAGAAATACCAAAAATGATTGAGGCAAAGGTGAATATTATTAAAATTTGAGAAATATCCTCAAAAACAGTACTTTTATTGTTTTTCAACCATCACACTTTTTTTTACGGATTCGGGGTTAGAAATATTATAATAGTATTCATACATATCCTTTAATTTTTGGATAAATTATGGATCCCTCCTTTACTGCTTTTTAGTGTACATAAATTTTGGGTGTCCCCTTTTTTCTGTCAGCTTATAAAAATGTTTCATTTATGGGGTACCTCATCAAGTTATTTCCCCAGTAATTTTTTGATTTGTTGAATTACTATGCTCTGATAGTGGCATAGGTGTGCAATCCTAACATTAGTATATGGCATCCAGGAATCCAGACACTGTGAGAGCAATAGAATACATGATGAACTACTGTCTACTGCCATTGTTTATGTTATGAAGCCTGAAGGTAGACTGAGAGTGGCTTGTGGCTACTTCTCTCGGGTCATCAATTGCATTGTATGTAGATGGGTTCTAGGCGATCTGTTTGAGCATATTAAAAAGTTAGTTAATGGTTTGGGGTTCATGGGAATGTGTGTGTAATGTAGTAACAGTAATTAATGGTGTTTTAGTATGTGAGTGTTGTGAGTACTCAGCCTTTCTCTCTCTCTCTCTCTCTCTCTCTCTCTCTCTCTCTCTCTCTCTCTCTCTCTCTCTCTCTCTCTCTCTCTCGTACACACACACACAATAAAAATATGTCAGTGTGATCAAAACCACTTGATTTTTAAGTTTGGCTAAAACATAAAATGGAATTGCCCATGTTTATATCCACACGGGAAACATTACCACATCCACTGAGGTAAAATCCTTTAGGTGTGAAATAACCGTGGCCCTCAGGCGAGACAAAACCATTGGGGTTTCTGATGCTGTTAATGTGCCTTGAAATGGATGCACTCTGCATTATCTGTTAAATTTTAAAGAACATGATTTACTTTTCTTGAAAAGATTTATTAACATATAATACAAGTATAACATAAGCTGCAGTACTACAGAGGGGGCATTGTCTGTATTAATGAAACTGTCACTATCAGTGTGGAATATAATGAAAGATATGTCAGTGAATAGCTGTGTCCAGCAGCTTTATTATGGTGGATCTCAGAATCCTCCAGTGCATTATTATTTTGCATAGTAGCAGATACCTTGTCTGTTTCAGTCTCTGTACTTGAGAGAGTCTTTGGCTCAGATGAAACAGTGCTTAATAAGTCACTTTCCTCTGTTGAATTTTTATTATTGTATGTATTAATACCAGTTGCAGTGTTTAATCCCTTACTGTTGCTACGTGTATCATTCCCAGCACTGCTTGTATTTACAAAAGATGTCGTGTCTGTTTCACCATTTGTTCCCATTTTGTTCGAGACTTGTCCTGTTGGATAGGCAGTAGTTGTGTCTAGTGCTTGTACAGTATTTCTTATTGTGTTCAGTACTGCCCATTGTCCCTGGGTATTGCCATCTACAGGGGCATCCTTCTCTGTTGCAGCCTTTCCAGGCAGGTGAAGCACAAACTGTCTCAGCTGTTGTTTATGATCAGGATGAGATTCCTGCGAGGGGTAGATTATCACTGAAGCAGGAGTAGTACTGGTAGTGGTGGTTTGAGTAGTCACTTTGGGTCTCCTCACACCATTATTTTGGGTATCGTCATTCTTATTACCAGAAGTACCCTCTACTTTAGCATAAACCTCCCTCACTTCTGTGGAGTTGCGTGTCTTGAGCCTGTTAAAGAGATTATCCTGAAGTTGTTCAATGCGCCGTGGGTTGCAGAATGCATCCATACGTCCTCTGAGGGGCATAAGTTGTCTCTGGAGTTTCTTCATGTGCTTGTTGTTTGCCACGCTGCATTTGGACAGGACTACGTGGAGGCACATCAGCATTTCTTCATAGCCCCTGGAAGAGTGTCAATTGATATTGATTAGAATTTTAATTTGAAAAATATATATTGAAAGCAAAGGAATAAGAAAAAATATGAATATGCTTACTTCTAATTTTTCTCGCATTTGAGAAACATCAGTATAACATTGTTTTTTTTTTTACCAAATCCTTTACTCTTAAACATGAACTGTGTAAGACAAAAAAAGGATCTTGTAAATTTATTTTTTTAATAATTATAATTGTTATCTGTAGCAATAAAATAGACATTAATTCTAGATAAGAACAATGCAGGAATTTTTTAATCGATAAAACACATAACAAACTAAACAGGCTGTTTTTCTGAAGTACGATAACATTTTCTTCCAAAATTATTGTTTTCAGATAATATTTTCAGAAATAACTATAAAACATAAAAATTTGATTTATTTTTGTTTGAATTAAATGAGAAACTGCAGAATATTACTATTGAGTACTAGTAATTGTTTAATTTCTTTTTCTTTCTTTCTGAAAAACTGCATTTACAACTGACTCATTACTGGTTACTGTTGGCATCAACCATAGATACTCCAAATACAGGAAGCAAAAGAACTGATAAAGATTGATAGAGATCATATTATCTCTAAGACAGGTGACGAATGACCTGATACCATACATATATACAGTTTACATATCAGTACAGGTAGTGCAAGAAATTACTTCCTCTGATAAAGGTGACATTTCAAAGAGATGCGAGATATAACCCTCCCCATCTACATGCAGTAATGGAATGAAATAGAAATCTGATAATGATAACAAGAGGAAGGATGAACACCACTTAGAGTATGACTACTAGAAATTATAAAAGGGGGATGTATAGGACCTAGATTGTGCTTATCAGTCCCCACAATGGTTCATCATGCCATATATCACAGCCAGTTCCTGGATGTGTACAGTCAGGAAGTTAACAACCTTCTACTCAATACCAGCCACCAAGATTACAAAATGTTTAAAAACTCCTATTCAATAGGTGCTATTTTTTACTTGGTTAAAAAGTATTTTGATGATTTTAAGCTGTGTTATTTATACCCAGGTGAAATTGAGACCCACCCTGCATGATACAGAACATATTCATTAGAACTCATATTTTTAAGTGCAATTATTTTTGAGTGCCAAGAAGGATTAATGGAGATAAAGCTTAGCAAAATAGTTGAATCAAAAAACTTACTAAAATTTGATTTTTGAAAATTAATTATTTAAGCCTGTCCATCTCTTGTTGAAACACACATGGGAATGTATAATCTTCTCATTGCTGCTATAGAATTTAACCTGCCTTGTGCAGTTTCCAAGAAAGACTTGAATTAAGTAGTGGCCTCAAGATAGCCCAGTGGGAAATGCATTTTATAGGTTACCCTGATAGGGGCTTTAAGCCATGCAAAAATGTTTCTGATCTAGATTTTATGGCATATATTTGTGAACTTCTTGAATAATTCTAAATGATAACCTCCATTCTTTTTGATATTTTTATAGCCTGCCATTGACAAAGAAAGCTGTGGGTAGACATTCTTACTATATTTATGTGTGTATGATAGTAAAAATGATTCAGAATTGAATCTGACGGTGAATAACAATGGACCCCTAAATAGGGGGTCTTAAAAGAATAACTGCAAATTCATTTCAAACTTTCCAAGTGAATTGTTTCTATGCGAGTCGTTGTAAAAAAAAAACGAATGAGGTGCCAAGGTCAGTCTGTGTCATTCAGAGGTTTACTACCTCTGAACATCTGCCTTTTGGAGCTATTCAATGTCTCATTTCTGAAAAGACCTATTGAAAACTTGAATTTAAAGAGCATGTTTAACCCCACACATTTGACCTCCCATTTATGGGACAGGGATAAAACAGCAATGATATTCTGACCTGAATGACATGTAATATTTCACTTGTGTGAGTGAATGCAGTGAAGGGAAATTCTAACCACAGGCTCGTGCTGGGATGAGGCCTGAACATTTATTTGTGTCTTCATGTTACCTAGGCAGGATTGTCTGAGGGAGATTTTCATGCAGCTGCACTGCAATTTTACTGTCTTTAGAACTATGCAGAGGAAAAAATGTACATTTGCATTTTTTTAGAAGAATAGGTGAAATGTTGGCTTTTGGACTGAAAGAGATTTTAATTTTTATAGCCAAAATGTTGGAAATATAATTTTGCATTTTTGGCAATTGTAACCCAGAACTTAACAAGGCACTTATAATAAAGGAAATAAATGCTATGTTCAGAAATGTATCATTGGCCACCTCTTTCCCCAACCTATTCACAGTGAATCTCTGTTCATTTCTTACCTGCACAGTTTCTTGAGTCCCAAAGCCATGACCAGCATGTCTATCATGGAAGGCTCCTGTTTCTGTTGGACATGATACTCGTCCAGCAAGTCTCTGAACCCAACCATACACGTGTTGACCCTGTGCCAGAAGTGGCGCTGGCGACCACAGTGTTCACCAGTCTTCATCCTCCTCTTCTTTGCCTGCGTCATAGCTGGGGTATGCATGCTCAGAAAAGCTGCCAGTACCACCAGGTAGAAGTTCAGACTATATTTACATAGATTCATGCTGTAGTGTTCCTCTCTGTCGCAGACCTGTAGTATTATGATGTTTCCACATTCCACGCTCTACCTGCAATGCTTTGATGTATCCTCCATGTACAATGTGGTGGCAGTACAGTAGTGGTTCACAAGATCTTGAATAAAGGAATAACTGCTAAATGTGGGGTGCTCTGCATTAAGTATAAATCACATAATAGCAACAAAGATAAGCTTAGTGCTACTGGACACCGGCACAAGGCTGGGGGGTGTGGTTGTCACCTGAGCTCACCTGTGATTGGTGGCCTGGCCATGATTGACACCTTTGGTTACTTGTGTGCTTGTAGAAGTGTGAATGAAATCCCGCCTTCAGTAACAGTGCAGTCCACTTGATGCCCTTTTACTACCCATGGCCATGGCCAAAATATGTAATTAATCTTGATAATGCGTACCTCTTCAACTGGATGTTGCTCTGATGACTGTGTAAGGCAACTGTATTGTGACGCAAGTGTGAAGCAGGCAAGTGTGAAGATGCCCATGATGTGGGGCTGCGGTTCCAGATAACCATCTCTTCAAATACACGAATGATGTGAAGAAGCCATGCACACCTGTTGTCGGGTGGCAAGCAAGTGTTAATTGTCCCTTGTAATGGGAGGGTGTGGTGCAGGCAAGCGGTGTCTAGCCAACTGACAAGACAAATACAACCAATTGTTCTGTTTGTCAACATTTGGCTTCTTAGCATGTGGATTTTAAATCAAGAGTCTTGCCCATTCCTCTCCCACCAAAAAATGAAGAAAGAATAAAACAAAATGAAAAAAAAATGATTAAAAATACAAGATGACCTAAATATGTAATGCTTAAAGCTATGTTTTAACAGCATTGTACATCTGATTTCAATAGCTTTAAAGATATAAGGAGTAAATTTCATAATGTGTATATTTTATATGGCATGTTAAAGCCTTGTTTTACTGGAATGGATATTTTCATGTCTTGGTGATTGTTAACGTTGATGAAGTGCATGCATTTTGAAATTGCAAGTATATTATGGTAATATCAGCTTTGAGTTTTTGGCCTGTAAAAATAAAAACTGGTATGAAATATGTAAGGACAGTGACACTCATTCTTAAAAACTACACAGAATAGAGCAGTGTTTCCTGGTTGTTGTTGTTCTTTGGATTTTTTATTATTATTATTAACAGATTCAACAAGAATATGATGCACTTATATACCTGTACTCAGTGCAAACAGTCATATCCATGAAATTTATTCATTGTCAGGAATTTAGTACCATAGTAAAGGAAATGGCAACTAGGTATCAGAAATAGAGGAAAGCATAGCTTGATAATATTTTATCTGATGGTGTGTCATCCTGTCCTTCATTCTTGGGATTTGCCTCAGACTACAGTAAAACCCACAGAACTAGCTTCTCCTTTCATCCATTATCTTCTCTGTTTAATAATATGTAATGAAGGTTGGGGGAGGGGGAGGAGGCTGATATCAGGCCCTTCGGGGTGGTAATCCTAGGGCAGACAGACACAGACATAATAGCCTAATTGAGGGGGAGAGGAATGCTTTATGAGAAGATATCTTACTTACAGGTAATTTGAGATGGGAAAAATATCACTCACACTTTATTACCCCATAGAACCCATTTGTTCACTCCTTTCTCTCTGCTCATTCCTGTTGGCTATTAAGGAAAGTAGGATAATGTTCTGTTTATGCTTGTCTACTTCTTAAATTTATATATAGACTTACTTTGTCAGCCACATGGATGTTCATCAGGATAATAGAACCGGCGACCACTGTAATCGTATCGGATGATGTGAGATACCGACAATTTAATATACCTCATTACTAGTACATTGCAGACAAAAATGTCCCAATCCACAGATGCTCTGATACTTTAAGCTGGGATGACAAGCCATTACTGCAGTGAACTGAATAAGGGCAAATTACTGAAATTTTAATGTGGCGGAATTCAGAAATAAACCTCTGGGAGATTGGATGTCAATGCTATGAAACTATTTGAGTAACATCAGAATAGCCCTTTTCATTTTAGACATGGAAAATGCCTTTATGTATATTCAGGCTCACATTCAAGGTGCTTCTTGTTTCAAAATGAAACAATATTAACTTCAGCTGTATCTTTGAATGATTGTTTAAATGAGCAGATAATTGTTAATAATAATTTATTGAGCACAAAAATAAAGTTAAGATTTTGAGCAAAAAGAAAAGGAAAAAATGAGAATTGTGTTGGGTAACTGCTTCAGTGTACCTGGTTATAGACCCATATCAGTGTCAGGCAGTGTTTGTGCACATCTTCATAATTATTATGTTTTGCAGTTCTTCCACAAATCGCGTCAAGTATCTTAGTCTACTTTTGAAAATGGATACACCTCGTGCTAGCCACACCCAAGAAATGTATTGTTTTCTCATAATTTCATGTATTGTGAGAGATAGGAACAAAGTTGCACATGCCTAATGTAACCTACAGTGAGCCCTTAAAATTTACGCAGGCGGGACTGAAGTGAGTCAGTGAGGACTAATCTGGAATACAGACTGGGCGCTTTCGACAAAACCAGACTAGAATAGAAAAAGACCCAAGAACAAACCGCCCCCGTTTCATTTAGCACCACACTGCCATCTTTTGCTGTCTTTTACATAACATCTCATGGTTAATTTAGATGTAGGGCCTGATAAGCAATGTTTCTGTTTAACTTGGATTTAACCCCGAACAAATCACATCTGCAGAGGTGAGCCGTTTGATCTGCCCCAGCATAAAAGGAGTCCTTTGTCACTGCTCACTGGGGCTGAATATTCTCTAATAAAGGTTACAGTTTAAATGGTGACACTGCAGACTGAAAGGTTCCTTGGGTTCAGAAACCCGCTCTGGCTGGCTCCAGTATGAAGGGTGTCCCGTTACTGTTGGTCCACTGATATCAGCCTTTTGGATTCTAATAAGCCATGAAAACAATTCTGCACTGTACATTTGTGGCACACAATGATGTCTTAGTGTTGTATGTAACAGGACTTGTTGAATTTCCGGACAAATTTCTTTTCATCACTATGCCTGGTTATTGTGTTGTCCTGATTCATTTTAAAACTTTGTGTTGTGGACTTGATGAATTTTTTTATCATAGTGAATTTTAAAATTGTAGTAGATTTCATTGAATCAACAGTTAATTTTCTTTTTCAAGAAACATTACAATGTACTATTGGTTTGTAGGTTAAGGTTCACTGTCTATTAATAAAGAAAAAAGGCAGGTAAAGTTTCATATTTTTAATAATTAAGACAAATAGAAAATCTGTGTGAAGACAATGGACCACACCCATGTCAATAGATTTGATATGTAGAAAGATGAAAGGAGAACAGCATAACATTCAACAACCAGATTTAGTAGTTTTGGCCTTTTAATGAAAAGTAATTTAGGAATCAATTGTGAGGTGTTTGTTTACCCTACACATATACAATCAACACAACACTGGTGAAGGTGTTGTTGTTCCTCCCACTTTAGTCTATGTGATACAATGGTAAATATTGATAGAAAGTCCTGAAGCCAAAGGGGGGTTATTACAAACAGCTACTGTGAAGTGAGTTCAAAATTGCCTTTAGTCATATGGTCTTGACCTTGCCTTGGGTAGCCAGCTGTCCTGCAGAAGTTACACAGGCATGTTGATTGAACATTACAAAATGTATTTTTGAAATATTGATTTGAAATTTTTGTTCTATTGTGGAAAAACCTGCAGCACTTAAATCAGGACCAGAACTAAAGGCACCATGCAGATGTTCACCTATTCTTGCTTTTTATTTACATTTATTTTTTTCACAATATATCTCATTCAGTTTAGATTTTGGAGTCAAAAAAGGCCCACTAGTATGCAGATGTTCAGCAATTGTGGCCTTTAATTACTTTTTTGCGCAGTATATTTTTATCCCTTGAACATCCACCTGTTTGCAAATTTGCATACTGAGCAACAGTATGCAGCCAGGGTACACCAGGTGATTTAAAAGGTAGCCTGAAAAAACCGCAAGCACTCTTATGCGCACTTTTATTGAGGTAAATGGGCACCTTATGAGCCTTCAAAGCAGGGACGCGTGGCAGACGTGTGTCTGATGGGAGGACCAAAATTCTGGTCCTGAGCCAGTTTCGTAGTACAGAATTACTCCTCTCTTTAGGTGTGATATCAACACCCATGTTTTTGCGTTGTATTTGTGTCTGACCTTTGATGTTTTTCGTCTGGTTCAACACTAGGAGACTTCTTGTGTCGCACACCAAACTGAGATTAAGTGCTGACACATGTTTTTGGCTTCTGAATGTTCATTTGTTGTATATGAACATAACCTCCTTTATGTGTCTCAGGGTAATTTTCATTTTAAAATCTAGCAGAAATGTTTAAGCAAAATGTTATAAAACGTGTGAATCAGTTGTTTATGCCTACTTGAAAGGTGGTGACATCTTGCAGACTTGCACAGTCAAAAAATGTAAAACCTGGTAGACTCGGATCTAAATAAATAGTCGATTAACTTTGGTAATATGAATACATCACATTTTAATAGCAACTGATCAGTGCAAAAACATTAGCTTCCCTGCTTCAATATTCCTAACAAGTTCATTTAATAGCCATAGACTTATGCCTCTACAATGATAGGTATCAGCCAGGTGTGTCCATTTTTTTCAAACAAAATCGGAGCATTTATGATGCAGAAATGGTTTGGTTTTTCACCTCTGAGATCCATAACTGTCAAAGTGGAACAGAGCTCTGGGCAGCCAGCAGTGTGCTTAAAAAGCACGAGTCCTTGTCTGCTCTCTATCTATTAATAGTATATGTAATGGGTGAAAGCTTGTTACCTGCCAAGAAGCAGGACTCTGCACAGTAAATGTGTGTGTAGTTAACTGCCAACTTATATATTTGATCATGGATTAAAAAAAAAATAATAATAAATTCCATACCATAACCTTCTCAATTTCTCAATAACTTTAATGTTTTCTGATATGATATCAAAACTGTAATTTGTTTTCTTATTTTAATCAAATTCATGACTGATGACTTCAAATGATATTCCTAAAATTTGTATGTTTGTCCATTTGCATAAATACACTTTCTCTTTATTCAGGAACGTGAAATGCGTAAGAAACTTCTTGAGTTGGCTCCACGAAGAACCTCAAACAGAATTAAGACAAAGGCTCAACAAGAGAAAGAGGCAGAGAAGGTGAGAAACTTTTTGACTCAACGTGTGTCATAATCGAGTGCCTTTGTCAAGAAGGTGGTGGTGGTTTTGTTTTTCTCAGATTAAATCAGCTTAAGAAATAATACACACTCGACCTGGAATTGGGAGTTGTATTCATCTTCTGCTCACCAGTTGCAATAGGAAATCAAGCAGTGCTTAAGACTTGATTAACAATGGAGTTCTGAATGTCTCCTTGCCAGTGTGAATGTACATAGGAAGCTAGCAGCTGGAGAATGGTGGGTGGAGGATATTGGACAAATATTTAATTGGTGCACAACTCCTTATTAATTGCTGTTATGTGTATTTAACATGGTACAAAATGTTTTCAGGGACAGTATCTTGAAAACAATTTTAATTCATTGTGTTTTTTGCCTAAGATAGTAACAAAAACCATTGCAATAGATTTTGGATAATTGACAGTCTTTCTTATTAAAGTTATGCTGTTATCATGTAATATAGTGTAATTTGCAATATGATACTATTACAATTGTAACATTCCCTTACTTAATTAATGGTCATATAGATTTGGCATTAAGATGTGCTTGTTGTTTTTTACTTGCTTCTAAAAATTTTTTTGGGGGGTAGTACTTGGGTTTTCTATTAAATAACATCTTTTCTGTATTAATTTTAGGAAAAATATCTCCTCCTGATCCAAGAAGAAGAGCGATTGCGACAGCACCATGAGGAGGTTGAGAGAAAGAGGCGCTTGGAGGAGGAACAGCAAAGAGATGTTAAGTTACAGAGAGAGGAGAGGAGCAAAGCTCGAGAAGGTAAACATTGATAGTAGAAGTATACACAAGTTTTTATATTTTTTCAGGGCCCTGTGCATGAAGGAAGTTATTAATATTTGCTACATTTTGGTGAGAGTGGGAAAATGTGAGATAAGCTACTCACTGTGTTTGATTGGTAATAAAGTTGATATATTTGATTTGAGATGTTGTATTGAATAAGTTATACTGTGTACATGAAGGTTAGGATTCATTAACTGTATAAATGACATCTTTTTATTTAACTCTGTATACATCTTATTTCTGGATCAGTTTTTCTGTCTGCTGACATTTTTGCACCGACTGCTCTTCCTTTTTCCTCCAGATCGTGCTAAGAGAGCCAGATTACGTGAAGAACGGGCTCAGTTGATTGCAGAAGGCAAAGAGATTCCAGCAGAGCTATTGAACATCCCTGCATCACCAAAGAGGATGTAAGTCACTTACAAAAGAGCATTGTTTCATGTGATTAAAATGTTATCATGGATTGTAAAATCTCACTCCAGTGTGGTAAATTTAAACAAAATTTTTAATACAATCTTATTTGGGTTAGGGAAATACAAGTTTTTGCCATATTTATTATTGATTTACTTCAATTCAATTTTTGAAAAATTTATCATAAATTGAGTCCAGATGTTTGTTTGGCTACAAATCTTTTTATTTTTCAAGTGTTGCTTCATTTTCTCCGCATGGTTTTATCTGATTCAAATATTTTTCCTTCTGTTTTAGATCTGTGCCTAATGAAGCATATAGTGCCATGATGAAAGGTAAATGATCAGCATGAGCATTTACATTTTTCAATGTTATTGCTATCTGAAAATGTAGGGCAATTCACTTTACAAGGATGTGTTTTGAGTTTTATTTTAATGTGGCTGTCCGTTAAAAAATGTTTAGCTTGAAATCCATTAGTCCATCTGCTAGGACAGTGGATGTAAAGTATTAGAACAAAGTAGGGCATTGTTGAACACTTAGTTATAACCTTCTGATCCAGTTGGCAAATTTTTCCTTGCACTTGTGTTGTCCTGGCAAAAGCTCTTCACAGTATTTTATTTGACATGTGGCCAACCTCATACAAGTGCACCCTCACTGACTTTCTGTTTTGACATATATGCTCATTATCATCTTTGTATAATTCCTCTTGGCAAATTGCAAATAGTTTACTAGAATGATTGATCATTTCAATTTCTTATGCTCTCTGTTTATTGTTGTTGTAGTGGTTGATATTGTAAAACGCCACAAAGATTCCTGGCCATTTTGGGAACCTGTCCAAGAGGAATATGCCCCAGGCTACAGAGATATTATAACTGTAAGTATAAAGGTGAAAAGAAGAAAAAAGTAGGCTGTATTTCTGTCATGGGGGGGGGGGATCATATTCAATATTTTCGGTAGGACAAAGCTCCTTTTTGAACTTTGGTGACTTGGTGACAAATTAAACATTTTGGTAGAAAAAATCTCTGAAGAAGAACTCTGTGTAGTTGGTGAAAAAGAATATCAGGAGATCAGATCCATCATTTAAAATGATGCCTCAGCTGCTTGCCCTGGGCACTAAAAAAATGACATTTATTAACAAGAAAAGTGAAAAACTGTTTATGACATGAAGGCTGCTTTGTAAAAGTTGCAGCCACCTGGCTGACTGCAGCTTTAGCCTGCACCTTTTCATGAGTTCTTTGCCAAATGAGCTGTCATGATTTATTTTCAAAATTTATCATTCTTCTCCCTCAAATAGAAAATGAGTTTTTATTAGGATTGAGGAATATTAAAAGACATATATTTACAAAAAATTGAGTTCTTAAATTGAGCCATATCATTCCTTATCTTCAAGAAAAAGGATACAGTAAATTATATATAGTATATATATTATAGAAAAATATAAGCATGAAAACTTTCACCGAATGAAATAAACAAAACCTCAAGGTATCTGTTAGGGTTTTTTTTTCATGATTTGAATTTTCAACTTATTTACATTTTTATATGCTGCAGAGACCCATGGATATGTCAACTATAGAGAAGAAGGTGAAGAATAGAGAGTACAGAAGTAGGAGAGAGTTCATAGGAGACTACAAACTGATGTTCTCAAACTGTCTAGAATACAATGGACCAGAGAGTGGTAAGAAATTGTTCACTGGTAATGGAGATGTATTTTTAAGATAAGCATGATATAAGGTGTATTTTTAAGATAAACGTGATATATGCAACACTCGGATGACTTGATTTGAGAACTTTTGTAACTCAGTTGATATCTTCACCAAATATAACACATCAGCTGTGTTTTGAGTATCTTGCACAACCACTAAAATATGCTGACTAGAAATTCTAATTCTGAATCTTCTCAGATGTCTATTTTAGCTAAAATATTCAAAATTAATTTCTTTGTTACAGAGTACATAGAGATGGCAGATGCAGTGGAGGCATGTTTCCATCGGGCAGTGAAGAAATACATGTCCAAGCACAACTTTGACAATACTCATGAGGATGAAGATGATGCTGATTACCATTCCAAACTGACCAATGGTGGCCCTCACTTGAGTTTCAGACCACAGAGGAATGCTAGTGCCAAGGCTATGGAGGCTCTTCATAAAGTGGCTGAGGATTCATTACAGGTAGCAATATATAGATATATACAGTTCGACATTGTTTATTTTGAAGTGAATCACCAAAAGCTGACATGGTATGAAGTTTACCATGTACACTTTAAAGAAGTGAAAAAGAGTTAGTAAATAAAACTAAATTGTATGAGCTTTTTTAAACTTAACAGTTTAAACATATGTTTTTATTAGTTTTTGGTGTTTTATAAAGTGAAGCCCATCTGCAAAAAATACATTCAGAAGATTCATTTAGAAGTTTATTGTTTAATTGATCTTAAATAAATATCTGTATAATTATTCTGAAGTTTCATACTTTGGCTCACTTTAGCTTAAGAGTTTTTCAAATTCTGTGCTAGCTCCCACTTATTATATCAAATTTATGCCTTGTGTTGAACTTCAGGATTCCAGAAGTAACAGTCCAGTCAGTTATGATGAATCTGCATCCAACAGCCCATACCCAGTTCAGAGAAAGGAATTCCCTCCATTCCAGTTTAAGACAATTAACCCCTCAGCCTCCAGTAGCCCTTTTCCCACTCAGAGACAGGACAATTCAGCCTCTAGCAGTCCAGCACTGACATCCATATCAGAGGACAGTGCTGATGGAACCAAGAAGATATCACATCTGAGGACAGTGTTTGGTATTGCTGCTTCAACATCTGCTGCAAAACAACAGGTTTGTTTCATCTTTTTTACGTGGAAGTTTCAGTTCCTTTATTTGTAGGGTCACAAACATGTAGAATATTTTTTTTTTTTGACAGGTACTGCCAAAAATTTCACAGAGATGCAGCCAATATATAGTTGTATTGTAATCAAGAGAATCTTTATTCATTTTGGCAGTCTATTTCCACACCTGCCTTTCAGACTGATTTTGCCAACAATGATTTACTGAGACATTACTTCTGTTTAGGTAACTTCTGCTGGACATCAAGTAACGAAGAGTTCCCCTTCAAACCCCCCATTCCAGCTCCTGAAACAGAAGCTTCAGGAACAGTATCTACAACAGAAACAAGCCGCCATGATGGCACAGAATCAAAATCAGGGTAATCAGACTGTGGTGAAGGCACGTCTACCCATTCCTATACAGTTCTCAAAAGGAGGTGTGACCCAGAAGATCCAGATCCCAGTGGATGTACAGACACAGAAAGGGAAGGTAAATTACATTACTTTTGCCACTACTACCAATGGCCTACCAACAACAAGTGCAACCTCTCCCAAGTTTGGAGGTTGGAAGCAGTTGTCACAACAACCAAAGGGACAGTCTGATGGTGTTGGTGCACAGCAGCAAAGAGGCCTTATAAACAATATATCAGTACAATCTGTCAGCGATTCTGCCACTGATAAAAAGACAGTGATACCTCCTGGTGATATTAAAATGCAGGCTGTAAATATCTCTGGGACTAGTTTGCTTCAGACTCAAAGGCAGCAAGAAAACCCTGTCACACTTACAACCTCTACCTCTCATACAGACTATGTGTATAGCAGTGGTAAAGGGCCTGTTATCGCTAATAATAATGTTATTCAAATGAAAAGAGAAGATGGACTCATGCAAGGAGTCCGGCAGCCAGCAAAGAAAAGGAAGTATATTGAAGGTGTTGAAAATTCAGAGACAACTCAGGAATCTCCTAAACCAAAACTTTGGCGCCCTGGTATAGATGAGAGTGCAAGTGAAGATACAAAACTTGTTGTCGGTTCTGTTCAAAACTTGTCACAAATGGGAGGCAATTTGATTGTATCCCAGCAAGAGCAACAGCCACAACAGCAGCAGCTCCCTACTCAAGCCAGTGTTCAGCAGGCAACTGTCAGTGGCATTCATCAAGCTAATGTGCCTAAATTTGTGATATACAGTTCTAAGAGTTTAACCACACCTGGTGTGCCTGGTAAAATTGTACAGACCACCAGTCTTGCCCAGCCAAACCAAGGACTGCTTCAAAACAGGGTGGTATATGCCGGTAATGGAGTGTCCCTCCCACCCGGTGCTGTGTTAAATACTGTGAGACATCCCGGGCAACCCAGGCAGATATTAGTCTCCAACATTTCCCGTCCTCAAGCTGTTAGGGTAATCACTGCAAATCACCCTCAGAACCCAGTGGGACTGAGACCCCAGCTGGTCCAGGCAAACCAGCAAATACATGTCCTACCTCAGGCAGTTGGTCAACAAAAAATCCAGTTGACCGGTCAGCAGGCCCAACAGTTGTTTCTGAGACCAGGTTTGGTCCAACATGGCGCAGCTGTGGTGTCCACAATGCAGCCACAACAGGTGAGTTATCATAAAATCAGCCATTCATGCCACTGATTATGATAAGTTTAAGCTTCTGTATTGACGACCATTTAAAAGTTCTTTAATAGAATGATGATTTTTTCTTTGGAAATTGTTTGTGAGAATGTGAACAATTTCCATGGTAACTTTCTAGTATAATGATCATGGCAAATAATCACTTTCTTTTTATTTTTCTAACCATTACAGAACGTAGCCCCAGGTTTCTACTACTACAAGCAGGGGGCAGCACCTGCAATGTCAGGAATGACCAGTGCCCAGCCTGGCACCATGACCAATGGTAATGTGACAGTTAAGCCGGCAGCACATCAGTCTGCATTTACAGGTAAGTTAGTTATATAAACATAATATTGATTATATGGACTGTACCTTTGGAATCCAAACTGTTTCCCTCAATTTGCAACTGTGACACTTAAACCACCTTCATTGAGTCTGATATTCTTGGAGAATGTAAATGTGTTAATGCAACAGTAGAAACATCAACTCATCTTGAAAGACAGACATTGCTTATTTCTCTCTCTTGTTCATTTTCAGCTCTTCAAAGACCGCCTAACTAGTAGCGATCCTGTGATATTGCAAGAAACGGTGATGTAGAACATGATGGGAAGGACCAGCCCAAGTTTCGGAGACACTGGTGTGGAATCTTTCTATGAAATTATCTTTCCTTTAATGGCAGGGAAAAACTGTGATGGCTGCTTTTTATTAATGGCTTCATTCGTCATAGTTCATGCACTGATTTTAGAATTTTCTACATTGAAATAAAGAATGTAGTGGCTGTTGGGATATGAGATGCATTCTTGTTCCCAGGGAAAACTTACCAAATGCACTGCATTTTGTTGCATCAAAAAAAAAAAAAAACTGATATTGTGCACAGACATCATTTTGACTAAATAATTTTTCAGCAAATTTCAAATGTTCTAAAATGTGGAATGCCCTGCATTATACACATCATTTTGGTCCGTTAATCCTTTATTGAATACAAGGCATATGAGCCATATTTTATGGAATTACACTAAAGATGTAATGTAACATATGACCCATGATATGTAACATGGGTGTACCCATGGTCATCTAAATTAAGCCAGGTAATTGCCCCGTGAGATTCATTATTCTTCAAGATACATTAAACCTGTTATTTTACCTAAACTACTGTCTTTACAAACCGGCTTACATGTATTTAGCATCCCCTGTCAATACTTTCTTCCTGATTGGTAGTTTATCCTTCACGGAAAAATGGTTTTGTGCTCAGTGTTGGATTAAGCTTTTATATTTTCTTAAAGTTCCATTTTCACAGATTTGTTATGGCTTTGTTGCTCTGGGAGTTAGCCTGATAATACATTGTCTAATATCCCTTACTTCCATTGCTATCCTCAGTTCTGCAAGGTTGGCCTTAGAAAAAACATTCAGAGCAGTGTTCAGTGTCCAGTCAATATTTTTTTAATATGCCTATGTTAATGCTTAGTAACAGATTTCCAGACTGATTAGAATAAGTTGGTTTTGCAAGAGATGAGCTGTAGAGTGCATTTTTTTTTTCTTTTTGATTTTTTTAAAATTATTATTGCAGAGTGAAATACTTGTATCAGGTCAGGATCATTGTTGGGTTTAGATATTTTGTTTGATGTGATATTGCATTATATGTTTTATTTTCCATCATTTTGATAAAATTGAATTAGTATGTTTTTTATACACTGGCTAGATTTTGTGAAAACAGTTTCTGTGAGACATTTAAAGAAGATATTTTACTGAAGTCGTTTCAGAACATTTTATTTGTTTTGCAAAGGTAATAATTTCAGAAGCACATTAATATATTATGTGAAATGCAAGATTGGTTATTTATTGCAAATATTGGGTGATTTATTTATTATAAATTCTAAAAATGCATGACACAATAACAATGTTAAGAAATAAAATGCATTGTAAAGTGTGTATTGTTTTCTTTTTCTCACAATCATATTCACAGAAGAGATGAGACTTTAAAAAAGATATATCCCCCTATCATTTTTAGAAAAATTAGTATTGAAAAGTAACCTTTAAAAAAAAAAAAAAAAAAAAGAATTTGAACCATGTAATACCAATACAAACTACAGAATATAAACACCAGTAGTTTCATCTAGTTTTCCGAAAGGAGTGCAATTTGTTGTTGAGATGGAGATTCAACTTTTGTATTTATGAAAAGGGTTAGTAATTTTTATCGTATATTTTTGAGTTCGTCACAGTGAAAAACTGGTTTTCCCCATATGCATGAAACTTTAATGGTAAAAAAATTTACATTTTTAAAAATGTATACATGTAGTTCAGAACTGAATGGCGGACCTTTCCTAGTTTTATTGCCTATGGAATTTGCCGACGATTGATGTTTTTATATCTATTTAATCAATCAAATTTAAGATGGACTTTGGGCTCAATTTATCGGTTGGTCCCAAACAGAACTCGACCAAAAAGAGATTATCGACTTTGAAGTGGCTCGTCTTGTACAGGTGCCCGAAAGTGCCGCCGTCTATTGGCTTGTAGTGCCGGTTTCCCGGATGATAACACTTCTGCTCGGGTTGAAGGTAAACAAGAAATGAATGAATTTCCTAGCAAAGACAGTATCTAGTCTGCAGGATTTTTTATCCAATGTCAGTGGGAACGCAAAGGTAGCAGCTACTGAAATCCGCGAAGCTATCCCTCGAAGGACGATGTCGCATCGAGAGGAGCAGTATGTGGGCCCTTACAAATTGGAGAAAACACTCGGAAAGGGCCAAACGGGTGAGTCGAAGCGGATGATGTGAGGGTTGTATCGATCTGTGATTTTGATGATGGTCTCTTTGTTGTGTTTTTTTTTTTTTTTTTTTTTGTTTGTGGTTTTCTCAAATAATTTGCTTAGGGAGGCTTTGTAACGGATTATGCAACTAGAATCATTAGCGTCTGTTTTAACTCTGAAGTCCATTGGGAGATAAATTTTGACAAATCAGTACAGTCGATGAAAAATTGCTGATTCCCTGTGTCCAGCATTAGCTGTTTTTAAAATGATCTCATGACAGAATCTTCTATTTCATTGTCACTGAATCTTGCTCTAGGTTTGATATTTGATCATTTTATTACTTCTATTTTAATTTAATTAATTTTTATGCACTTACTCATTATTTACCTTTTTTGATGGAGAAAAGAGAAAGTAAAAACTTACTTTTTGATCATGGAATACCATGGAGTGGACTGTAATATGCAAATCATTTGTTAACAAAGGATTTTTTTCATGTGACAGATTCAGTTTGCAATAGAATTCTTCATTTACCAGTAAATGCATTCATTATATTTGGACTAACTTACCAAATTGATGGCATTGAAAAAATTTTTTCTTTTACTTGACTATTAAAACATAGTAGAAAAACTTGTGTTTTGTAGGTATAGAATAATAAACTTTGCCTTTCATGATCAATGATAACATCATGATATGTTTTGATCATGCAATGCTTTTATTTAAAAAATGATAGTTTATCATCTTTATGTCATCTTTTTATCATCTTAATGTCTTATCTTTAGAAGAAAAAAAATTCATTTTCCAGATTATTATTGTTATTATTTAGCATTAAAAGGTACTAATTAAATTGTATTTGCATTAATATCTAATAATCAAAATGTGCTTGCAAATTACAAGTCTTCAACAATTGCTCAGGTTGAAGTATTCATATGCTTTTAAACTTAAGATCATAGCCCTGTTATTGCTATGATATCTGCACAAGACCTCGTTATCTTTTTTCGCGAACATAACTTCTGTCTTTTTTAGAATATCAGGAAAATTGCCCAACACTTTTCCAAAAAAAGTGTTTATATGGAATCTGACTGATCAGTGAATACATACTGCTTCATTTGGACATAAATTGATGTGGTTCATATTAAATTAGACATTAACCAGACATTAATGTCTGCAATATGAAGGTGATATTGATTGAATAAGAGCTCAAGACAGGTACAGCCTGGAGGGATCTGGTAGCTCAGTGCTTCCTCTTATGTTAAATAATATTAGCACTGATGATGACTATCAACTTTTCAACAATGTGATTTCAAAAATATTTTAGAGCATTTGTTTAAAAAAACTTGCATATATTCGAAATAAAGATTTCTTATGTGTCTGAGTGTGTGTGTGTATTTGTGTGTGTTTGTGTAATGAGAGATGGTGTTGAAAGTTAAGACTATTGCAATTTTTAAAACAAAAGAGAGAGATGTCCTATACTTTGGATCCGTCTTTCACATGAATTCTCAAATATGTGTCTAAATTTGTTTAGCCTTGTCATTTTTGGCATTAGTAACTATTATTGCTTTTGATAGGATCTGAACGATTATTTGCTCAGACTTATTCAAGGCAATATTGATATTTGTCTCTGTTGATTTAAGGTCATGGCTAGGGCTACCTAGAATATATTGTCTGCACTTTCCTTGATATCTGAATAGGTATTCCTCTGTGTATCACAAATGCTCAATTAGTAGTACCATTGGCAGGTCTTCCATATTATATTCAATAAAAAGAACATGGCAGGACTGTATATTAACTTGCCTTGTTACAGCTGGGATAACCAAGAATATATGCTGTAGAACTTATTGTAAAATGAAACACTATTTGTGGCTTGACTCAGTATACTGATTGTCTGGGTCCATTTGATCTTGTTTCATGCCAAAGTTATTAACACTTCACTAGATATGCAGAGGCTGTGCTATGCAATTATATCACCTCAAAAAATATGTGATAGTAGGATGACAGCAGTGATCTGCACTGGATACCTGAGTTCATTCTAGAATACACTTTGGTTTACCCAAGTAGCAGAAAATGTTAAACCTTTGTGAAATATGTGTGTGTGAGGAAAAATATGGAAAAAAAGTTTTTTCTTTCCCTGTCATTAATATATTTATTTATTATTTATTTAAATTTACTTAAGATAAACTGGTTCCAATATTAGGCAAATAACATCTTTCTAACACACACATATAGCCTGTTAGGTACCTTGTTTGTAATACAGCACTGCAGAGAATCATGTTATATTTTCATCAGGGAATTTGAATGCATGTCTCACAGGGAAACCTATTATGTATTCTTAGAAAAGTAATTCGCTACTTTTTTTGATAGGTTTCAAATAATGCATTTACCCTCACCTCTCCATATCCCCCCCCCCCCCATCCTACTAAAAAGATTGAAAAAGGAAATAATTCAGAATTATATTGTGTAATATTGACATTCTCAAGGATTACTATGTAAATTACTTTAGTGTTTCTCCATATTTATATACATGTCTTGCTTCTCCAATTCAGTGTTCATGTACCTGGCAATGTAAAATGATCTGTTTTGAAAAAAGGGACATAATTTGATTCTTAAGTGGCTGCTTTCCTGAAACAACCTGCATTTTAGAGTTGTGCCTTTTACAGGCAATTATTACTGCTGTTGCGTGCTATACAGCGCACAACGTTTTTTTCTGAAAATCCCTGTGGTTGGTTAAAAAATTCTTAGAAGAGCATGCAGAGAATTGCCTGGCATACTGAATTCACTCCTTTGCAGCTTTTTTTTTTAACTGGAAAAAGTTAATTAACCTGAAATAAACCATGTTTTTTTCTTATTTATTCCTTTTTTTTCACATAAGTTCATCTTTCATTTAAATGTCTGTTTGATTGATGTGATGGGCACCAAGAGACTTTTTAGGAAGTACCTGGTTCCATTGTTACATTATGCCCTGTGAGATGGGCTGAGATGTTTGCTGTACACTTTTCTAGGGGAGGAAATTTTATTGGATTTATCGACAGACCTTTCACAGAGTATCCAGGAGATGTAAAATATAGTCCGGCTGTGTCCTATTCAGAATCATTGATCCAGCCTATATTGGATAACACAGAGATAATTTTGAGTTTACTTTCAGTCAATATGAAAGCAGAGCTCATTGCAACTGTGCTATGTCTTGCTATCTTGCAGAATTACATAAAACAAGGTTTTCTGTCAGCCAGAAAACAGATAATAAGACATCTAATCAGGCATATCTGTTGGCTAGTTCATTTTCTCTTTTCTTGTATTACATTTGGACATTCCGTTTGCCTACTATTGATCTGTGTAAGTTAATTTATTGAGATTGCTCTAGAATAATTATGGTGTTTAATTTGGCATTGTCTAGGATGCACCGAGCAGTGCTTCAGCATAAACAGTAAGAGCACTGTCTTCTTGTACAAAGACAGTTAAAACTCATGCTTTGCACTTGAAAGAGCTCTTTTTAATATGAACGACAGCGGTATGTAATCCACAGTGCAGGAATAGCAGTCCAGCTAATGCAAATGCTCCACCTATAAAAGACTTGAGATATTGATTAATCTAATCTTAAATGTGTGACTTTCTCAAGGATTCTAAAGTTATGGCTAGGCAAGAAGGGGTACTTTTTTAAAAAGATATTTGAAGGGAAAGTGTTTCTGTCAGGTTGTAGTGATAAGTAGTCTTATTTCATTGGCATTAAATTGGCATTGTTTTCCCCTTCATCAATAATCAGAACACTCATTCAAATGAGATTAGACAGAATATGTGTTCTTTCTCATTTTACAGAAAGCCTTCAATTTAATGCAGTCTAAAAGAAAGACATATTTACCAAAAGTTACCAATCAAATGGTTTTTAGTTGAGAAATCAGTGTTGGCATGCATGCCTGCCTTTGTAAAATGGTCTAGTAAGTAATTGTGTGAGGATCCATGTATGGATTTTTACATCTATCTTCTTTAGAATAATACCTGGAAGAATTACAGAAAATATTGATTTGAATTTTATGACAGAGGCATCTTTCTGAAGGCTTCATTATGATATAGAGTTATGCTGCTGTAACTTATTTTTGCTTGTGCACTGAAATGTTATATGAGCCATTTTCTGTCTATAGGAGGTTGCATGTTGGCATTTATCATTACTGCTTGCTTACTATAGCTTCGTCTTTTCAATACCATAGTGTCATTGAGCGGTATGCCATTTAAAAAAATGGAAGAACATGAATTGAAAATCATTTCAAGCTAAGACTGATCACTCTGAACCTAGGTGCATTTCTCAAAGTTAAAAGATGGCATACCTCATTTTTTTAGACTCAGTGAAACACCAAGAGCAACTGGCACTTCTTTTTACAATGGTATTCTCACTAGTCACAATGACTGATTTAGATATATGCCAGTTACATTTATAGCTGACCAAATTATGTAAAACTGTGTATGACCAATATTTTGCAAACAAAAATGCTTCAAGCATTGGCTTGTTGGTGAGTATTTGATCTGCAGGATGTTTTCTTACACAAGAAAGCAAATGATTCAGAGAAAGACCTTTCTTGCAGCTACAATTTGTCTACAAAGTTTACATTTAGATTCACAAGGTGAAGAAGAATCATGCCTGCAGAAGAAATTAACTTTATAACTCTGTTAGGCCCTTTAAGATTATTTCCATAATCTACACATTTCAGAGTTCATTCTTTCTTTTGTGGTATAATGGCACATATAAGTGAATGAAGACCATAATTAAATCTCTCCTGTTGTATATGATTATTGAGACTGCAATTTATTACAATGCACTGAGCACAAATTGGCCATCTGTCAGTATTAAAATCACTGTATATGTTGTATTCATGTTAATGTGTTTGATAATTGCCCACTGGGCTTACTTAGCATAATAAAAATGAGAAAAAATTAATAGTTTTAGAATGTGTCATTTGATATGAGTATTATAATGAGTATTAGTCATCACGATTTGTATGCAAACATCTTTTAGTTGTATAGGATATCCGATAATTTTCTTTGCTATATATCTCATTTAAAAGACAGCGGAAAGATGACTTTTCAAACACAGTAGTCCAGTTGGGCAAGTAGACAGTCATTTATTTTCCTATTATCCTTAAATTTCCTATTATCCTTAAATTTTATTTTTCAGACTACTAATTTCGATTCTGACTGGTTTTCTCGATCCTACTCTTGAGAGTGACCAGTGCCCAATAGCATTGACTGCAGTATAAATAATTACATTGGCCTTGACTGACCCTCCCAAAGATTGAAATCTGCATAGATATAAGGCTCAGATAACTTTCATCTCAGCCCTCATTGCTTCATACATTACATTTGGCAGTTACAGTATACTTCTTTCAGTATGCGCATGATGGTTGTTTGAACTGTACAGGATTTTGAATGTAAACCAGAGAAATGCCTTCATATAAAATGTAGTCCACTAATGTTATTTTGATGTGCTTTCATTGCAGAATATCATTGATCATAGCAGCTTTAACTAACAAAATTTATTGATTTGTTCTTTTTATGCAGTTGAATGAATCCCATTAATCTCAATGGAGTTATTATGTATGTTGTAAAACAAGTATTATATTATATCAGGTATAGGTTTGAATTTATTTAGGGCTACTGAGAAAATCTATTAAGAAAATTTATGTTAAGAACTTAAGAAGATTGAAGCATTTTTTTAAAAAGTTCTAAGCAGTGTAATAGCCCAGGAAAAGGAGAGAGTTTTTTAAGATGAGGTGTTTGTGGGGGAGGGGTAATGAAATACATCCCAGGTGATGTCCCAAGAGACTAGAAAATGTGTCCGAATCCACAACAGTAGCGTTAACTTTTCAGCTTTAAGGATTTGCACTAGGAATGCAGAAAGCAATACATAGGTGCTAGTAACATGTAAAACATGATGAATATGTACTTACAGTATATGTATAAGACTATAAATCCAGAAAATTTGAGAGAAAACAATCAGAAAATAGCCATGGATAGATTCTGTCAGTGTCACACCACACTTGCTAATCTGTGATTATCTCTAACCCCATTCTCAAGAGAGAAGATTCTAAATCCCATGAAAATTTGCTTGATTTGATGCTAGGTTACATGGCTTTGGGCTTTCTCTGATGATTCCCATTGAAATGTACATGGGTGATTTTGATCAAAAACTATTTGTTAGCCCTACTTTTTCTAGGAGATGATAGTGAATGAATTGGTGATATTCTGTTTGTCTATTCTACCCAATGTCATTTACTATTTTAACTGTCGGACTACTTGCAGTTTGCAAAATGAATGAATTTTACTGTAACTGTTTTATTTGGGGGGGGGGGGGGGTTGTGGCAATCTTAATTGGAAGTTGATCATATCAAATATAGGCATTGATGAAAATGAGAGGAGTACCCTTTTGCAGTCTTTGCTTGAGGTACCTAATAGAATCTTAGATCATTTTTTGCCATATATATATATATATATATATATATATATATATATATATATATATATATATGGATAGGGATATATGATATAGGGATCAGCACAAGACATGAATCATCAAAAAGGAAAATAAAACAAATATGCATTATCTTCACATATAAAGTGGAAGTAATTTCTAATTTTTATATACATTTTTCTAGGGTTGGTTAAGCAGGGAGTTCACTGTGTCTCTGGCAAGAAGGTGGCCATCAAGATTATTAACAGGGAAAAATTAAGTGAATCAGTCCTAATGAAGGTAAGTGTGATAGTATGTGGGTTGTTGGAAACTGGATCACATCATTTATGACATCCTTCAACATACAAGCTATATCTTTGAAAATGTTTCTGCAAGTTTTTTCCACACTTGACACGCTAAACTTCCTGTATTGGCTGTCTTTGCCTAATTTAATTAGATACCAACTAAATTAATGGTAACCTTTAAAAAAATAAGAGAAGTTGGTTGTTAAGAACATATAAGGCAAGAATTCTATAAATTTTAGTCACCTTTAGTGTCTGATTTTTAGCTTACACAGGATGGAGTTTCTTATTGTCTTGTCTTATAACCCAAATGTTGTAACATATTAGACCAATTGTCTGATGTACTCCCACAAGGTAACAGATGCAGTCAATGGGCATATAAATTATTCAGCCATATGTGTAAAGTATATGAAATCTGAATCCTGTACCAAGAGAAGAATACAAGTAGTATTATACATAAAAACTAAGTAAAAAGAACAGGAATGCTTAGATTTAAGATAATTAGAGCCCTGTTGACATTGCTGTAAAGTTTCAGAACTTTATGAATCTCAACTATTTTCTTTTATTATTATTATTATTATTATTATTATTATTATTATTATTATTATAATTGGCAATAATGGTACCTTTGTATCATTTGTATCACTAAATGGTGGATGTGGAAACTCTTTAAAGAAATGTTCAGCATGAAAAGACAATTCATTATGTTACAATATTATCCTTTTAATAACATTATCTAGAAAAGGTACAAAATATGTTTCTGTAGTTTCTTATCAAGGTGGATCCTAATTCACACCAAGCCAAGGCATTCTTTGTATTAAATGTTCAACCTCAGGATAACCCTGTAACTGCAAATCACCAAGAATGAAAAAAACTGATGAAAAAAAGATATTTATTTGCAGTGTCCCTCATTTGACCCTTGCAGTGTTACAGATGTACTTCTACGGAAATGTGTGTATTACTTGCAGATTCATCTGCAGCAAAGGGGTTTGTGAGAGATTCGGTTTAATTGTATTTCCAATTTCTTTGATAAATTACCAGCAGCCCTTTTATCCTACTAATCTCGTCATCAGAAGTGTGCAAAGTTCTTGTGATCAGTTGGTTGGCAGAGATAATCTGGCAATTGAACCTTTTTATTCTTTACATCAAATCATGCAATATTCACACTGTAAATACTAAGGGTATTGATGAGTTCTTGTATATTGGTGTATATTGTGGGCACTGCAGTGCTATTGGAGGTCCGTATGGTGTTAAATGTAGAGAGGCTAAGGGTTATTATTGCTAGATATTGATTTTCTTACTATAATGTCAGGTTAGTATGTGTATGAGAAAGAGGTGAATATCTCTGGATATTGGCTTTTATATTCTTGATATTTCATCATGGCACACACACATTTTTGATTGTTTTGATTTGAATAATTTAGATATGAATTAAAACAATAATGGTGTGGTTATTCCAGTTACTTTTTTGTGTCTTGTATGAAGTACACACATTCATTGTAAATTGACAAAAATCTACTGAAAAAATTAATCACTTCATTGTTATTGTTCTAGTGTATATATTTCTTTATCAGATCTAATTAAGATATGGTTCTTAATTGTTAATTGCTGAACAACTCGCTTTCTGGTTATTCATCAACCATCATCTGCCAGTACAAGTATTTGATGTTTGGATTTAATTTCAGTCTCGCAGCAATGTAATATGACACTTGGACCTGCTTTTGTAAAAAGTTAATTATTTTTGTCTGTAGGGAACAAGTGAGTTTTGAAAGAGATTTGTCTTCAGTTAAAAGAAAAGTAAAGTTACTAATCACCCCCTTGTGGAACTATTGATTTTATACACTGGGAAAATATGTGACTGGCAATAATTGACACTGCTGCTGCATTGTATCCTTGAAGCTGCACTCCCCTCATGCACTAAACAGTCATGCATACTGTTTAATGGAAATATCCTAAAATGAGGCCATCTGCACTGATGTCATACAAATCCAGAAAAACGTGTACGAGTACGTATAGCAATATGGGTGAAACTATGAACCAGGAATGTTGTCTTACATAGTAACATGCAGAATCTGGTGCATATATACTGTTGTGAAAAAATGTAATACTACAAAACTAAAAGCAACTAGAAAAAGATATCCATCTGTATTTTTGTAAGCTTTTATTCATTGCCACTCACTAATCTGCCATATTTTTTATCCCACTCTCTTCTTAACCCTGCAAAATCTGGCTTGATTAAATATGTTAAGTCGCAAGAAATAGGCCTATCTTGGATTGGTGGTTTTAGCTTTCTGACACTTTTTTTCTAAATTTTTTCAGCTTCTTTTACAAAGTTTTTTTTTTTTGCCTTTGCTTTCATAAGAACTTACACTGTGACACCGATAGTTAGCATCACAACAAATCAGTTGCAAGAGTTTGCAAATTTTTTTTACTGTCTCTTTTAAAACTACATTAAAATAGAAAATGAGTAAAAAGATAAAATTTTCACATTTTGTTACTTTTGAGATCTGTAGTGTTTTCACTGTCTCATAAAACTTTTAAGATCAGTGTTTTATTGAATGTTCCAGAATGTTCCAGGTTAATACTTTTGTCCAGCCTGTTACTTTCCATGTGAAATAAATATGGTTTTTAAATAGCATAATAGTTTGGTTAATATCAAGAATCATTTCTTAATGACCTTAATTATATGTGTTCTTGTTTTGCAGGTGGAAAGAGAAATTGCAATAATGAAGCTAATAGAGCATCCCCATGTATTGGGCCTGTTTGATGTCTATGAAAATAAGAAATATTTGTAAGTAGCATATTTTTCTATGATTTCCCCTTGTTTTTCTTTATTAATAAGACTTAAATTTTATGTCACTGTAATGCAGGATTATTATTATTATTATTATTATTATTATTATTATTATTAAAATGATACATTTGACTTTGTCCATACATGGCATGCTCAATGCCGGGGAAGTGTTAACGTGATCAAACAAATACATAGACCTGAGCAAATTAACATTTCATGGCTTTTCATACAAGGGAAAAAGCTACTGTTATCACCATGAAAATCTTGCATATAGCTTGACAATGGCCTAGTACTTAAACTAATTATGTTTCTTAACAGATACTGTAGCTCCATTGCGTAACCTTCTGGCAAAATGCAGTTCTGATAGCATTTCTGTGCCTGGAGTTATTTGCAGTACACAAACTGAGATATTGCATTGCTTGTTCACCACATACATGATTGGAGTCCATTTTTATTTTGACAACTTTTATCTCAGTAACATGCAGTGTGCAGTAAGGGGGTATTGATATAAGTCAATACATGATTTTTGATAGATATGAAATAAGTACTGTAAGGAGAAAAATGTTGTAATTCAGAGATTTCTCACCAGTCCAAGAAAAAAATATACATATATGTATAAATTTATATTTAAACATTTATCAGGGCATTGGCATTTACCCTCAAATCTTAATTTAGTTTATTGTTAGTTTTCCCCCTGACATTCATGCTATCAGTTTTTTCTGCTCAGTTTGGTTTGGGTTTCAAGGTTCACTTTCCCCATTTAGCAGTCTTGATGTACTGAACTTCACATAAGATGCTCATATCAATGTGTATTTAGTATCAGATATTTTTGTTCCATTCCATTTACTTGAGACAAGCCCATCATATGATGATTGAGTTACACAAAAATGTTCTCAAGAGATGTACGTTGCACACGTGGATAAGAGAGTATGTGTTTCTTTTACTTTTTCTTTTCATAGATTCTGCCTTTTACCTCATCCTCTCAAATATCATGGGTACAATGCGTGTGAATATCCCCACTTTCTAATGTTAGTGTAATCCATTACAAAAACATATTTGGATTTTCATTGCATCTTAAGAGCATTTTTGTTGTTGGATATTGGTCATTGTTCATACAAAATTAATCTGAAGAAATTAAATTAGTGTCCAGTCCCTCGTCCTCTTTCGCTTGGGCCTAGCCCCAACACATCTGTGAAGTTGACCCACTTTTGTGCACTGCAGTGCCATTGTTATGAGTCATTAGAAAGCATCGATTTTTCTACATTAATGTTAATCATTCATTTCTATTAGTGGTGTCTGTATTTTTTATTGATCTATTTTTAGAGTGGGCTTATGGAACATGCTGCAGTGATTATTAAAATAAATACACCTCTTTCTAAATGTTGGACAAAAGGCAACAACAAGCAATTTTTCTGCACAGTCATTTTTGTTTTAATGCACTTATTTATATGTCAGACTCTTGATAGTGTCTCTCCCTTTTACTTTCATCATGATATAGCATATGCAAATGTTAATTGTACACCCTTCTAAGGTATCAAAATCCAAATTTATATTCATGTTGTTTAAAAAGAAACTATTACCTTTTTATATAGATGAATACGTTTATGAAACATAACTGGTGAATTGGCCAAAAAAGCATGCTGTTTTGTTTTGAACAAAAGGATTTATCAAGTACAACTTTTCACATGGTTATTGTAGGTGATTGACATGCATTTTATAGGTACTGGGATGGAATGATTTATACAGCTTGAATCAAAGAGTTATCTGGTGTTATTTGACTTTCTGAAACGTAGTGGCAGAGAGCTTGGAATGCTGCAGCGTGATCAATATCTTGCAGATTAAGGGGCCAACAGCCTTGGTGCCTCTGCATTCTCTGTAGGAATTGTAGATTACTGACAGTGAGGTCAGTAAAGAAAACTAGAAATGGGATTTGTGTATCCATGAAGGAGGCCTATTGGTCCTGTAGTGATTTTAGCTGAGGATGTGGAGTGTAAACTTTTATTTGTTTCACATTAATGTTTTATATCACCAAAATATATGTATTTCTGATGTTAATAACGTTAGGAAAGTGTAATTCTTTTGGAGATGATTGGGATTGATTGGCCCATTTATGATTGATAATGAAGACATATTATTAGTTGGAAATAACTTTTGCTCTGAGTATTTAATGTTTTGTTTTATTCCATTTTTTTAATGATGTAAAATTTAACTTCAAGATTATGTTTCATTTAAAACTGCCCCGTAGATTCACAAAATAAAATTTGTTCCTGAGTATGTTTCTAGTAAAAAAAAAACTTCAGTTGGTGGGTAGGTTCTCAGTGTGCTAGTTAGCTAAGATCAAGACTTGCCTTTACTAATGCTGCCCCCGGATGACTTGTCAATACCATGGCTACAAGGCAGGTATAGTAGCACAGCCTTCTTCTCTTCTCTTACTATTCCTCATGTCTTGTAGCAGGATAATTAGGTCCCCTGCTGGCTGTCTTGGATTAATAGGAAATGAAAGTGATTTTTCAGATGCCATTTTCAGAAATAAGCGTGTCATTGGAGCAAGGGGGTTTCATTGAAGTTTCATTTTTCAACTTGTGTCAAGGACTATTGTAAGTGTTTTATGGCCATTGATTGATAAAGATATGTTGAAATGTTATTTTACTGTGTGACTAGTTATCCTGTGTGTGAAAAAAATGTTTATGTGTGTTTGATGTTACTGTTCATCTTTAAGATTTGATTTGATGCATCTTAATTTTAAAGAGGTGTCCGAATATACTAAGATATGATGAATTTTAATTTTAAAAAAGAGGTTAACAGTATAATATGCCAAAAGGGATTTTATTTTCAGCCAAATCACTGAAAAGGACTAACTGCTGGGCAGAGAACATGGACATCAGTTGGGAGTGTATTCCCGTTTACCAGTGCATAATCCTCAGAGTGTATATGTTGTATAATAGGTTTTCTGTGTGCATAAACGCACGCACAAACATTTATATTTTTTTATTTCTTCATCAAATAATGATGGATCTTTATATGTAGTAATAATATAAGCTGTCATACTGTACCAGGACCCCAGGAAACTAGACAGTATGAAAATTGTCCAACCTGGACACCTTGGCCAGAGTGAAGCAGAATCACCTCGGGATAACTGTATAAGAATAAAATATGTCTGAAACAAATTTCTGTGACTTTGCTTTCACCAGTAGTTTTGATACTTATAATATATTTTTTGTATTTCCAAGTGTTCTCTTACTGTTGTTAATTGATATAAGACAGGTCATGGTCATTAAAGCATGGATATTTGGTGGACAGTTTTTTATTAGACATGAAAAGATTTAATAGAGGGTTGTTTGAAAAGATGGCTGTCTGTCAGCAATCTGATGAGGATAATAAGCTCCTGGCATGAGAAGATTTGATACACATGTAGGCTTCAGTCCATGTATGACACACACACACAAAAGCAAACAATTGATAGTCCTATGATATGTCTCCAAATGGCACCAAGAATTGGACTCAAAATGATTCTGAGCATATCCTGTCATTTTTTATGTTATTACGGCCTCTTTAGCAGCCACTTTCATGCTGCAAAGTAACTGCGCGGTTAGAGAGTAATCATGCCTGTAATCAAGAATTGATCTTTTGCTTTCTACCAAGTAACCCCTGCTTTTGTAGATAAATGGCCAGAGACTGTTTTTACAGATTTAATTCCCATAAATGATACTGATGACATGACAGTCTCTCGCATGTTGCTTTGTTTTATGGTTTTCTGCTGGTAGGTTCTGCTCTCTGCACTGACAACAATAAAGAAACAACAATATTTTAATTCTACTTGCAGTTGTGTGGGTTTATTTATTGCTAATTTTTTACCTGCATGAGATATGATAGAAGGTCATGCTTTCCCTTAGACAGGTTATTTGGTTTAAAAAAACATGTAAACATGCTATAGCATTACACTTACTTCAGGTCATAAACATCCCAAGTTTTGCGATATCATGACTTGATATTTAATTTATTGATTTTGATATTTTTGTTTTCTTTGCCTTACAAAAAAGTCCTATAGGATCCTATAAGATCATAAAGGATTCTGTAGGAAATTGGCCCAATTTCCTATATAGGATCCTATAGGATCTTAAAGTATCCTATAGTACTTTTTCATTAGGGTTGAAAAGTTTTATTGTCCATATGTCCAATTGTAGCTTTGGATTCAATTTTGCTAGTAAAATGGTAGAATAAATGAGTTTACTCATTGCATTTCTTTTCTTTCAGATATTTAATCTTGGAGCATGTTTCTGGTGGGGAGTTATTTGATTACTTGGTAAAAAAGGGCAGGTTGACACCCAAAGAGGCAAGAAAATTCTTCCGTCAAATTATATCTGCATTAGATTTCTGTCATAGTCATTCAATATGGTGAGTGATTTGTATCATAATTTGTTTATTTATTTTTGTCAGTTTGCTATCTCAGATGATATTGACTAAAATTAAATATGAACCAATTAACACACAGCTGCACACTATATGAGTCTATTTTGCTTTCTGTGAGGCTATCAGATGAAGACAAAATTTCTTCAGTTGAAAAACTTATTGTCTCTGATGAATCGAAAAGTTTTTCACAAGCTTTAGTTCTCAGTAATTTCACTAATGAAAAGGTTACAGTCTCAAGAGAATGACTGAATTGTATATTGTTTCTTTTTAGCATTGTATATTTGACATTCTTATTGCAAGCTTGAATTCATTATTGCCTTTGTCTGTTCCATCTCTTTTCCAGTTATGTCTTTTCTTTGTACATTTTTGTAGGTAACATGGTATTCCCTGTATTATTGGTATAATATAAGATATTACTTTTCAGTCACAGAGACTTAAAACCTGAAAACCTTTTACTTGATGATAAAAATAATATCCGTGTGGCAGATTTTGGGATGGCTTCGTTACAAGTAGAAGGCTCCATGTTGGAAACAAGCTGTGGGTAAGTAACTGGTCTGCATACCAAAAAGATATTCAGACTTTTATTGCTTAATAGTAAGTTAAAACTAATTACCATTATCGAAAATATGTTTGTTGGAAGTCACTTTGGTTTATTTGGTTTAAATGGCAAAAGAAAATGATTATCTTTCCTTAGTTTTATTACAGAAAATGCTTTGAGTGTAATTCAGCTGTTACACTCAACCATTTTCTGAGAAAAGAAAAATATGGAAGTATACTGAAAATAATGAATTGGGAATTCTTCCAAATGGATTGATTATCACAAATTGTGGTTTAATCATCCACTCAAGAAATCACCAGGTCTTGTCAATGAAACAGAATGTCGTGGATTTTATTTGTTCTTTTTGTCATAGGTATATAATACACCTTTAAAACAATACAGCAATTATGTAGTCAGACATCAGTTACTCAGCTTGTTTGTAAAGCAACATCAATCAGACTGGATTCTTTAAACAATTAAGATGACTATCACTTTTGTTAGAGGCTCTAGCTGCCTGCAGTGGCTATTAGTTTACTATCACATTACTACTAATGTATAAAGTACATAATCCAATGTAGTGCCTTGTTAATACTGTATGATTCTCCCCATGAAGCCGTCTTTAACACATGCGCCATAGTGTACAGGCCTCTTGTAGTTTTAGACGATAAGAAAACTTTGCCTTGCGTCTCTCCAGGTCTCCACACTATGCTTGTCCTGAGGTGATAAGGGTAAGAGCGTACACTTCTCACTGTCTACGCTGCTACATGTGCATGCATGTTGTAACATTTGCTGCATGTTTAATCTCTTATTATTTATCTCTTATTTATTGTTATTTGTACTCCATTTGAATTGTTCCAGGAAGAATTTATTCCAATTTATTGATAATTGCTATGGTGTTCTTTGTACCGTTATGGTGGTGTTATATTGTAATCTGTTTTCAATAGCAATTTTCCAGATAACTTGGCATTTTCAATATAATGTCTTAAGGACGATTCTTTAGATAATTTCGCTTGTTTATTTTTGGAACAAAATTTCATGGAATTCTTTTCATTAATAGCAACAAGGTAAAACAATAATTGGATTCTTCTTGCTGGAACAAATAGGAGTTTATGCATATTAAATGCACATTTGGCTTTAATGAGCTCTTTCTACTGATTTAATTCATATATAGGGTTAAGTCAATGTCTCTTCTTTCAGTTTTCAGTTGTAATTTTATTGTTCTTTGTCATTCTTTTTGTGAAATGTAAAACTTTCTTTGGCGAACTGCTACTTTATTGTTTATAAGATTGACGAATCTCTTTGTCAAGTTTTAACTGTAGTTCATCCTGGCAAACAACACTTTTACCTCATATTTCCCCTTTATTTCAGTTATTGATGTTTTAGATTGTATATTATATACACATGAACATTGTATTAGACAAAGATCATAGATTTTTTTCTTGAAAGTGCAGTTTAGCGAGAGCAACTTCAATCTGCTGTTTTCCTTTTAGTCTATTACTATTGTGTTTAATATCATTAATTGAGAAAGAAATGTGATAACACAGTACATACAGGTATGTCTTTTGGAATGTCTTTTGGGCTGAAAATTTTTTTTTCAGTGTCACTTTTGTACCATCACATTAAGAAGTGTTTATTTTAAGCATCAATACAAATATGAGACTGACTAGGGTTTTTAAATACTTCTGTGTGCAGTCCATTATCAAGATTGGTGAAAAAAAATTGGTAAATGTAACGTTGCTGTATGGGATACAAAGTAATGTGCTCTTTTGGTCTAATTGTCTTTTATTCTTCAGTAGATTTTCTTTGTAGCTTTACCATTCCATGGTTTGTCTGGACTTTATCTTATTTTCAGTACTGCACAGTGCTTAATATGATCTAGCATATTTATCAAAGTTGGAATATCAAATGTCCTATTCTAGTTGAAATTTTTATAAGGTTACAGCCTTTTGAGAAAATGTGCAAACTGGTTGCCAGGAATCATATCATGCTGCTGACTTGGAAGATGAAACATCATGACAACATGTTATGTCTTATGGAGTTAAACCAAGATAACTCTTTGTTTTAACAGAGCTTTATCTACTTTAATACAAAATATTGATTATGTTAAGTTATTAGCTTTAGAAGAAATGACCTTTCACTTATGTAGTTTCAAATGAAAGGCAAATTTTAAGTACTTCCTTGTTTTCAGTGTTTTGGTGCAATAAACATTGTGGCAGAAAATTTATGTTATTAACCCTAATGTAATGTAGTAAATAACCATATTAGATCCTATAAACAGAAGTCAGATATGATCACTTATTTCTAACATGGTTTGCTAGTCTATCTTTGTAGGAAAATTTAATGGAAGGTAGCGCATCAGAAATATATGGAATACGATTAATCAAATTATTTTAGCACAGTGGGGACATTTTAACGTTGTCAAATATGATTATCTCAGAATGTGGTACATAGAGTAAGCTTGAAGAAATAACCCTGTATCTCTCTCTCTCTCTCTCTCTCTCTCTCTCTCTCTCTCTCTCTCTCTCACACACACACACACACACAACTAATTGGAAGGGCAGTGGAGAAAACCAGTTAAATAATTGCTGACATATTATAAATATTTATGTAGATTTTAAAAGTAAGTTTACGTGTTAATAATGACATTTGCTCATTTCAGGGTGAAAAATATGATGGAAGAAGGGCAGATGTATGGAGCTGTGGTGTGATACTTTATGCACTTTTAGTGGTATGTAGCACCGATATCATTTTTGTTACCAGTCCATTTTATATGATTGTGTTTGTTTTTCATAAGTGCTTCATATGCATACTGCAGTATTCTTATACACATGTAGTACTGTTGTCTTATATTCTGCAACACACACACGCACGCACGCACGCACGCACGCACGCACGCACACACACACACACACACAGTATACATGCTTTTTTTATCTGTACATCAAATAATAACATTCTGTTATATTTAATTTTAGGGTGCTTTGCCATTCGATGATGACAATTTACGGAATCTTTTAGAAAAGGTTAAAAAAGGTGTCTTTCACATTCCTCACTTCGTGCCCCCCGATTGTCAACATCTACTCAGGAGTATGATTGATGTGGACCCAGTAAAAAGAATACAAGTATGCTTAATGAGTGGAGCTGTAGTATCTTATTTTTAATGTTTCCATCTATTCTTAAGATGCTCCCTAAAATACTTCTGATTTTTGTTTTGGCACAGAGTCAATATGGTGTTTATAAATATATCGTAAACTGTAGTTACCATGCTGTTTACTGGTTGTACTGGTGGCCATCATAAATATATGGCTGCCATATTGAATTAAACAATCTATAATTGTTTTTTGAAAAGTGAGTCTTAAAACTACAAAAAATGTGTATCTCTAAACCATTTTGATTCATGTTAACATTTTTATTTCCGTATTTGTTTCTACTTAAAGCTGGACAAGATCACAAGGCATCCATGGGTGGTGGCGTAAGTAGTGAGACAAAGTTTGTAATGCTTGGAGTGGTACAACATGCATATTACAACTTATAATGTGTGTGTTTTCTAGAAAAAGTTTGCTAGTGGCAACTTTTAAAGGAACACCTTATTTAAGCATATTTGTCATCTCTAATAAAATTACTCCATGCACAACACTATAGTATTTGCAAACAAATTATGGTAAGGATACTGTAAAGTTTACTAATATCAGTTACCAAACGTAGAATTTTTCACATAATATAGTACTAATAATGTTTGATTTTCTTTAAAACATTAGTGTTCATCAGCAGGTGTTATTGAGTGCTAAATACAACAACAGCTTCCTAGTGATTTATTACAAAGTTTATATCTTTGCAAACGTCACATCAAAATTTGATAACTATCATCAGTTGATATCGTATTTGATGAACAACTTTCAGAACTAAATATTTGTCTTGAAAACTTGTTGAAATGTATTTAGAAGCATAACACGTTCATTTACCAGAATATTAAAATGAATCTGCAAATGAAATTGAATATAAAAGAAAACTGATGTGATGGATGCAAGAAGCATTCTGTTATTCTTACGGTTTCTGTTTATTCCAAACACCTTTGAAAGGGGGGGGGGGGGGGGGGAATGCTGTGTCAACTTGCTCCAGTATTCAGTTAAACTTAATTCCAATGGAAGTGCTTGCCTAGGTTTCGCCTCATAGTAGTTGCAGCCAGTGTGTGATATATATTGTAATTGTAGGGGTTCTAAATCAGATGTAGAGCTGGAACTTCCGATGAAGGAAGTGGTGCAGGTACTTGAAGCCCTACTCTGAATGCACTGTGTATACTGTCACTGTATTGCCTTAACACCATAATAGTGCCATTTTACTTAATATTTGTTTTCAGTGTTGTCTGTACCGTTACCGTTGTATTATATTATTTGTGTTTTATGCAGTGCTGAGAACTTATGTTTGTGATAAATTTTGAAGCAATGCAGTACTGCCAAGTATTCAGATGAAAGCTGAAATTAAATTCTTTAGACTTTCTCATTTGAATCCTCACTTTGCAAAAATCATCTCAAGGGTAATTGTTGCATATGAAATTGTTTTTCTTTACATAAAGGATATACTGTATGTACCACAAACAAGGTTCTCTCACTGTTTAACTAAGTACACATTAACATGAACTTGCAGCAGAAAGAACATCAAATAAGATTAAAATCTCACAAAATTACTGGTGAAAATAACAATTCTCTTTGACAAATGCCAAGGCAATAATGGAAACTAAGGATCTCCCTGTTAACTTTTTTTCATATTGAGCTGTAATATGTCATGTAAAGCTGTTAATTTAGAACATGTTCTCAGGTTATGAAAATCAGAGGACCTTTTTGATGTTCTGACAAATGCAAGTATGGTCTGTAATGCTGCACAACACTATATTACTAACTTTACCCACAATGTACCGAGTGGTTCAATTTTACTCATTCACTGTCCAGGAAAGTTTAAGTTAGTTATTGTATAGTTCACATTCGTATCGGTTGAAGTTAATACTTACCCAGTTGTTGTTGATGTTGTTATTTTGTAGGGACACTGAGTCAGACATAGAAATAGAATTGCCCATGGCAATGGTTGTGCAGGTAGACTAATAGAACCAGCCCTTCTGGTTATCAAGATGTTTCCCTTCAATGTATTTTCATTTTTTTTTTCTGTTTTTTTTTCATTATTTTTATTATTTTCAAAGAGACATAGATTTTTATTTGGCTAAGACCATGTGCCTCTGTGGATTGTTTTGTTATATCCACCCTGTTGATGCAGTGTAATTGACTTTTTCATTTTGTTTTGTCAGTATTCATGTGATCCAAAAATATTAAAGAAATGTAATTTTTCATGTTTTTCAGTTAAAAAAATGAATCTTAAATTCTTTCTGAGAGTAGTTTTACCTTTCATGTAAAACATCACGTCCCATGCACAGGTTTTAATAATTCATTCTAGTTTATCCTTTGAAGTTTGTGTCTGTCAGCTCTCCCAATATTATTAAGTTAATTTTGCCATTTTGTTACTATTTAATATTTTGTAATTTGCAGCTATAAACTTTTTTTACTTTCATAGAGTATATCTGCATCTGTCATTATTGGTTTTGAGTGTGACATGATTTGAAGATAGATTTCTTGAAGCGCATGACACTTTAACTATAAATTTCCTCAATGATTTTGTCTTTTTTTTTTTCAAGTTATTAATCAAATAAAAGATGTGATTTTAAAAAAATGTGTTTTCAAATGTCAGTTAAACCCCAGCTTTTGATTGATTTTTGATAATTGATAAATAGTCTGAGTGTCTGTAAGTCATCCCAATATTAAACAAAAAGGCTGTCCTTTTTTTTTTTTTTTTTTTTTTTTTTTCAGTTTTTTTAATTATGCTGTGACAATGCAAAATGCTCAGTAGAGTTCAAATGTGTCAGCCAAGTGAAATCTGACTCTGCATGATGTACTTGAGGGGTTAAAGCAATAGATGAGCGTTTGCTTTTTATGTGCAATCACTTTAATGTACTTGAGTTGCCTTAGTACCTGCATGTGTAATGACTTCACATTGTCTCTGTTCCTTAATATTGAAAAAGATACAGCTTTCTAAAAAATTAAAGACTTTTTATGACAGGTGCTCTGTAAAGTTTGTTCAACTGTAAAGGGTAAAAAGTTAATATTAAAGAAAAATGATATAGTTCTTGATGCTATTTGTAACTGGCGAGTTGATCTTCTTTTTCATCTTTTCAGTATATTAAAAGCACCTGCTCAGTAAATAGTGCATAATTTTTAGAGAAATAACTTAAGCTTTGAAATTTTGTGAATTCAGACGGCAGTGATTCCATCAGAAGATGACATTGACCCAGATGTTTTGGCCACCATGACCTCATTACAGTGTTTTAAAGACAAGCCAAGACTGATGCGGGAGCTTTTTAGTCCACAGTGAGTTGAACTTGACAGAAAAAATAAGTAACTCTAATTTTAAAATGATGGGCCCATTTTATGGCCAATTTTATTTTGTTTTGATGAGATACAAGAAAATTGAGTTGTTTAATGATTTAGAATTCAAAGTTCTCACTGAGGTTTGTCTTTAAATTAATACAGTTCATTAAAACTTTGATGATTTAGAACACTTTCATCTGTTATACAGATTTGTATAACTAATTATAACAAATTATTAATTTCAGACACAATACAGAAAAAGTGATCTACTTCCTACTGTTAGACAGAAAACTTCGGAATCCTAGTTTTGAAGATGATGATGAAATAAAAAAGAAATCTACTGCAGGTATTAGTTGACAGTTAAAAGGCTCAGTAAAGTTATCTGCAAATTGTTTTTTAAAACATTGAAAATTTTTTCTAATATAGTATACTTGCTTTAATTGGTTTGTACCAAATCGTAGGTAGTAAACACTAAATGTTTGTTTATATATATTTTGTGATATTTTCATTTTTGCAGTTGACCCACCAAGAAAAAGAATAGACAAAGTCAAGTTTCACAGTCAACCAAGGTACATTTTAACACCAGATTACTATTGTGGCCTGGTCTTGGCTTGAGAAAAGTTGTGCCACCTTTTTTATTTGTTTTCCATACTAAAGTGAATAACAGGTTTTGATAATCAAGATTTTATTTTGAAGTTTAGACTATGAGAGTTTGTAACACTAGGTGAAATATTCGCTTCACATATAACTTATTATCTATTAATCTAATTTGCAGCAGAGGCTTTACAGAGTGAGAATTTTCCTGCATTTAAACTTTCAGCATGGCTTAAACAAACACATAATTCACCTTGTCTTACATGGAATCTAGCATGATTTCTCAGTTCAAAGATGAGCACTTTAATAACTGATAGACTGGCACTATGAAATTGTTTTCTGAAAGCAAGTTGATTCCATCCAATCAGGCTAACAGTAAACAACACAACAACTGTAAACAAAGAATTTTTTTCTCAAAGCAGCCTCAAATGTTAATATTTTTATCCTTTAAAAGCTATATGCCCTTTTAAATAAAACTGACATTTAAGTGTTTTATCTGCAGATATTTGTAGATATTCTTTAAAAGATGTTTTCATTCGACAGTTAGCTTTTTCATCCATCATAGATAGCTTGAAAATGCAAGATTCCATCAAACCCCTGCGAAAATTTGTCTCATTTAACATTTACTTCTTAATCTATTCTAAAACATTTGGTGTATTTTTTTACAGTTCTAATGTTGTTCTGTAATGAAAAAAAAACGGTTCGAGAAATGTTTTAGGAAGTCCTTCAGAATGTCCTAGAATAAATTAAGAACATTTTTCACTAAAATAGAAAAACATTATGTTCTAGGACAGATTGAGAATCGTAAGTGATTGTTAAATAAGACAAATTTTTGCATGGGGAGCTTTAAAGGAGCAGGGGCAGATTTTTTTTTCTTTCACAGCTATATAATTGATAAATATATATGAAGCCTTACATTTTATTTGCATTTGCAAAATTAACATAATGCAAAATGATATTTCACAATTAAAATTTCTTGTGGGCAAAACAACATATTGCCTGTGTTACTGTAATAAAACCTTTCTTTAAAGGCATTGCTAATAACTTAACCCAAAGTAATCTGCATGATCAAACTAGACATTTTATGGCTTGTTACATATGGCTATTCAAGTAAGATCATAACCTCATTTATTTATAATGCAACATGCCTCTTAACCCCATTTTAACTCTGCACTGCACTAACTTCCTAACAGGTTATCCCTGGGTAACATTAGTGAGGGTTCTCCAACTATGCCAAGGCGGGCACTGGCTGTTGCATCAATGTAAGTAATGGGTGCCAACGGAATGTGTCACTCTTGTCTCATCTAACACACTGCTACATCTAAATCGATCCCTTTTCACAATATAATTTCAGTTGAATGTTTGACCTTGGGACCAAATATTGTAATCTGTTATGATCCTGGATCAGTATGCATTAGTTCATTTGATTATAATAACTGTTGGTGTAAATCATTTTCCATGTCTCTATCTTAGTGAAGTAGCTAATTTATCCTAGATCAAAGTACACTGAAATTTTTGGTCCCTTGGCAATAACTTAACCTGCTATTTTCATTTATGCCATAAAACAAACAGATTTTTAAAATCCTAATGGCTAACCCTCAGAATAAATAATAAAAAATGAAACTGAATTTATATTTATATTACAGAATAAACCAATTTCCACTTTATTTTTCTTCTTCACAGCCACAGGAGAAAAAGCAGTCTAAGTGCCAGCAGCCCAACCTGCTCCCCAGTGCACAGTCCCAGGGGCACACCCAAGGTGACCCCCACCGCTAGCCCTGCCAATACTCCCCCAGGGTCCCCCACCACACAGCACGCCCCCTGGAGGAACAGGCTCCACACCATCAAGAACAGCCTAATGGGCTCCCCCAGGTTTCACAGGAGAAAAATGCAAGGTACTGTGCCAGGTGTGTTTACTCTACTATTATGATTTTATGTGCAGACGTGCGGTTGAAAAGTGAAATGTTCCATGTTTGCCCCATTCAGCCTGATTTATGGGTCTATAAATGATAGTCCATTTTTCAACAGTCACTTTTTCAGATGAGTATGCAATTTTTTAATTATGCACATTATTCTGATTTATTTCATTAGTAACTTATAATGAATGTGACAGTTTTCATTTATTTGGATATTATAATAAGTGTTATTTATTGCAGTTGCTGAAGAAGCCAACCTCACTCCAGATTCCTCTCCAGAGTAAGTGTACTCATTCAATTTTATAATTAGAACTTAGATAGGTCTAATAATTTGTCATCTTGATATTCTAGAGGTCGAGTAGTCTCTTAGTCCAAGAATTCAGGTTCATTATTTGGAAAGTCACTTTTACTAACCCTTATGCCTTAAAGTACTCCGCTTTTAAAATTTGTGAAGAAAAACCATCTCTTGGCTCTGTTATCATTTGTCATTGGGCTTCAAAACAATGATGCATATAAAGTTAAGCAACAATATCCTATGAGAGTCTAGCAGTTTGATATGATCAGTTACATTTATTGAATTATTTGTTTCATTTCAAATATTTATATGATTAGCAGGATCAGACACTTTTTAGCAATCCTGTGAAATAAAATATGATATTCACATTTGAGTCCTTGTTCTTTAGGCTTGGGAAGAAGTCTTGGTTTGGGGCCTTCATGGGAGGAGACAGGGAGGAGATTCATATCAACATGACAGTGAGGGACAGGACCATAAGCCAGGTCAAGGCAGACCTGGTGCATGCTTTCTTGGCAGTAAGTAGGACAGAGAGTCAGATTTGTTTGTTTCAATATTTTGTATGTCACACAATCCCTGAGTTTTGACTCTTACTCAGAGTTGGAACATGAAGGAATTCTTACTAAGCCCTGAGCTAATGCGAACTGTGCTGTTAATCCATAGCTGGCACTTACAAACTGGATCATGTGAAACTACAATTTAGTTTCACATTATGTATGTAGCATACATGGGTGCGAAGCTCATGTGAATGTCATATATGTTTTGCTGACAAGTTGGGTATCTGACTGGCTTAAAGTAATGTTGCAAACAAATGACCCAGGTCTGGATCTGTTGTTCCTATCATCCACTGTGGTATGAGATCATACATTAATGCTGAATCCATAAGTGCTTTTGAAAAAAAAAAAGGGAACTTCTTATTGTCAAGCACAGTTGTAATGTGTTTAATTGTTTTTGTACGAATTTTCAGACCCCCGACCTGAGTCACAGTGTTATCTCACCCACAACTTTTAGAGCTGAGTACAGGCGGAGTGGGAGCTCTTCAGTTTTCTCTCGGAATGTCAAGTTCCAGGTGGACATCACACATCCCCAGAACTCAGATGATCTAAACTATCATCGGGTGGTTTTTACACTTATACAAGGTATGTCACTGACATCAATATAACATTTTTTGTGCATTTTGAGAAACTGTTGTAATGAGTACATTTAGAAAAAATTGTGTAAAATATGCAAAGAATTGGCAAAGCTGTTTAGAATTATAGCATCAATATAAGGATTACTGATTATGAAGTAAGAATAATATTTTTTATGTGAAAAAGTATGGTATTTATTTACAAATTTCAAGCACCAGTATAATATTTTTAAGGCTTGTCATTTAAAGTTAGTTTTAAGAGTGAACTTTTTTATATGGACCCAACTTACTTTTCAGACATTTTAGATAATCTTTCATAGATATTACCTGCAAAACATTACATTTAAATATATAAAAAGAGATCAGTTTTGGTAGAATTTAGATATAATCATGTTACTGGGGATATTCTTTGTCAACCACAGGCCCAGCTAGGAGATTTAAAAGAGTAGTGGAACTGATCCAGTCTATCATCAACAGCAGTCGTCTGCAGCCCCACAGGCGGATCACCAGTGACATGCCAAAGCTGGCCAGTGATAGTTCTGAGTCCTCGGTGGAAAGAGATGGGATTTCTCCTACACCTCCCTGTCTGGAGCTAGCAGAGGGAGAGGAGGTGAGATGCCAAATCTGTGTTCAAACTCCTGAAAAGTTTTACCAAACCAGTGATTTATATCCCTTTGATGTAGACAGTTGAAATGTTTTTTTTTAATTGGAATGCAGCAGTAGTTGGTTTCTTTGTGTGATGTCAGTATTCCAAGAAACACTGCAGTCCAGCCATATGATCACTTTGGCTGTTTAAAAGGTCCAGTGAGAAGAAAAATTTGGATTCAAATGTTTTGTCAGTCAAATTTCAATATCATGAATATGATAACTTTTTTCCAGGTGTCAGAAGACTGTGCTGCAGCAAGTGCTAGTTCTCATTCTAAACAACATATTGCAAATGGACGTAAACCTGCTATTGACCAGAAAGACAAAGTCTGAAGAGAGTAAGCCTTGAAAACGGCTTTCAGAGGGTAGTGATGCCCTTTAAGTGTGAAGTATTCAGTGAAGAACATGTGCACTGAAAATAGTTGATCATTGAGAATGCTTCTGTCTAGTCAGAAATGACAGAAAAAAGGACTAAGCATTAAAAGACTTGATGAAATGCCAAATAAGATTAAACGAAATGAATCACTCAACTATTTATTTGAAAACCTGAACAAATATACAGATGAGGAGAAAAGTCAGGAAGATTCATGAATTGGACTATTTGTTAGGAAACTAGGGAGAGGTTTTAATAAACCTTACTATTTGTTAGCAAACTAGAGAAAGGTTAATGAAGACTTGCTTTTCTGAAAAACAAGTATTTGTTAAAGTTGTACTTTATCTTTTATTGTGTATGTCCAAGTCATTGTGTTATGTATGGCAAAAGAGAATTTTAAAAGCAAGAGAACTTGTTGTCATTTGGCAGGTCAAAGTATGTACTAAGAAGATATGGTAGAAGATAATGGTAATGTGTTGGGTAACAAGGTTTTTTTCCCATAGATCAAGGAGATAGCAAGGTGTAGACACACATTTGCTGGTATTTTTTAATGGTCAACCTCCGGTGGAGAAAAGTTCTTTTTTAGTTTAGTGACCTGTTACACATTATAAGATTACCGATTTCTTTAATTTTAACTCCACTTTTATGACACCACTTCTGTGAAAGTTACCACCTTTTAAATACTGACAGTGATGTATGTTTCAATAAGCAGGATGCTATGATTTCCATAAGTTTTTAAACCATTTTTTATACTGTGAAGTAATGGTAAAGAAAGCATGTTACTGATTACATAGTCTAACAAATCAGTGTTGACATTTTTGTGTAAATTATCCAAAGTCTCGAGTGGTATAAAAAAAGTGAATATATATGTATATCATTCCAACCTTGTTCCGGGAATGTCTGTCTAGTAACAAACATCTTCATCCTACTGTATTTATTGCCCATGTAAATGCAATTCCATTTCATTTTCACATTTTTTTCTTTTGCAAATGGAAAAATGTGAAATCAGGAAATAAAATATTATTTAATACAAAGTTTTTTTTTAACTTGAAATAAATGTAAGTAAACAAGGTATTCAAGCTTCATCAGACAAATGCAACACTTAAGTTAAAATGCACATCTGTGACATTATATGAAGTCAATAGATGTATTTCCATGCACTCACTGAATTTATGATTTTTTTCTATTTTAATGCAATATAATATAATATAATATAATGCAATATAACATGCTTTAAGGGATAATAACTCTTCATATGAGATCTATATTTCACAATAAAAACATTGTGAATAACTCACAGAAATATAATATATTCTGTTTTACCACACAAACGGCAGTTATAGCTATTATTCTGATATGTGAGCTTTTCTTTAGACCACGTGACCTCCATTGATGTCTATATTCTGTTAAAGTCTCTTAAGAGATTTTTTTAAAAAACCAAACTTTTTAGAAAAAAAAAAGAAGGGACTAACTTTGAATGTAAAAATGGATTCATTAACCATTGGTAAGTATGGGAAAATTGTTGTTTACTCCAGGAAAAACTCATTTTTGGACGAAACGAAGAGTTATTATCCCTTTAAGAGCAGCATCACCGCTAGTTTTTGACACTGAAACGTTAATTATAGACACTTGGAAAAAGTTTATAAAGCACAGGACTTCATACCCATGGAAATTCAAGCTTGAACTTAAAACTGGCAATTTGTGAAAAAGGAAAATTAACAAAAAAGAAAAAACGTCATAACTAAAAGAAAATAGTCAAATGGGGCTGGTTTTCCAACTCAAGTTTAGTCCTANTGCATTTTTACAGCTTGTCAAGCACAAGACTGGTGGCTGCACCCCTTATTTTGTGTATGTGGGGGTCTATACGAATGCGCTTGCTCCAGCTGGTGGTACAATATTCGGAGGCGGTATCGCCTCTCTGATCCTCTAGTTTGATTATAATAACTGTTGGTGTAAATCATTTTCCATGTCTCTCTCTTAGTGAAGTAGCTAATTTATCCTAGATCAAAGTACACTGAAATTTTTGGTCCCTTGGCAATAACTTAACCTGCTATTTTCATTTATTCCATAAAACGAACAGATTTTTAAAATCCTACTGCCTAACCCTCAGAATATATAATAAAAGAATGAAACTGAAGTTCGATTTACAGAATAAACCAATTTCCACCTTTTCTTCTTGTTTTTCACAGCCACAGGAGAAAGAGCAGTCTAAGTGCCAGCAGCCCGACCTGCTCCCCAGTGCACAGTCCCAGGGGTACACCCAAGGTGACCCCCACCGCTAGCCCTGCCAATACTCCCCCAGGGTCCCCCACCACACAGCACGCCCCCTGGAGGAACAGGCTCCACACCATCAAGAACAGCCTAATGGGCTCCCCCAGGTTTCACAGGAGAAAAATGCAAGGTACTGTGCCAGGTGTGTTTACTCTACTATTATGATTTTATGTGCAGACGTGCGGTTGAAAAGTGAAATGTTCCATGTTTGCCCCATTCAGCCTGAATTATGGGTCTATAAATGATAGTCCATTTTTCAACAGTCACTTTTTCAGATGAGTATGCATTTTTTTAATTATGCACATTATTCTGATTTATTTTATTAGTAACTTATAATGAATGTGACAGTTTTCATTTATTTGGATATTATAATAAGTGTTATTTATTGCAGTTGCTGAAGAAGCCAACCTCACTCCAGATTCCTCTCCAGAGTAAGTGGACTCATTCAATTTTATAATTAGATCTTAGATAGGTTTAAGTTAAAAGTCTAATAATTTGTCATCTTGACATTCTAGAGGTCGAGTATTCTCTTAGTCCAAGAATTCATGTTCATTATTTGGAAAGTTACTTTTACTAACCCTTATGCCTTAAAGTACTCTGCTTTAAAAACTTGTCAAGAAGAACTATCCCTTGGCTCTATTATCATTTGCCACTGGGATTCAAAACAATGGTCTTCTGTGCATATAAAGTTAAGCAACAATATCCTATGAGAGTCTACAGCAGTTTGATATCATCAGTCGCATTTATTGAATTCTTTGTATCATTTCAAATATTTATATAAGCAGGATCAGACACTTCTTAGCAATCCTGTATAATAAGATATGATATTCACTTATGAGCCCATGTTCTTTAGGCTTGGGAAGAAGTCTTGGTTTGGGGCCTTCATGGGAGGAGACAGAGAGGAGATTCATATCAACATGACAGTGAGGGACAGGACCATAAGCCAGGTCAAGGCAGACCTGGTACATGCTTTCTTGGCAGTAAGTAGGACAGAGAGTCAGTTTTGTTTGTTTCAATATTTTGTATGTCACACAATCCCTGAGTTTTGACTCTTACTCAGAGTTGGAACATGAAGGAATTCTTATTAAGCCCTGAGCTAATGCGAACTGTGCCGTTAATCCATAGCTGGCACTTACAAACTGGATCATGTGAAACTACAATTTAGTTTCACATTATGTATGTAGCATACATGGGTGCAAAGCTCAAGTGAATGTCATATATGTTTTGCTGACAAGTTGGGTATCTGACTGGCTTAAAGTAATGTTGCAAACAAATGACCCAGGTCTGGATCTGTTGTTCCTATCATCCACTGTGGTATGAGATCATACATTAGTGCTTTTGAAAAAAAGGGTCTTCGTACAGACCAGCACAGTTGTAATGTGTTTAATTATTTTTGTACGAATTTTCAGACCCCCGACCTGAGTCACAGTGTTATCTCACCCACAACTTTTAGAGCTGAGTACAGGCGGAGTGGGAGCTCTTCAGTTTTCTCTCGGAATGTCAAGTTCCAGGTGGACATCACACATCCCCAGAACTCAGATGATCTTAACTATCATCGGGTGGTTTTTACACTTATACAAGGTATGTCACTGACATTCTGATATAAGATGTTTTTTGTGCATTTTAAGAAACTGTTGTAATGAGTACATTTAGAAAAATTGTCTAAAATATGCAAAGAATTGGCAAAGCTGTTTAGATTTATGGCATCAATATAAAGATAACTGATTATGAAGTAAGAATAATATTTTTATGTGAAAAAAGTATGGTAATTATTCACAAATTCCAAGCACCAGATTTATTTTAGTATCATATTTTTAAACCTTGCCATTTAAAGTTACTTTTAAGAGTGCAATTTTTGATGCAATACCAACTTACTTTTCAGGCATCTTAAATAATCTTCCATAGATATTACCAGCAAAACAATACATTTAGATATATAAAAAGCAATCAGTTTTGGTAGAATTTAGATATAATCATGTTACTGGGGATATTCTTTGTCAACCACAGGTCCAGCTAGGAGATTTAAAAGAGTAGTGGAACTGATCCAGTCCATCATCAACAGCAGTCGTCTACAGCCCCACAGACGGATCACCAGTGACATGCCAAAGCTGGCCAGTGATAGTTCTGAGTCCTCAGTGGAAAGAGATGGGATTTCTCCTACACCTCCCTGTCTGGAGCTAGCAGAGGGAGAGGAGGTGAGAACCAGATGCCAAATCTGTGTTCAAACTCCTGAAAAGTTTTACCAAACCAGTGATTTATATCCCTTTGGTGTAGACAGTTGAAATGTTTTTTTTTTTAAATTGGAATGCAGCAGTAGTTGGTTTCTTTGTGTGACGTCAGTATTAAGAAACGCTGCAGTCCAGCCATATGATGAGTTTGGCTGTTTAAAAGGTCCAGTGAGAAGGAAAATTTAGATTACAATGTCTTGTCAGTCATATTTCAATATGATAACTTTTTTCCAGGTGTCAGAAGACTGTGCTGCAGCAAGTGCTAGTTCTCATTCTAAACAACATATTGCAAATGGACGTAAACCTGCTATTGACCAGAAAGACAAAGTCTGAAGAGAAGTAAGCCTTGAAAACGGCTCTCAGAGGGTAGTGATGCCCTTTAAGTGTGAAGTATTCAGTGAATTACATGTGCACTGAAAAAGGTTGATCATTGAGAATGCTTCTGCCAAGTCTGAAATGACAGTAAAAAAAGGACTAAGCATTAAAAGACTTGATGAAATGCCAAATAAGATTAAATGAAATGAATCACTCAACTATTTATTTGAAAACCTGAACAAATATACAGATGAGGAGAAAAGTCAGGAAGATTCATGAACTGGAGTATTTGTTAGGAAACTAGGGAGAGGTTTTATTGAACCTTACTATTTGTTAGCAAACTAGAGAAAGGTTAATGAAGACTTGCTTTTCTGAAAAACAAGTATTTGTTAAAGTTGTACTTTATCTTTTATTGTGTATGTCCAAGTCATTGTGTTATGTATGGCAAAAGAGAATTTTAAAAGCAAAAGAACTTGTTGTCATTTGGCAGGTCAAAGTATGTACTAAGAAGATAGGGTAGAAGATAATGGTAATGTGTTGGGTAACAAGGTTTTTTTCCCATAGATCAAGGAGATAGAAAGGTGTAGACACACATTTGCTGGTATTTTTTAATTGTCAACCTCCAGTGGAGAAAAGTTCTTTTTTAGTTTAGTGACCTGTTACACATTATAAGACTACCGATTTCTTTAATTTCAACTCCACTTTTATGACAGCACTTCTGTGAAAGTTACTACCTTTTAAATACTGACAGTGATGTATGTTTCAATAAGCAGGATGCTATGATTTCCATACGTTTTTAAACCATTTTTTATACTGTGAAGTAATGGTAAAGAAAGCATGTTACTGATTACATAGTCTAACAAATCAGTGTTGAAATTTTTGTGTAAATTATCCAAAGTCTCGAGTGGTAAAAAAAAAGTGAATATATATGTATATCATTCCAACCTTGTTCCGGGAATGTCTGTCTAGTAACAAACATCTTCATCCTACTGTATTTATTGCCCATGTAAATGCAATTCCATTTCATTTTCACATTTTTTTCTTTTGCAAATGGAAAAATGTGAAATCAGGAAATAAAATATTATTTAATACAAAGTTTGTTTTTTTTAAACTTGAAATAAATGTAAGTAAACAAGGTATTCAAGCTTCATCAGACAAGTGCAACACTTAAGTTAAAATGCACATCTGTGACATCATATGAAGTCAATAGATGTATTTCCATGCACTCACTGAATTTATGATGTCACTGAACTTTTTTTCTATTTTAATGCAATATAACACGCTTTAAGGGATAATAACTCTTCGTATGAGATCTATATTTCACAATAAAAACATTGTGAATAACTCACAGAAATATAATATATTCTGTTTTACCACACAAACGGCAGTTATAGCTATTATTCTGATATGTGAGCTTTTCTTTAGACCACGTGACCTCCATTGATGTCTATATTCTGTTAAAATCTCTTAAGAGATTTTAAAAAAAAACCCAAACTTTTTAGAAAAAAACCAGGGACTAACTTTGAATGTAAAAATGGATTCATTAACCATTGGTAAGTATGGGAAAATTGTTGTTTACTCCAGGAAAAACTCATTTTTGGACGAAACGAAGAGTTATTATCCCTTTAAGAGCAGCATCCCCGCTAGTTTTTGACACTGAAACTTAAATTATAGACACTTGGAAAAAGTTTATAAAGCACAGGACTTCATACCCATGGAAATTCAAGCTTGAACTTAAAACTGGCAATTTGTGAAAAAGGAAAATTAACAAAAAAGAAAAAACGTCATAACTAAAAGAAAATAGTCAAATGGGGCTGGTTTTCCAACTCAAGTTTAGTCCTGTGAATCATTCGTTAAGGTTTGAGAATAAGTATGGGTAGATACACGTCCCGATAGATATTTTAATGTGCCTATAATTGCATGCACCGGTTATCGTCACTAATATATATCAATTAAAGTCGCACATTAACCAAATGTTTTCAATATTTTTACACTAAGAATAAAAAGACAAATTGAAAAAAATGACGTTTGTTCCAGGGGAAAGCTTAACCAAGAACGTACAACACAACATAATGATCAAGTAGGATGGTTAGGGGTTTAATAACATGCGTTCGTACTAAAAAAATAGTCAACAAGGCTACTTTCCTTATACAATACGTTCTAGGATAAGGTTAAAAAAAACAACATAAGCGTTGTCTACGTTTGATGATCCATAAATCTTACTTTGGAGATCACTAATTGAACCGTAATTAAAATTGTATTTCAACCTCCGTCTTTTTACTCCCCTTGATATTTTGAACAAATGATATAAAAAATAAAACCCTTTCCACTTCTTCGTGAGCGCCAGATAAAACTTGCGAATATAAAGATGTTAGCAGACAGTTCTGTAGAAGGCACGTGTCTAGTTCGGTTCATAGATATTGTTTCAAACGATTTATTGCTCATATTTATTTCTGATATGAAGTATATTGACTTTTGGACCATTGAATATAGACTTTGCGTATGAAAATCGTATTATTGGATTACGATATTCTAAAAATATATATTTCATGTAAGAAAAAAATTACACAGAAAGTAAGGACACGTATTTAATGATTTTAAAGGTCAGGGACACCATTAAAGTAGCCCTTATTTTTCGACAGCTAATATTGTGCACCCTCTAGATCTGGTTTTAGTGTACTGGTAGCGTAAGTGGATCTCTTGGTATTTATATTCGTAGTTAATGGTGTGTGGATTTTACATTGTTGGGGTTTATCTATTTGGGAACTAGAGTGATGTATTTCAACAACAGATGGACCTAAGTTACATATCTACATGTGTTTCGTGAAAAGTTTCAGCTACAGCCTTTCGCCTTTCACTAGAATGAGCCATAGATCTACCTGTTATAATTTACATAACAATAAGTTGCCCATCGTAATGCGAGCTGTCTTCCAGACTAGTCACGTGACTGTGGCGCGCCATTAGACGAAGACGCATGGATATGTGTGGTGTGATGGTAAGGTCAAGCTTTTATCGCTATCCTAACAGAAGTTTTGCCAAATGTAGAAACAAATACAAGTCTTGTAAGTATTACCACTTTTTCAACAACCCCCACCATTATAACTACCGAAGGTGCCGAAGAATGAAAGAAAAGCTACGGCAAATATTAGTGACACGTGTCTTTGCAATATTACATGTACTGTACTTGGCCAGTCAGATTATTCATCCATTATATTATATTTTAGTCCTACGACTCATAACTATGAGAATAAAGTAGTGATATGAAAGGATATAATAAAAAGTGTATAACTTCTAAGTGACTCTTACCCTAATTCGGAAGCATGCTTTACAGTATTTGTCCTAGATAATTTCAAATGGTCATTGATTGCTGTGGGGAATACAGAACCTAAATATCAATATAAATATAGCTTTGAAAATTGGCAACTTTATTAAAAGCACAAATTATCGAGAGATTGGCAACCATTTTGAGCAAGAATGTATATGTATAAACAATAGCAGTTTCAAAAAATAAAATTCTATTATTATTGTACTGTACAGACTTAAATTTTAATATAGCTACCGACAATTTCATTGGAAATAAGGGCATAGATTTCATTTGTTTCAGGTGAGACTTGGACCTGAGGCACAAGGTGTTGTTGGCTTAAGATGAAGATCTTCTTGTAAGATAGGTATGCTTCCTACAACATGCATGCACATATACATGCACAGGCACATATCAATTGCTCGTTAAACAATGAATAATAGATAATTATTTTACACGGTAACTGGCTAGCATCTCCAGTGCTTTGTGTGTTGTTCATACATTACAAGACCAATTACATCAAAATCATTTATTTAAATTTATATCAAAAAGAGCAACTTAATTGTCTTGCATCCAAATTAAGTATGGTATATTTTTCAAAAAAACTTTTAAAGAAGTTTTTTGTAAGGCATTGAAATTGACCTGACCTACTCTTCTCTTCTTTGAAATACGCCAGAATGAGCTGCAATAAAGCCATGTCCCCAAGTATAAGCAAAAATATCTCAATTTTTTTCACAAATTTTGATGAAACTTTCACTCAAGATAAGAAATTATTACAGTATATTTCACCAGAATTCAGGTCTTCTAACAATTCGATTGTTATTATAATTATCATTATTATTACAGTTTTTGTTTTCTTCACTTTGCCTTGTTGGGAGTTCTCAGATTTCTCTCTCGTTTTTTCATTTGCTTATCTTAGATGGTAATTTTGATGTTAGGCAAACTCCATTGCAGTCATGATATGACAGCAAACATTTCAACCATATGTACCTTTGTCTCTGTTTAAATCATGCATAAGTCCCACTTCAAGAGCTTGTATGTTTAGTCATAAAATAAACATTTTTTTCTTATTTCAGAAGCCCACCAAGATACCGCTCAACATAGGACTGCAAGCAACCTAAGATATTGTTGGCATTCAGGAACTCTACATTCCTATTTGGATTTATTATATTAAAATCTAAAAATATATCTTCTGTGTTTTTATATACAGACACTGTAAGTGTCTGTATATAATCTGATGGGTCTGTCTGTCCATGTCATGGCCTTCGCTGACCAATACATGACGTTTGCCCCATAACTGCCAAACTGTTTTTCTTTTTTTTTTTTTTTTTTTGTTTTGTTTTGTTTTACTGTAAATTTATTGAGTGGCTTTGTTTGGTACAGATGCAGGTTGCTTTCGAAAAGCAACATGATGGGTTTACAATTATAGAAATAATTCTTTTTCACAATTTTTGTGACATTAGCCCCTTCATCAGTACCACCAGTGTGTATGCTGGTAGTATTCTTGGTTTTAGTTCGGCCTGTCTTGTACACTCGATCAGCAGTCAGCCGCCAGAAACAAGTCACCATTACCACTTCTCCTCCTAGACTGCAAGGGCCTGTGTCCCCATCTCTGGGATTTAGGTCTAAGGTCACATATAATCTCAACTTGAACCCCCTGTTTTTTGTCTGTTTGTTTATTGGCCTAGGCATGATGCTTGTTGAAACACACCCTTGTCAAAATTTTGAAAATTAAATGCTAAATATCTCCTAAAATGAAGGAATTATGGGAAAGGTTACTATATAAGTCTGACTGAAAGTCTTATGTGGAGTTTCCAAATATGCCCTTTGGTTTGACCTTTGACCTTTATTTCAAGTTTAAATGAGCCAAAATTTCTTTAGTTTAAAATGGAGATTTTCTACAAAAATATTTGTTTGTGCCAATTTTCAGGAACTACACAGACCTAAGCTCTCATATTTAAATGAGGGGTTACATTTAGGGACTCCTTTCATCTTCGTGAGTTTGGGAGTCAATCAGTGCCCTTTCAAAGGAGAAGCAGCCATTAGATTCTGAAACTAAAAACTTTCTAATTCTGGAACTGTAAATGCTACAGACCCCTTGATTTTTGCATTTTGTAGAGCAAAAGAACTGTTGCAATATTCAGTAGTGAGCTGATCGAAATGTGAAATACTCCCAAAATTAGCAGAGATAAGCCCATAGTTACTATTGAACTTGAATAGGAAGTCATATACTGGCAATCTAATTGTGACCATAAATTTGACCTTTGATTTACTTGTCACCATGATCTTTGCAAAATCTCCCTTCCTGATTTCTCCAAAGGAATTCGTACATTTACAATCTTCCTGTGACCTTGAAATTAATCTTTAACCTACTTTCCACCATGTACCACACCTGGCAAATTTCCAGGTTCTTACATTTATTGTTGAACTTGGATGGAAAGTCCTTTATTTACAATCTAACTTCAACCTTGGATTTGACCTTTCACTTTTCCCCAAATTGTAATTTTTTGCAAAAAAAAAAAAGGAGTTGTTCACTGCATTTTATAGAGCTCATGCATTTACTCAGTACTCCAGCTGGTGGTACAATATTCTGAGGCGGTATGGCCTCTATGATCCTCTAGTTTCCAAACCATATTCTTTGTTTTACTTTAGATTTACTGAGTTGCTTTGTTTGGTAAAGAGGCAGGTTGCTTTCGAAAATGGGTATGATCAGTTTACATCTTAAGAAATTGTTCTGGTTTCTATTTAGTGTCTGTATACTTGTCAGCTATGCTGTCTAGTTTTATTTTGTTATGAAGTAATTATGATAATGCTATTGATAAAAATTAAGGGAAAGGATTGTTTATATAAATATGGTAACTCTTTGATCACTTTAAAATTCTATCTGTAAGCATTACCTTTGCAATTGATTTTTTATGATACCTGAGGATATTTTTTAAATACTTAAAATGTTTTAAACCTTAATAAGCATGTCCATCATTTTGTTAACAATAGTTTTTGAGCATTTAAGATGTCAGAGCCACAGAAAAAAATGTATTTTAAAGATTTACCACCAGGCCATATCTATAAATTGTACAAATTTACAATCCATTTTTTTAAATATTTTTTTTCAATACGAGTTTCCGAATCTTTCTTTACTCTGTAGAATTATACAGCTTTCTTAAAATCTACTGGTCCAAATCCAGATTCATTGGTCAAAATAAAAATTGCAATAAGACAGGGAAGTTCTCTCATTGCATTTATATTGATATGTGATAGTAACATTAATTCAGTCATATGTATCAGAAAGAAATTAAATCAAATTGAAATCTTTTCAAAATGCACCAAATATAAAATGATCTTTCAGACCACTAAATTTACATATTCTGCAAAATTTACTGGCCCACAAAATTTTGGACCAGTAGGCTGTGAGTGTAGGACCAGCAGCTAATGCCACAGGCTGTTTCTTTGTCATTTACATAATTTTGTATAACACACTACTTTTGTAAATTTACTTTAGAGATGATTTTGTATTTTCTTGTTTTTCGTTAAATGTGTTCTTTTAATTTAACATATGTGCTTTAGAATATCATTGTGACATTTGTCAACTATGTATGTGCTTGAAAGATTTGAAATAAACTAGTATAATTACTGCTTTGTTTTAAGGAATAATACACAATACAAAATAATGGTAACCTTTCATCCCAATAAAAATGGATTTGCTATCCTGTAACATGGTAAATTTGTCCTGCTGGTCGTCCTTAAAAGAGACTTGCCCCCCCATAACCCCTTTATTTGGATTGGCCTTGCCCTATCTGTCACCCCTAAAATGGAATGGACTCGCCCCACCTGACACCCCTTAAAATGGAATGAACTCTTCCTACCTGTCTTCCCTCAAACAGAATAAACTTGCCCCACCTGACACCCCTAAAATAGAATGGACTCGACCCACCTGTCACCCCTCAAACAGAATGGACTCGACCTACCTGTCACCCCTTAAAATACAATGGACTCGACCCACCTGTCACCCCTTAAATGGAATGAACTCGCCCCACCTG